ATATAATTTTTTTAAAAAAAAACCATAAAACTGGGCCAAACAAACCCAAATATAGCCCACTAAAAAACTTAAACCCAATACAACAATTTTATGTTTATTCTCTAATTATCAATACCTACTTAAACTAAATAAATTGTTAATCTCATTAAAAAAAAATACAAATCTATTGCAGCTAAATATATTAAATTCAAAAATACAATATTCTCTCCTTATTTATTACCAAGTCATGTTTTCAACCAAATTAAGATTTAACAACATTTAATTCCTATAATAAAATTAACCAAATATGATAAGGAAATTAGATCTAAAATTAATTATCCTATACTAATATTTGGGAAGTACATCCTAAGGATCATAACTTAAATTTTGTAAGAAATTACAATATATGCCATTATATAATTCTAATCATAAAATTTATTCCATGTCACTAATATATATTAACGGGTCAACGGGTCAACAGGTTTAAAGATATTAAAAGATTTTGTTTATATAATACATAATTAATATAATTCGAGAATATTATATACCAATCAATATTCGAGATTATATAATACATAAAAATGTTATATAATACATAAAAGATTTTGTTTATATAATATATAAAAATGTTATATACTAATATACTAATATATTATTCGAAAATGTTATTGAAAATTAAAAATGTTATTCAATTTGTTATAGAGAAATTGTTAAAAATGCCCCTTTTTCAATACCCCTTTTCAAAAATGCCCCCTTTGAGAGTTCATTTTTAAGTTTGCCCTCTTTTAATTTTTAATGACCATTTTACCCTTATTTGAAACAAAATTAGGTCCACAAAATACAAAATATTTTTTGGCGGGAAAAGTGATCCCGCAATTTTCCCGCCAAAACACTTGTAAAAAACCTTTAAAATACCTTGTAAAATTTTCCCGTAAAATTTTTCCCGCCAAAAAATTTTCCCGCCAAAAAAATTTTTTTGCGGGAAAAGTGATTCCGCAATTTTTTTTTTTGGCGGGAAAAATTTACAAGGTATTTTAAAGGTTTTTTACAAGTGTTTTGTAAGGTTTTACAATGTATTTTAAAAGGTTTTACAAGGTACTTATAAGGTTTTATAAGGTATTTATAACTTGTAAAACCTTATAAAAAACTTGTAAAACCTTATAACTTGTAAAAACCTTATAAAATAGCTTGTAAAATCTTATAATATCTTGTAAATATGTTGTAAAACCTTTTAAAATACATTGTAAAACCTTATAAATACCTTGTAAAAAACCTTTAAAATACCTTGTAAATTTTTGGCGCCAAAAATTTAACGCCAAAAAAATTGCGGAATCACTTTTCCCGCAAAAAAAATTTTTTGGCGGGAAAATTTTTTGGCGGGAAAAATTTTACGGGAAAATTTTACAAGGTATTTTAAAGGTTTTTTACAAGGTTTTACAAGTGTTTTGGCGGGAAAAATTGCGGGATCAATTTTCCCGCCAAAAAATATTTTGTATTTTGTAGACCTAATTTTGTTATATTTCCTTATATATTTGTGATATATTTTATTAAAAGAAGGGTAATTTAGTCATTTTGTACATAAAAAGAGGTATTTTTAAAAATGGACAGCCAAAGGGGGCATTTTTGAAAAGGGGTATTGAAAAAGGGGCATTTTTGTGAGTCTCCCTTTGTTATATAGTAATCCATTATTCGAACATCTTACATCAAATAGGAACAGATCAGCAAATTCCAAAGGTATGTTAAACCGTTTTTTTTCCTTTTTTTTAAACCATGAAACTAGGCCCCACAAACCCAATATAATCCATTAAAAAACTTAGACCCAATACAACTATTTTTTTGTTTGTTCACAATCACACAATAAAATTATCAATTCCTAATTGAACCAAAGAAATTATTAATCTCATATAAAAAAATACAAATCTAATGCTGCTAAATATATTAAATTCTAAAATACAATATTCTCTCCTTCTTTAGTCAAATAAAATATATAACATTATATCCAAATAGTAATAAATATAAAATATTATGATATATTCCCTTTTATATTATACTATTATACTAAATTATTCCTTATTTCTTCGAACAAAATATACAATTTAATTCATGAAAAATATTAAATCCCGTGCTGTATAGCACGGGTCATGATCTAGTTGATTAAATAAATAGAAAACTAGATCATGACCCGCACGTACGTGCGGGGTTTCTTATTTTAATATAAAATTAAGAATATTTGTGTGAATGAATATTTTCTCATTTTGAAGTATTTGCATTGAAAATTTAAACATTGATATTTAAATTATATTTTAATGTTTTTTGAAAAAATAAAATAATCGAATTTAGAAGAATATATATTCCAAAAGCTTGTAACAATTTGAGACGTAATAAAATAATTTACTTGATTTGATATATTAATTTATTTGGCTCTAAATAAAATAATTTGGAGATATAGTAACTATTATAATACGTTTTAAAAATATATATTTTTATATAATTCAAAATTAGTTTAGTGATATATATTTAAAACAATGAAAACTACATGTTTCTAAAAAATATATTTTCAAAATTTATATAATTTAAATACTAATTAAAATGTAAAATAATTTAATCTATACTGAAAATATTATCTAGATATTTAGAATATAAAATCTAAAATTATTTGTTGAATAGGTTATATTTAAAAGGATGGAAGTATTTATTTTAGGAGGGGGTATTGAACGAATGAATTTGGAAGAATTTAATAGAATGTTCAATTCTAGTGTTATTCAATTAGACATTTTATTAATTCTTTCAAATTCTAGTGTTATTTAACTTCTTAATTTCTTAATTCTATTAAATTCTACTGTTATTCAATGTTATGTAGTTTTCTATGAAAAAATGATTTGATAGGAATTTAATAGAAAAATTAATGTAAAATGTGAAGAACAAATTCTGAGCTTTTAAGTTGAGATTTTGAAGGAATGTATAATTAACATTATACTACTAGCCATGGCTTTAGACCGGCCGTGACGGTAACAAGGAGAACGGCAATAAGACGGAGTAGTGTGGCCACATGCCGACAGATCTCAATCCCTCCTCTCTCTCTCTGTCTCTCTCATCAACGCCTTACGTCATCATTATAATCCGATCCTATCTCCGGCGGCGGCGGTAGTAGGTCATGAAACGCAGTGAGGCGGCAGATCGTGAAACGGTCGTGAAACTTAGAGGCTAAATAAAGGGCGGAAGAGAGAGAGAGAGAGTATTCAACAATTGGGTGGAAGCAAGCGTGATCAGTCAGACAGTCACAGACTCACAACCATTATACCCTTTTCTTCTCTTCCTTTGACTTCCCTTACGTAGTGGGAACAAATTCTACTAAATTCTATTCTATTCTATAAAAATATTTAGAAAATATAATTGTTAGAATTAGAGAGAAAGATTTTAATCTTTTACGATCCTTCAAAATCTACAGTTTATGTCTTTAATTCCATTTAATTCAATTCTATTAAAATCTTCAGTTGAATACACCCTCCTTAGATTATATATGACAAATTGCTAAATGTTTTTTAATATTTGGAAAATAAAATGTTAAAATCGTTTTTTCATGTGTACTACTAATCAGAATTAATTAGCATAGTTTTGTTAAGGAAATGTATTTAAATCTAAATTAAATGATAATTTATTACATTAAATTAGATTGCCGGAAATATCTAATAATATATTAGCAAAATAAATAAGTTTATATATATATATATATATAATTTCGAATTAAATAACTTGATTTATTATGGAATCTTCTTTAAACTATTTTCAAAAATATTGGGTAGTTATTATTTTATTGATTTATTTTCGATTATTTAAAAAATGTTTTTTTTTAAAATAAAAAAAATCAGTGGTATTTTTTGTAATATTCTACAAGTTAAAGGTTTTTTATTATTTAGTGATTCCCAATAGTATAGATACAATCTTAATCTATAAAAAGACTCAGGCTTCTAGGCTTGCTACTTCCAGTTCATCATCGCTGAATCACTCTTCTGATTCTTCTTATGGTCGAGGATGCAAGGGCAAGGCTAGATATGAGATAGGTGAATCCTCTAAACGTAAGAAGGGGAAGCAAACTGATCTTCATTCAGAGAGACACACTAGACAGTGTCGAAAAGACCCGGGGATTCACTTTTACCCGGTGTCTGGTCAACTTCCATAGGTCTTCTTCAGACCTTGAAGAACTCAGAGTATAATGTACCCTTATACTCTTGAGGTTAACTCTTTTTGGGGTACGTCTTGCTTTCAGGTCTTTAGGAAATAAAGCACCTTTGTCAGGTCTACCAAATGGCTACAGTTGAAGTTTCTTTTGGGTTGCCATTGTGGTTTATCAGGTTTTAATCTTCCAAAAAGGAAGTTGGACATCAATGTTTTGAAGCCTTCGAAGACCTTTTTGATACTTTCTACCACTAAGTTTGGGATGATGTGAAGATGGTGAACAAGAGACAATCATTATGCAAGCATACGTTGGATGCGATAAGATCAATTGCAAGCCTTGTGCTTCTATTTTCGGTCTTATTGAGATTTGCTATGGTTCTGCTCCACCAAGTTGCCATTTTACAGATACTCCTTAGTGTTGAAATGTATTTGCTTTTTAAGTTTGGTTTGTAGTTTGTAGTTTGTAGTTTGTAAATATTGCTGTAACTTACTCTTGTCTCTCCACTCTGGATGCTCCTAAGATGGATGATGCTGTTTGTTTGGTATATATACAAAAAAAAAAATTTTAGGAAAAAAAAAAAAAAAAAGACTCATACAAATATATTTTTGAATGAGAACATATTTGATTAAATTTTGGTACCATATCCATAAGTATTCGATAGAACGACGAAACCATGTTGACATATTAGCGATAATCTCGGAGAAGAAGAAGAGGTAGAGAGAAAACCGATGCTCACAGCGTTTGCAAGTTACGCGCGTTCTCACGTTTTCGCGTTTGTTACCGTCCCAACAATCACGCGCCGCCTCCGTATAAATACCTTACGCCAATCGTCTCTCTCCTCTTTTCTTCTCCTAAACGAAACCTTCTCCAATCGACCCAATTCTGTTTCTCGTTGTTGTTGTTCTTCGAGCTCTGCGATTATGGGATCTTCTTCGGTGTTAGGCGAGCGATTACATTATCCTGCGACTCGGCGTGATGATTCTGTCGTCGATAACTATCACGGCGTCAAGATCGGAGATCCGTACCGTTGGTAAGAGCTCGTTTCCAGCTGCAATTTCTCTCATGCGTTTAGGTTTTTGTAATGGTCCAAATGGGATTTTGAATTTTCTGCATATCGCTCTGTGAGGAATAAGCAGACATTGGATTTGACTTGGCGATTGACCTGAAGATTAATTCCTAAATTGTTGGAGATTTTGTGTGATTTGTTCATTTTTGCTATGCTTTTGCGTTGAATTTTGTCATTCTGGATTGTTTTTTTGCTAGGTTAGAGGATCCTGATGCTGAAGAAGTAAAGGAGTTTGTGGAGAACCAAGTGAAATTGACAGATTCTGTGCTTGAAAAGTGCGAAACCAAGGAGAAGCTCCGTCAGAATATAACGAAGCTTATTGATCATCCGCGTTACGATTCACCCTTCAGGCAAGGGGATAAGTACTTTTACTTCCATAACACCGGTCTACAGGCCCAAAGTGTGCTTTATATGCAGGTATTTGTTGAGAGCCATGGCTTTTGTATCAGTACATACATGCATTTTTAACTTTGTTTTCTCATTGAACTTTATTGCATTCGGGTTCAGGATAATTTGGATGCTGAGCCAGAGGTTTTGCTTGATCCGAACACTCTTAGTGATGATGGAACTGTGGCCTTAAACACCTTTTCTGTCAGCGAGGATGCTAAGTACTTGGCCTATGGTCTTAGTTCAAGTGGTAGCGACTGGGTGACGATTAAGCTGATGAATGTTGAGGATAAGAAAGTGGAGCCTGATATTTTATCATGGGTATGGTATTTAAGATGGTACTGATTAGTGCGGTTGATCAATAAAGTTCTACCGTCAAGATTTCTGATATATTTATGATCCTCTCCTGGAACAGGTTAAGTTTACCGGCATTACATGGACGCACGACAGTAAAGGATTTTTCTATGGTCGCTACCCAGCTCCCAAGTAAGTACAAGATGTGTTGGTAGAAGTCTTTCAATATAGTTAAGAAAGCTAAGTTAGTCTAACAATTTTATTTGTTCTTTTGCAGAGAAGGAGAAGATATTGATGCTGGCACTGAGACTAATTCTAACCTTTATCATGAGCTGTATTACCATTTCATTGGGACGGATCAATCTCAAGATATCTTATGCTGGAGAGATCATGAGAATCCCAAATATATGTTCGGAGCTGAAGTCACTGACGATGGGAAGGTAACGCACTAAGTTCTTATGTTGGGTTCTTTAACTTTGATTACGCTCTTATTCCTCAATTTTTTTTTTCTGTAAATACTGTCGGAAAATCATTTTGATCCTTTCCCTTTTTCTAAATGATGGTCATGACTTCAAACTGTGTTACCTAGTTCTGTATTCTGAAACTTGGATTCTTAGTTTTAGGTCTAATCTCATAACGTTGTTTCTTCTTGCAGTATCTGATCATGAGCATTGGAGAGAGTTGTGACCCTGTCAACAAATTATACTACTGTGATATGACTTCATTTTCTGGAGGTCTTGAGAGTTTCAGAGGAAGCAGCAGCTTTCTTCCATTCATAAAGCTTGTTGACACGTTTGACGCGCAATATAGTGTTATCTCAAATGATGAGACTCTGTTTACTTTCTTAACAAATAAAGATGCCCCTAAGTACAAATTAGTCCGGGTCGATCTAAAGGAACCAAACAGTTGGACTGATGTTGTTGAAGAACACGAGAAGGATGTCTTAGCATCAGCTTGTGCAGTCAATGGGAATCATCTGGTCGCATGCTACATGAGCGATGTTAAGCATATTCTGCAAATTAGGGACTTGAAATCTGGTTCATTGCTTCACCAGTTACCTCTAGAAATTGGTTCAGTATCTGATGTTTCTGCTCGGCGCAAGGACAATACCTTTTTCTTTAGCTTTACTAGCTTCCTCACTCCTGGTGTGATTTACAAGTGTGACTTAGCCAATGAATCTCCAGAAGTTAAGGTATTCCGGGAGGTTACTGTACCCGGATTTGACAGGGAAGCATTTCAAGCCATTCAGGTAACTCACTCTCTTGTAGCGGATCTTCCTGTTTCTCTCATAATTACTTTTACTTTGCATATGTTAAAGTGGCTTCTGCTACTCTTTATAGGTCTTCTATCCCAGCAAGGATGGAACAAAGATACCTATGTTTATTGTGGCGAAAAAGGATATTAAGCTTGATGGATCACACCCATGTTTGCTCTATGCATATGGCGGGTTTAACATAAGCATAACACCGTCTTTCAGTGCCAGCCGCATTGTGCTTAGCAAGCATCTCGGTGTTGTTTTCTGCTTTGCAAATATTCGGGGTGGTGGGGAGTATGGTGAGGAATGGCACAAAGCAGGTTCACTTGCCAAAAAGCAGAACTGTTTCGATGACTTCATTTCTGGGGCAGAGTATCTCGTGTCCGCTGGTTATACACAACCGAGCAAGCTGTGTATTGAAGGTGGCAGCAATGGTGGACTCCTAATCGGTGCTTGCATAAATCAGGCAAGTCTCTATATATTTATAAAGCTAATAATTTGCAAATTTCATTTCATTTAGTTGCCACACTTATTCATAAAATCCTCAATTTGTTGCACAGAGGCCAGACCTTTATGGGTGTGCTTTGGCTCATGTGGGCGTCATGGACATGCTACGGTTTCACAAGTTCACTATAGGTGAGTGAGTTCAAATGTTTTTTGGTTGTTTTTTTTGCATAATGTATATATAAGTTGAGGTGTTATGTATGTATAGGTCATGCCTGGACATCTGATTATGGTTGCTCCGAGAATGAAGAGGAGTTTCATTGGCTGATAAAGTAAGTATATTAACTTATGATATGATGTTGTATTGATTTGTTTCCCAATGCTGATACAAAGTTAAAATCTGGGTGTGAATGTAAAAAGGTACTCGCCTCTGCACAATGTGAAGAGGCCATGGGAGCAACAAACCGATCCATTCGTTCAGTATCCATCAACCATGCTACTGACTGCTGATCACGATGACAGAGTTGTGCCACTTCACTCTTTGAAGTTGCTCGCGGTCCGTTTCCATACTTTAGTTCTTTAATGTTTAATTTATTCTCAATCTTACCTTTAAGTAGCCAGCAGATTGTTAAATCTCTTAATACATCTGCAGACGTTGCAGCACGTGCTGTGCACAAGCTTAGAGAGTAGTCCTCAGACGAACCCCATAATTGGTCGTATTGAAGTCAAGGCTGGCCATGGTGCTGGTCGCCCAACCCAAAAGATGGTAATGAAAAAAATTCTCGTTACTTAGGCTTTACATTATATAACATACATTTTCCCATGGTTAATGATATTGAGATGTTCATCAGATTGATGAAGCCGCTGATCGGTATTCGTTCATGGCAAAGATGGTGAATGCTTCATGGACGGAGTAAAAAATTTACCTACAGGCACCAAATATCTTTTCTCAATTGGTTGTGTCCAAAAAAGGACCTTGTATGAGTTAGTGACAGTTACATATAAACACAAACTTGGGACACATTTTTCAGTTTTTAATTCACGCTTTATGTTCCAGTTCATTGACACCCAAAAAGGATTTTGTTCAATGCATTTTGATTATCCTATACGCATTTGGCACTTTCATTTTGCGCCATTCTACATTTACTACAACAGATACGAATATACAATACAACTAACCATTTCAGTAAATTGTGACCGCCATCAAAGAGTTTTATTATTGGCTCTTTACGCCAAGCAAACATCAAGAGTCTTCTGCATGTTTATTACCTTTGCAATATTATGACAGCCCAATATAAGGACCTAACATTCTAAAGCGACGAAGATAAACCGCGAATATCAACATAACCAGCTAACACGGTTTTGTTCCTTTCCTTCACTTTCGTCTGATATATAACCCTGTGAAAACATGAAAAGCTAAGTTCAAGTTTTACTTATAACAGTAATATGGATAATCTATGTAATATATTACCAATGAACAATACAAGGGAGGGAGAGAGAGAGAGTTCTACCTCAAGCCTTCAAGCCACATTTCGGTTATTAGAGTTTCGCCAGGAAAAACAGTCGTGAGGAATCGTCCAGATATGGTTTTGACAGCAGTTGGGTCACCCTTGCAAACACACTTGATGATTGCCTTGATTGCAAACCCGAGTGTGCATAGCCCATGCAATATCGGGCGTGGGAATCTTCAATGAAACAAGTGTCAGTCGTGTGGCAGTGATGTGCAAGTTTTGGAAGAAAGAAAAAAAAAACATTTAAGTGGTTACTACTACCCAAAGATTCCATGTAATGCCTTGAGTAGTACAATGAATAAAGAGGGATTTGAAACATTTAAATCTGTTGGGCTCAAATAACAAAACTTCTTTGACACAAAAGAGCTTTCATATACCATCAAAAGAATGGTACAAGTTAGCATTGATAGCTCAAAACTATGATGGAACTTAAGATTCATTTCTTGCAGAAAAATGTAGCGGCAGCCGTTTATGGTTATATCCTCAGAATTACTGAATTAAAACGTTGCTATGTAACAAGAAAAAAACGAACAAGGAAAGTATGATCTAGCATGACAATGTCTGAATGAGAAGCTATATAAGTGGTTCACTAACCCGGCAAGTTTTGCAAATTCTGGATCTGAATGCAGAGGGTTATAGTCACCAGACAGCCTATAAAGCAATGCCTGCCAGGAAATATAAACCAGAGGGTCAGATAAAGTAAACAAGTAGGCGTCAAAGGGAACATAAACAACTTAAATCACTATCAAAGGTACACCAAATCCAGCACAAAACAAATCCAAATAAGTTTTTTTACGAATTAACTTGCCTGCGATGGTTGGGTGCGCTCTTCGCACACTGTCAAAGGTTGTCTTTGTGGGATTTTCACAGCTAAGCCCTGGTTACTTGGATAGTTTTTGTAAGAAAATGGTTGAGATGAATTTGAGAAACCACCAGCACCTCTTAGAAATACAGTCGTCCTGCAGAGAAAGTCCCAAGTTTAGTTCACGAGTGTCCAAGCTTAATTTCCAAGAATAAGTACTTACAGAGACGTATTTTACCTATTCATGCATAACAGTTCCCCTGACCCTTCCTCGTAACTTCTGGTTTCTAATTCAAGGATAGCTGCTTTACCTAAAAGATTGCCATCAGAGAGAAAAAAAAAAGATCAATTTAAAAGTTAACTTTTTAGTTCTCTGTAGTAGAGTTAGTTTTCTGCTTAAAATTGGAGTCAAACAAAACAGAAACAGCAGTAACAAGTACCTTTATCTTGCAATCCAGCAAGGCTTACTTTGTTAACTAACTGCGCCAACACAAACAACATCAATTCAGAAAAATGAAGCAAAAGGCCACTTTGGATATTAGAAGATAAACCAATCAGAAAGTTCTTGAAGATCTAATTCCCACGGTCCTCGAAAACCAATCAGTATAAGGGTACAGTGCCTAGAGCAAATCCTATAATCAAAAACAGTTCCTATATACGGGTAAAAGCCACTTACAGAAGCCTTGGAAGGTAATGGCCTGTATATTTCAATGTACTGCTGTCCATGCAACAAGAGACTAGGATCATATCTGCAGACAAGATACAACAACATCTTCATGTATTTGGAGCTTTCTCATATAAAACCACAATAAATAAACATAAAACAGAACATTTTTGCTTACTTAAAACCTGGCAAATCCAGTCCTTCTGTCAAAGATCCAAGTGTGAATAGTGAAGCAAAAGTTGGTAAGACCTATAATTTAAAGCAAATAACATCGATTACTCAAATTAAAAAACATAGAAACATCACAGCTAAATTCCAGATCAATCATTGAGAGATACCTGGATCAAATCCTGGCCATTTCTGTGATACACAAACTTGAGCTCATCGGAATCAACAGCATCTTGGCCACAAGCGCCGATACCCAAAGCATAGATTGCTACATCTCTATTTTACACAAGTGAAAATCAAATTCTTCATCCATCTGTTTCGTTAATTTTTTCAATTTCCTAATCTCCTTCGATTTTCTATCATTTTCTTCTTCATTTACACAGATACAAGAGTAGGGAGAGAAACACGAAGAGTGAAGATGCAAACCTTTCGTTGTAGGTGTATCGCGTCTGTGAGCAAAACCAGAAGGAAAAAAACGCGATCAAAGAGAGTGCGATTACAGAGAAGTTTTGGCTCGATCACCGAAAGATCTGATCAGAAATCAATAAGAATGTAGAAACGAAAACAAACCTCGGGAAGCTTGTGAGCGAGAAGAAGATCAGAATTGAATTCAGAATCGCTAGTCCCCATCTCCGATCAGGATTAGAGCTCAGCTTCCGTGTCCCAGCTGATTTTTCTCCTTTCAGTGTTCAACGTTTAGATAAGTCGTTTTCTCTATATACACTAAACGACGTCGCTTTTTTAGATCAATCAAAATTCAAATCCCAATGCCTATACATAAGATAAGATGGATATAGGATTTTTTTTTCTTTTTTTGTCTTATTCTATAACACATACGATCAAATTGTATACTAGAACATTAATAGCTTTTCAGGTGGAGAAAGCCAAGGAATTAGATAAGTTATCGGCCAAGTTAGACGACGTGGATAAGATGATATGTTTTAAATTATGAATCTTTGAGTACTATCCTAAGGCGCAATGATACGTTAAATGGGATATATGCTTCTGACTTGCTTTGGTTAGACCATAGTGGTTCAACAAGACCCCACCGGGAGCATCAACATTTGGCCATGATACTCTTGAGTCTACTAACCAGTAACAACCTCAATATATCTTCACTTTACATATTTGAATTAATAACTGAAGATTCATATCGTATCAAACTGTAACACTGTTGATGAGGATAAGCTTTACGATGAAACTGTAGAATTATATTGAATAAAAGTTTCGCTCCATAGAAAAAGAAAGAATATAAGAATGAGACCTCGAGCTGAGATCGTTACAAACTGATATACTGATTTTACCATAAACTCTTTTCATTCATTAGAAAAATGAAGAATGTGTAAAACAAGAAACCCGCCTCGAGAACGCGTCAGCTGGTTTGGCTGACCATCTCTCCGTCATCTCACTATCTAACTGCAAGCTCAAAGTGGTCTGGTGCGGCGACCACTGGCTCTACCGCAGAGAAGAGCGTTCTTGGGGATTGGATATTCATCTCTGAGAGAAGTCGAGGGTGTGTAGACACGTAAATACAACTGTTGTCCTAAGTATTGCCTCGCCCAGAACTCAGATCTTAGGTTCCACATTCCTACGTTGTCCAGTGCTATTAATATAGCCGTCCATGAGCTTGGATATACCTGTATATGAATGTTAATCAAACGGTTCACATTTGACGAAAAACATGATTAGATTATGGCTTTAGTATGCGGAAGCTGTGGTTTACCTGAACGGTGCATCGGGCAACTGCATCACGTAGATTGTACTCGTTCCTACTGTCTGGACTCCACTGCCCACCGTCCATTCTGTATCAAAAGAACCATCTTTAGTCCAACGGCTTATAGCGATCAAGATCAAGAACTCTCTTTTTATGAATGGAAGAATGGAACTTACCCAACAACCCAGAAAGAGTAACCATCAAGATGCCAGCTCTGAACAATATCTTCAGAGTTTTCGAAAATAATCTCTATAAAGGTTCTGTAATCAACTTGCATAACAGATGTGTCGAGGTATATTCCTCCACCAGTAGGTTGGTACTGTATACTTCCACTTCTGTAAACACCGTCAATCTTGAAGTAGTCCGCGATTTTTAGAGGAGTGTCTGCTGGCTTGAATGATACACTGTTCACAGCGTATCGTTGCTTCCCGTCAACCTGACCAGCAGAGCTAGCAAGTCTGATTGTTCTTGTAGTGTTTATCATACCGTAGTGGTACGATCCTTGTGGATTCGGTCTTGGTCCGCTCGCTGTAAGGTTAGTCCTACAACACAAAAACATAACAAATCAAAACTTTTAGGCACAACCAACCAAATCCTACAAGAAGCTTTTTTTATGTGCACAGTTAGTATACCTGATGGCTCGAGCCTGGTTCAAGGACCAGTCAATTTGAATGGTTGGTCCACCGGGAATAGGTCCAGAAACAGCACCAGCAGAGTTACTGTAACGGAGAATACCCGTGGTGGTGAGGACATTAGAGGTAAACCGAGAAGAGACGACCACGTAATAATCTCGAGGAGTTTGATCCGCAGTTACAAGGACTGAGTAAGATTGGCCAACATGAACATCTAGCGAAGAGAAAGTAGTCTGAAGAGTATGTGTCCCTTCGACTTCGATCACTTTCATCTTATGGTCTTGAATGCGGAAGTTGAGAGAGTCTTGTAACCCTACATTGGATATTCTCAACCTGTATGTCTTACCTGAAGAAGAAGAAGAAGAATTTACTTCATCAGTATAAGCTCTGAGTAATGCCTTGAATCAATCAGAACTCAAAAAGAGGAAGGGTTAAAAGAAACCTTGTTCAACATTGAGAGTGGCACCACTTGAACGACCATTGATGAGGATACCATCTGGTAAAGGAAGCTTCTTACCATTATCAAGCTGTGCTCTCAAATCCTACACAAACCAATTTACACACAAAATTGAAAATAAGTTGAAGTCCGTTATGGAGTTAGTTACTCTGTTTCACTCTGTTTTAAGCTTATGCATCTTGTATATAAACACTTTTAAGTTCATTTGATGAAGTTAATGAGGAAATTAGATCACATGGTTCTAATAATTACCGTGTGGTTTGATTTGTACCAGTCGCCGATAAGGACGGTGGTATCTCCGGCGGGATCAGGGAAAGGGACAGGGATTCTCGGGCGACTAAGGATACGAATGCCACCAAATCCACCGGCGGCTTTGTGGAAACCGAGAGAAGGGAAGTAATAGAAACTTCCGATCTGATCCTTCATCTGAAGAATGTAAGTGTAGTTCTTCCCCGGCGGGATTGGACATGTCGTTCCATACACTCCATCAACGAACGAGTTCCTCCTCTGCTGAATTCCATTCCTGCGATATTTTTCAAAAATATTTATGTTTAACCCCAAAACTATCATGAATTGTTAATCTTGCCCCTTAAAATGCTCAAGAAATCAATTTTACCCCAAACTATTATGAATTATATAAATTATGCTCCTGAAAAAGAGTGCTACCATGGAAATAAAAAGTAAACTCAAAAGTAGGATTATACAGCTAATAATTTGGTAAGGTGGGCCATTTTCCCACATGTAAATGTTTTAAAATATCACTGTCCAGAAATTGCCATGCATATAAAAAAGAAGCAAAAGTCAGAAAACTATATAGTAAATTAGTAATATGATGTAATGAAATTTAACCGTAATCACCCAACTAATCATGTCGCGTTGTGGATAAATTAATTATTACGTGGACCGAGTCCGACATAAGGTGTGGCCAAAACCAAATCTTTACGTACCCACACTGTTTTTATTTAAACACGTTTTTATTTTTACATCACTATTTTGAAAAAAGGACATGAAATACTATTCACGAGAAAAAGAAAAAATAACTACTACACCTAGCCACTACTATCAATCGACAACGACAGAATTCAATATTATAGGTAACAAAATATCGAATTAAACTTAAATTAGTTGATTTGAAATTTGGTTTAGATTTAGAACAAGATTTAATAAAAATAGTTACCATGAAAGGAGGAAAGGTTCGTCGAGGCTATTGTAGACGTTGATGATGAGATTATCATTAGTAACTGAGTGAATGTCCGGTCCCGGAAACTGCCCGTTGATCAGTATACCCTAAACCGGAAAATGCAGCGAGATCCACAGATTATTAATCACCGGATCTAAACCAAACATGGGATTAACTAAACTGATATCAGTACCTGTTGGCGAACTCCGAGTGGGTAGATATCGCCGTAAGTGATGTTCCATTCGAAGAATCTGTACGGATCTTCCGCCACGACGGCGAAGAGAAGCGAGAGTCCGATGAGTAATGCGGCGGCGAATGAGGCATTGGCCGCCATTTTTTTTGTATGAAAACCGGTGAAAGAAGAAAGGTATTTTTGGCGTGGTCTCTCTCTCTCTCTCTTTGAGACACAGATTTGAGTGTAGAGTTTATGTAGAGAAGAGTCGGCACGTATTAAAAAGAGGTTTATTACAGTAAGAGAGAGAGATTTAGAGAAAACGAATAAGAGAGAAGAAAACAAAGGTCAGTGTCGGTGGCTGGACCCACGAGCGACTCTGTGTTCACTTTGAAATCTGTATTTGTCTCCCCACAATCCACATGGCTAAGCAACTTGGTGCCATTTTTTATATGAGCCCTCAAAACAATTTAGTTAGAAACAAACCGATTATTTGTGGTAATATTAAACTTTTTTAGATATTGGATTACAATTTGGATTTTTCTACTTCGTTATCCTTGGTGGTAATTTGATTACCGACTGTTTTGGAAGGGAAAATATGTGGTAATATATTAAGGATTTCACTCTGTAAATGCTTTTGATGTATAAATACTGTTTCTAATCTCTCAAAACATTAAGCTAAGGATGCATTTACTGTACCAAAGGTTTTTGTTTGAATAAAATTTTACATTCATACAAAAAAAAAAAGTCACACATATTAAAAGAAAAAACAAATTCTATCTAGTTTTGAAAAGAGAATAATTGGAATAATTCTTCTATTTTAGTTATGATATTTTCAGTAAAAAAAGTTTCTTCCAGTTTTTTTGACTGGTAGAAACTATTTTTTTTAATTAGTTTTAACCAGTAATACTAATATCATATATATTGGTTTGTATAGTTGGATTTGAGTCTTCCTTACTGTATATTTTTTCAGTCAAATGTCACAATGTGCATTAAAGAGCCGAAGATAAGGTCTTCCAATTATCGAATGGAGACATATATATAAATACACATATCCTAGTGTAATTATTCTCTATTTAATCAGTAAAATTCAGACTTACGTTTAGAGAACCCAATAAACAGCCTAGCTATAATATGTGACGTGTAGAATAGCATAATAAAACTTCGAAACGAAGATAACACAAACAAAATAATCGGCCATGAAAAAGTAATTTATATATGCGTCTATTATTCGAATAAAGGAATAATATTGTTTTATCTTTTCATTTTTTTGGGCTGTTGTATCATGTATGTCCTTTAAAGTTGCTAGAGGATGAAGAAGGGACCGTTCCTGATGGTAAAATCAAATTCGTTTGGAAGCTCAATTCATTTTCTTTGGCATTTTCGAATGTTTTTTTTTCTTTTATGTAACTTCAATTTCTGGACAGAAGCAAAACTTCAGTGGTAATTCTCAATTTTTGGCTTTTAATGAATCTCTCTACTCATTTGGCAAAAAAGAAGGAAAATATTGTAGAAGGATCCAAAAGTAATCAGAAGAAAAAAAAACCTTACGTGTAGCTATCAAAAAGCAAAACATTAACCTGACATGCGTTTACATTTCCGGATTTATCGCCTCTCACTACTCTCATACTTTTCTTTGTTATGGGTCATTAGCACTTTAATAAAAACTAACTCTCCAAAAATTAAGGTAAAGTGAATGAAAAAGAACATTTAACTACCAAATTAGAAATTTGCTACAAGAAGATTATAATTGGGTGAAGAAGCGACGCGTCAGAGCAATTTGAAATTGCCGTGGGGTCCTAAATTATGGAATAAAGTGTTGATCTAGATAGGCCTGTATAAATGACAACACTTTGAAAAGATCACACAATAATACAAAAAAGAAAAAGAGAAAGAAGAATAAATTAAAAAATATACCAAAAAGATACAAAACGCGTACGGTGACTGTAAAATGTAATAAAGACACATGGATTAGGTGTTCCATGTGTGGACAACAACATTCGAATTCTTAGTACATTGATAAGATACCAGAAACGGCATCGTATTTGGGTACATTTTGTGCAGTGGCGTTAAAACCTGAACAAGAGTTGTGTTTTATAGATGCATTTTGCATAGTACTATTTGCTTTTTACGAAAGAAACTGATATAGTAGTAAATCTACTACATTGTCAAATCCTTTTTACCACTTGAAAGTTGCAGAATTAGTTGGTTTAAGAAAACTAAACAAATTAAGCGATGGTTTCGATTTAAAATAAACGTCAATTATTACCCATGAAAACCACGTTGACTTGAAATGAGTTAGGTTGATCAGCTAGTAGTTGAGGTCATTGATGGTGTAATACTGCTGGTTCAAGAATCACCAACCAGGACCACTAAACCAGGAAACCAGCTGCAAAAACTTCTGTGCCATAGAGGCAAAACTAAGAATTATCTAGTAGGACAAATTCTATAACAATGGGTATGTATAACAGCTTCTATACAGTACCAGTTTGGAAATTGTCATATCATCCATTGCAGTCTCATAAGCTTTGGCATTTTTCTTTTAGTTTAGAAATCCAGAGATCCGCATTGTTTACTCTCTATAGATTTTGCAGTAGACCTAGCCTTTGTGTCCTTCTGATCATTTCCGCTTCCTCGTGGTCTTCCAATGCCCATCTTAGGCAAACCACGGTTCAATCCCTCCAACAAAACACAAGCTTTGCACCATTTCTGCATTATCGTATAAGATCATTCATTCAAAAAAACACAAAAGCACATTATACTCCACTCCAATGCACATCTTATTATACGTTGTTAGTTCATTTTTATAACATGACTTGATGTGATAAAGAGAGAAGTCTCACCTGGCTAGAAATATACCCACATCTCTCACACGTCCCTTGCTCAGGCATTTTTGTGGTTGTCGCAATTCTGAAGTCTTCACCAGATTTGATGATATCCAGAATAGCCCTTGGCCTGTAGTTTATATAATAGAAGTTGGAGATTTACTTGCTTATTTGGTTGTGATGAATATAAACAGTAAAAGTTGAACAAGAACCTTAGTCGTTCCAAGTCTTTAATGAACTCACGAGCAAACCCACGATAAGCATTAGGAGAGTATATGCCTGCAATCAGAATAAATGATTCAACTCCAATAGAAATGACCATATTATGCATTCAGCTCGTAGTGGACTTAGACTAGTAGCTAGTTAGCTAGAGCTCTATTCAAGTGATATTTAAGAACAGAAAAACAAAACTTGGAAAATAAACAACTTACATTCGGTAGAGAAGTAGTCCAGCTTCTTGAAATAGGCATACGTGTCACTATGTTAAGGTCTCACGATATCTTCTGTTGACAGTTTAAAGCTGTTTTAAAAAGCAAAACAAAGGATTTTGTAGAAAAGGATATATGACAATCTCCTTCTCGTATGTATATTTGAAAGGTTTACATCTTGGAATTGGACCATCTTCGCCAGTAGTGATTGATGTGCACCTACTCAATCTACAATAGCCAAGTTACAAATCAATCAATTGAGGGAAAGGAGACATCTTGCAGGCAAGAAAAACCATCACACAAATATATTTACCTAGCAATATCCCCTCGCAGTATGTTTAAGAGAACTGTTTCCGCTATATCATCTGCATTATGTCCAGTGACTAGCTTATCTACTTTCAATAATGCAGCTCCTCGATCAAGTGCCTTCAAAAGATCAATCAGATATGAAATCATAAAACAGAAAAAGATCGGTCTGAAGACACTTGCTCAAAGAGGGAATGCTATTGAAGAAACTTGCTCCTCACCTGTCGACGGAATACACCACAAAAGGTGCAATTGTTCTTCAAACCGATCATCTTCACAATCTCGTCCATTGTCCACCCATACAGATCTTTATACGAAACAATCTGCAGAGGCAACCCATACTGAAAGGAAAAAAAAAATTCTTGAAATGACAAATCTACATAAGTGATCTTCTTAAGACTATTATTTTCCGCAATGCAATGCAATGCTAGTATCTTTTTCATCAACAACTATAAACCAAAACAAAAAAATGAAATTTCAGTTACACATAAATTCAAAAGCTTACTTGAACTTCGTTCCTTTTAACAGTCTCGAGAGAATCATCACGATAACCCGTTATCCCTTCATCAATAGACAAAAGAAAAAGATCCAGCCCGTAATTGTGACGTCTATTTAGTTCTGATAATACATATGCCAGCACTGTCGAATCTGCACCAGCACAATTTTTTGAGTTATTGGCCGCAGAAAGAAAGAAACATAAACAGTTGGAAAAACATTATGGCGCAAACATCAAAACTAAAACAGAGTGATTCGTAAAAATATAAAGGTTCAAACTTTGAAGCAGAAACCACCATTGGTGTGTGTAAAGAAACTACCTTTTCCACCGGAAGCACCTATAGCAACTCGCTCACCGGACTTAAATAAACGATTCCCGACAATGACTTGGTGAATCTCTTCCTCAAAAACCTCATAGAAACACTCTCTGCATATCTTTATACAAATACTCACATCATTGCTTATACATAACAAATTAACTAGCAGTAGATTGATAAACTACGATCATAGAAACACTCTCTGCAATATTGGCTTTACGCAAAATGCCACAAGAGTAACACAACCAACGACCCAGCTGGACGATTTTTTTATCCTAATTCATAAATTTACCTGTTGAAGGGTTTTCGGTCGTTTGAGGACGGGTCGTCTCTGGTTGCAGATACAGCAGAGACGAGACCCTCCTGCCTTCTTGCTTTTCGCTTCGCCTGCCTCCATCTTCTCCGGTGAATCAAACTCTTGAGTTTTCAAGTCGGCGACCGGTAAAAACAACGACCTAACTCGGAGTCATATTCAAAGAACGGCGTCGTATTTGGTTTCGGTATCTAACTTGTTTTAGTCATTAATGGGCCCATTGGGCTTTTTAACCCTTTATCAAAAACCCACTTACTTACGAGATTATAGATACCCACAATGATGAGCGTTTAAGACATTATTAACTAAGGATATGGTCCATTAATGGAAACTTTTTGTGATTAGCTGGATCTCATTTGATCTTATCAAAACTACTAGCATATTAGGGATACGTTACGTCAGTTGATCTACAAAAATATCTAAGTTGGTCCATTTTCTTACACGTTTTGAGTAGTTGTGTCGACCACAATGCCAAATCAATCACTAAAAAGAAGTTATGATCGTGTGACGAATCATGTTTCTTCTATACCAACGCATTTAATTTCCTAAATACGAATTGATTGTTAATCAAACTGGGGTCATGTGTACGGCTTTGAACAATAGTTGAAGATTATCAACACAGAAATTAGATCATGTTAACTTACTTGGGCCGTTGGATAACTCTTATAACCAAATGAAAATATTCATATCATTAAAATACCTTGAGATCTTTTGTTTTTAAAAACCATATACAAGAGAAAAACAAGAAAACTGTAATAATCAAGAAAAAAGCCAACAAACTTACACATCACAAAAGCAAAAGATGATCCACCAACACAATAAAAAATAACAAAGCAAATCAACCATCATTATTCATATTTTTAATCATTTTTTCTTATTCTTTGTCCTTCTTCTCCTCCTCTACGGTGGTCTTGGGGTGGTATCCTGGAAGCTTCTCCTTAATCTTCTCAAGAATCCCTTTCTTCTCCGCCGGATGCGCTTCCTCCACCGGAGGAGGAACAACCACCGGTGCCGCAGCGACGGCTGAACCATCTTCCGGCTTCTTACCATGTCCTGGAAGCTTCTCCTTCAACTTCTCCATAAACCCTTTCTTCTCTTCCTCTGTTTTCACCTCTACTTCAGCAACTGGCTTCTTCTTCTCCTTCTTCTTCTTCCTCTTCTCACCATCTTCACCTTCTTCCTCACTTGACTGTCAAAACTCAAATCCATATAGTTAGATAAAATCATTCGATCATGTTAACATAGTTTATTATCAACACATCAGATCTAAACTTACGGAGCTAGAAGAACTGTCGCTTCGGTGAAGCTTCTCAAGGAGACTTTCGTGTTTAACCTCCGGCGCCGGCTCCGGCTCCGAAATATGAACCTTCTGCTCAAACTCTGAATCGATTGTCGTTTCCTCGGGTTTTGTTTCGTCCTTCTTCTTTCCCAAGAAATCGAACAATCCACGATCTGTAACCTCAGCCGATGATGCTACCTTTGGCACCTCCTGCTCAGGAACGTTCTTGATTTCCTCCGCCATAATTATCGGATAAAAAAAGATTTGAGATCGAAACGCGGATTTGAAAGTATTATTATGTGAAGAGTTTCAAATTCAAAAGCAAACGAGAATAAGAGATGATGGAGATTAGAGAAGAAAGTGTGTTATATAGTGTTGAGGACACAGGAGGGGTCCAATCCACCGCGGATTTCACGCTCATTGTACACTTTTTTATAATTTAGAAACATATATCTAATTATAAGAAATTGCAAAATGGCCCGCTTTTTTTTTTTCCTTTTTATGGCATCTTCTCTTTCGTCCCCACGTAAATTATCATTTTTCTGTTTATTAGATAAAATTATAAATGGATTAAGAAGAATTCAGTAATTAATTTAAAAATAGTTTGCTTACGTGATCAGAGGCCATTCTCTAATACATTATCTGATACTACATGTTAAAAGCAATTTAGTGGAACAAAAATTAATGGATAGGAATGACAACTAGATATAGTGAAAACTAAATAGTTTCAACATTCGAGTTTTTTTTTTAAAATCAACATACGAGTTTGTTCTAGACGTTTACTATTTTTAATTCATATTTTAGACTATCATAAGATTTTTTTGTTTTAATACTTGTTATGTGGACTTTGTAGTTCAATGATCGATTAATAAAGTAAAAGAAAACTGATTCAAACTTTAAAAAGAGTACGGAATATATACAACCAGCAAAAAAAGTTTTTTTTTTTTTTTGACAACGCAAAAGAGATTTTAAAGGAAGAATGGGATGTCGTTATGACATTATTGCGCTTTCTTAAACTTTGGGGCTTTCTTTATATATATTCAGAAATACAGGAACTATATTGCAAATCCCAAAAATGGATTAAAGACAAGAGAGAGAGTTTAAGAATTTAACAATTTAACGCACCATAGATTGGAAGACACGTGTCAAGCATTAGCGTAAATCGGACGATGAAAGTGAGTTAGCGGCAAACTGTAGTCAGAAAATGGAAAGACGGATAAAACGAGTCAGAGAGAAAATGAGAATAATCAATAAAACTATGACACGTGTCAATATAACGTGGGAAGTTGTCCTTTCGTGGGACCCAAAAGTCTATACTGATTGGGATAAAGACGTGGTGTCGGTTACGTGGGTCCACTTGACTTATTGACTAGTGCCACGCTGGAATAAGCTTGTTCGAGAAGAAATGATGAATTCTGAGACATTTATAAGTTATAACGTTCCTGTTTTCAATTCTAAGCGTTACAAACAAACCAATATCAAACGTGATTCTTTAATTCTTATCACGCTAGGAATCATCAACGATTTCGGGGTTTATATTAACTTCTTATTATTCACTAAACAAACCAATTCAGAGACGCATGATCTTTCAAATTCTAAATACATGATCTTAGATACGTTAAACGAAACAACTAATCCAACAAAATTCAGATGAGTAATCTAATTAGTACGATTGGCACAACTGATTAGAGAGGGATGACTTATGCTTGTGACAGTGCAACCGGATCTAAGTCTTAGTCCTAAATGCTACAACTAGAGAGGGATGATTTATGCTTGTGAATCCGCCAAAAGTATTATTAAAGGATGATCGTGGACCTAAACAAACTAAAACTAAAGATTTCGAACGAATAAAAATTAAAAAGTTAACATCATCTTCTTCTTCTTTTTACTATTTTTGGGGCACATAAAATCATCTTTCGTAATCTCATTTATGGATAAAGGTTGTGTGTATGAATTTTTTCAACGTAACCGGATATGTTTTAATGCATTTTTTAAAGAGAAACTTAGATGTAGTCATGTAGATAATGAAATCATGAGTAGACAAATGATACGATTACTGGGATTTCTAATGAAATATGTTAATGTGTGGGATGTCATTTTCGACCTATTGAATAAGATATATTAAAAATATTAGTGAAGGACAGATGCTAATCGGTAGATGCATCATCTCTTAAAATTCGCCTAATATAAAAATGAACCGACGTGCCACATGATTCGAATAGTCTCTGGTCTGAAAATTTAATAAAGACGTAGCACGAACCGTGACGTACCAACACACATATCAAAACAAACCTATCTTTTTCAATACTAACTTGTTCGTCTTTTTGGTTTTTGTTGTCATATACACCGAATTCTCTAACTTATTCTTTGGATAATGTTTTCGGTGATAGCGAACCGACAACTTGTAGCCGACACTTATAATCCACAATGAACTTAGAGCCATAGAGGTATACAAAATACTATAATTCGAAAGTTTCTGATTTCTGAACTTAACGACAAAAAATTACTTAATTACATGTAGAATTAAGTTTAGTGCTAAGTAACGACCGTCATGCGTTTGTTCTTAGGTCTATTTCTCCTTTTTTCACCGTCCGTTTGAGTTTTATGGGCGTGATATTTGCCTTATTGCGGTCAAATCAGGAATATTCAACAATATTTAGCACTCGCTTTATTTGGTGGGACACGAGAATCAATCGATGCATCGCTATTTTTTCTTTTCGACGCTGCTATTTTCTAAAACGAATTTAAAAAAAAAAAAAAAATAGTTCCGACCAAAATTTTTTTTTTATAAAAAACATAGTAATGATAAAGGGCCCAATAAAGTATGACGTTAAAAAAAAGAGCCCAATACCCATGGTATGTGCTTAAGAATCCAAATCGGATCTATAACCCGACCCGGTTATTGACACCGAGAGAGAGAGTCCACGCAACGTTGGCCGAATTGCTAACGAATCGAACATCGTTTCTTCGCTGTAAATTTTGTTGATGCGAAATTTTTCCAACTCACAGATTTCGTGTTTCCATAGTTTTGGATTTCTAGATTATAGTTATATGTTTGTGACAGATTTTTCCTACATCTCGTGATCCTCCTCCGACGCTTGTTGAGCTCTCCGGTGATTCGGGACTGTGATCGGGGACTTGGTGGAGAAGGCGATGATAACGAGATCGAATTTAGCAGAGCAGCTGAGGGAATATCAGATTAGATCGAAACATGATTGGGCTTCCGTTTCTTTCTTTTCTTCAACCTCCAATTTCTCTTCCTCCAGGTTAGAGAACATCTCCTGCCTATGCTTTCCTTTTTCTCTGCTGTGATTCGCTTAGAGTTGTATTAGATTTTATCCATTGATTTTTTTCTTACCTTCGTGATATATTATTCAATTCTATTAGAATCTAGGTAACATATCTATGTGAATTCTACACAAGGAACTATAATTTTGATATGACAAGTGACTTTGTCCTCGTTGAACCATCTTTTTCATATCTGAATTCGTTTGAAGAAATTTTCAAATTGACTAGTAGCACAAATAGTTTCTACGTTCTTGTGAATAAGATTAATTCACAACCCACAGGTTCTGATTAAGAGTTTTTCTTTTGACTCTATCAGTAGTTTGTTGTGTTAAGTTGTATTTTCCAGCTTCAAGGTTTTATATAATTGTCTAGTTGCTCTGTGACATCAATGATAACTTTGACCTTATCATTCTTTGAACGATAAAGTTAATTGTGCAATTCGAATGGCCTTAGGTGTTTTTACTTAGAGCGTTTTATAGGCTTCAGTCTTGATGACCCGCTTTTTTCTTTCGACAACTCAATGGAAGATATAATCAATCCCACCAGAACACAGTTTTTTAGATGCAAAACATGATTATGTTTGATATCATATGGCATGGCACTATACAGTTTTACTCTTGCGATTTTGATTCTATTGTTGTATTTTGACAGTGAACATTTTATAGTGGTACTTATGCAATTTGTTTCGTTTGCTTTGATTCAGGGTCGATGTTGTAGTATTTGTCATATGGGAACTAGTGATCTTAGCATTCCTGGTGTTTTCAGCAGTATCCTTTTACTTCAGGAGGTTGCAGCTCGCATTCATCCTGGTTTGTGTCACCTTACTATTACTCGTCTGTATGAAAATCACAAAGCAAGTGAGACAAGCAAGGAAGAAGAAGCGAAGAATGCTTCTTCCTCTCTCTATGTAAAGACCGAAACCACTGCGCAGTTGCAAACTTTTTATCTTCTCACGCAACCATACCCAACTCTTTCCTGGCATGAGCATTGTGCCCATATATTTTGATGAAGATAACAGTTAAAGCTCAGACTGACTCTGGGACACGTCGCCTTTGTCCGTTGAAGAATCGACCTGACTTGAGATATGAAACCAGGGATTGCAACTTCAGGGCTTAGCTTAGACAAATCAGAAAGAAAAAAAAGTGGTTGTAAAGGTTGTTTTCCTGTATAAAAAGTAGTATGGGGTTGCATTATTTTTGCTAGGCACGATCACGGAAGATTTTTTGTTTACTTGAGCGTTTTGTGATTAAAGATAGTTTCCAATTCCATCTATCTATGTTACACTTAATATCATGGTGATGTGATTTTGATTTGTTGGCTGTAAAAGTTTTTAAAAAATGATTTGCAGGATTTTCATGTGACGAGAGAGAGAAAAAACCAACGAACACTCATGAAAGCAGAAGAGAGCACTATAAAATGAAAAGTGAAAAGTAGCAAGCAACTTGCTCGAAACGCTCACATCACACTACCTTTGCGCTCTGCAACCACTTTAGTATTTTGTTAAAAAAAAGTGGTAATAGTTATAGTATTATTTGTAATGTTATGTAGTTATGATCTGTCAATACACTAACTTAGCTTGATTTGATTCACTCAATTTACCAAATAATGAAATACTGTTTACAACATGACGAGCCCTTATCAAAAATGGTGGTGATATTGCTTTGTCAAAGTTCATTGATGCAAATTAAAAACAAGTGTGTTAGTAACCAAAAAAAATTGCAGTTTAGTCTCTCGATATTTGTAGAACGTACATAAAAATTCACGAGTGGTCGTGATCCAATTTGTGGACAAATTTGAAAAGCAACTAAAAACAATAAAATAAGCACGAACATCCTTTTCCCTCCACACATACCAAAATCCACTGTTTGGTCCAAATATTTGCTATATATGCACAGAAGCAGTGAGGCACTTAAGGTTGCATACAGATATATTCACAACGAAAATATCAAAGCCGAAGAAACACACATACATAAATCATATGAAGAAACTATATTCTAAGGGGATTAGACTCTCCGAATTGATGGAGAAATGGAGAAAAAGGAAGAAAGGGCACTTCGCTATGTACACGAACGAAGGGAAGAGATTCGTTTTACCATTGGATTATTTGAATCACCCGATGTTACAAGTGTTGTTGGAGATGGCTGAAGATGAGTTTGGGACTACCATAGATGGTCCTTTAAAGGTTCCTTGCGATGGAAGTTTATTGGATCACATCATCATGCTTGTGAGAAGGAGCAAGTCCCATGATTATGATGATGTGGAGAAGTCTTCCACGAGCAGCAGCTGCAAGGGAGCTTCAATCTCTTCTCTCTTTCGTGGACAGAGCCAGCTTCAGTCATTAGTTTCCTAACAATTTGGAGTTGCGACTTTGAAGAAAATGGTCTTGTAGATAACTTTTTTTTGGAGAAGGGTCGTCCTTGTTTGTGTATAACAACAACATGATCTTGTAATTAATTACTCATAATTGTAATGTATCATTAAATTTGATTTTGAGTCTTCTTGACTGTTAAAACAAAGATTAGTTTAACTAAGCGAAGGAGATGTGGTAGCTTTGCAGCTTAAATTAAAGAAAGAAAAAAAAAAACACAGATAAGGAAATGGGCTTTTGGTCTTTAGCTTGGGCCCGAAGCCTTTTAATTAAGGCCTTACTAAAAGTCGCGACTCACATGGTTGAATCAAATCTCAGGTAGTATTATTTGTCAAAGCAGGGGAGAAAGAAAGCTTTCGGTCTGAAATTGAAGTGCGAATCGGGGAATCTAGGGTTTCGAGAGAGAGATAATGGGTGGAGGAGGACATGGCGGAGGTATAACTTACAAGGGAGTCACTGTTCACACTCCTAAGACGTGGCACACCGTCACCGGAAAAGGCTTGTGCGCCGTTATGTGGTACATTTTTCTCTCTCACACCTAATTCGCTTTTGATTTGGGTCTTAGCTAATCTCGATCGTATATAGATCTCATCATCGGATTTTTGGGCTAATTGATCATCTGAGGAATTTGGTATTTAGAATCCATTTGATTTTCTGTTTCGGTTTTTGAATCAAATTTTGGATTTGGTAGATGTTGATTTGAATCAGATATTGAAATGGTTGAAGAAGTAATGGCCTAGGTTTTATTTTTCCCTAGCATTCACATCTTAAGAACTCAAATTTTTGATATTTTCAGGTTCTGGATTCTGTACAGGGCAAAGCAAGATGGTCCTGTAGTTATGGTAAGACTCTCTTTCATTTTTTTATCTTTGTCTCGCTCTTGTAACTTATATTGGTCCTAATTCTTTCGTGGTGTCTGAATCTGATTTTGCTATTGGCAATTGATAGGGATGGAGGCACCCTTGGGATGGCCATGGTGATCACGGTCACGGGGATCATCACTAGGTAATGTCTGTACTAGTAGTATTGTTGATGGAATCATTAAGAAAGACGATTAAAAAATCTCTCTTTTCGTAGTAAATACGCATTATTGTTTAGACGGTGCAGCAATTCCTCAATGAAAGCTAATGTCTATGCGTAATGTAGTTTTAGCGATTTTAAGTTGTCACTTACTAACAAGATCCCTTGCTAACCGCTATGTAGTTGGTTTTGAAGAAAGATGGTAGCTTTGATCTGGTTTTGGTTCATACAAATGGTGAAAGTTTAGAGGATCTTTAACTTTTCTATAGAATGTTCTTGATTTATATCTACTAGAATGAATCATTGACACTCTTGGAATTCAAGTGAATGAAAATTGAGTGCTTTTATCATAAATGTTTGTTATAAGTTAAGTGGTACATGTTTTGAGTTTTCTCTTTGTTGAGACATTGATGATTTGTAGTTATCCTCGAGTTCACCTTTCATGTAACCATATAAGCATTGCTCAAACTACTTGAGACTAATCTGGTTTTGGGTTTTTCTGCTAGGTCTCACTGAACCTTTGAAGATCATGACGACAAAAGGGATGGTCTCTTGTTTTTTTTTAATTTTCAGCTTCATATGTCGAAATAAAGAGAACTGTGAAGAAGACGTGAATTGTTATTGTACACAACGTTGTAAGACTTGCTACTTCTGTTTAAGTTTCTGCTTGTGTTGCACTTCCTGATGATGTTGTCATTTTGCTGTCTACAAATTAATTTGAAATAAAATGCATTGCGAGATTCGTGTTTTAGATCCAGCCTTCAAGGCTCCAATGATACGAATTACAAAGAAACACTATAAATTAGTTATATTCGTGGTGTTAGGGGGATCTAAGTATACAATTAATACTTGTGAAACTGAAATTGTAAATGGTATATATAATTATATTTGAAAACGAAAAATGTTAATTTAATAAAATTGAAAATGTCTATTCTGACAATGTGAAATTGTGAATAGATAAACATCTATAATTCAACTTTTACTTGAATAACAATTTCATTTGAACTCTTTTTTAGGAAACGGGTAAAAATAAAATATATAGAATAAAGAATATGATGTTGCAAACTTGAAATAAGTTTACAAATCAATCTATAATATTAACTAAACATGTCCGCTTGAAGCAAAACCTAACCGGACTACCATATATTATCTAGTTGGTGAGAATATTAAGAAGTGAAACTCTCGTCTGAATCAATCGCCGAAAAAATAGACTCCAACTCTATCTCAAGCTCCTCTACAGCAATCTCCGCTGCCTCCAACCTCGTAGTCGCACTTTGCCACCGCGGTCTCGTCCCATACATCATCTAACAAATAGGAAGACCGAATGGTAAAGATCGAAGACAAAGACCCTTTGCTCGATCTCTTCTCTAGCCAAGGAATACAACCAAGTGAGAACAAAGACTCAACCATCGTCACAACTACTCTTCTCACTTCCTTCAAAACCTCTGCTACAAACAGAAGGTTCTGTTCTATTGGCATGGCCACTCTTCCTTCGCTTCCTTTCATGTTCTTCAAACAGTTTTAAGCATTTCAGTGTCTCCTTCTTGAGCTTGTTCTTATACCGATTATACGCAGCTATCTTCTCGTTGACATCAGATGATTCGCTGCCACGTAGAGTCAGTTGTAGATCTTGCAAGCTGTGTTTCCCGAGCGTCATCACATCTTTGGATACGTTACAGATGTCTAACATCCTCAATGAAGCTTCTGAAACTTGTTCCGTACATTTCTCTTGTCCTTGCTGAGACAGAGATTCTCTTGTTTTCGGAACAGTGGTCGAGGAGATAGTTTACGCCAGTCATGTAGCTCTCGCAGACCCTCAAGTTAATCTGAGCCATAGATCTAAATCTATTCGAGATCCTTAGCTATAAGAATGTAAAGAAATGAATTTGAAAAGGTATAGTTTGTGATCTAATTTGTGATTGGTTTTAGGGCTTTTTGAGAGTTTTAAGCGAAGATTAGAGATACATATTGAATGTGTGTAAGAATGAGATATATATAGCAGGGCCGGTCTTTGGATTCTAGTGGCCTAAAGCATACTGAAGGAAAAAAAATAACAAAAAAAAACCATAAAAGGGAAAGAAAAAACGAAAAGAAAAAAACTGTAAAAATAAGGAACTCGAACTCACCACTTGCTACTCAACTACCTAATACATAACCAACTGACCAAACAAAGATTTCTAACATGTGGCCCTAAAAGAATTGTCTAATATTTTGTGGCCTAAAGCACCATGCTTTGGCTGCTTTATGAGCGGGCGGGCCTGATATATAGAGGGTAAGAGGGATCTGAGGGAAAAAGTACGAGAAGGTTCCTAAGTTTGGGTTTTTTGTACGGACGTGGGACCATCTGGGGAACAGCTCATTTTGGAGGTATTATCAAAATAATGATTTTAAATGATTCAAACAGGTCACAATGAACCTTATTTGTACGTAAGAGACACTCGGGGATTAGGGTACATTGTGGATTCGTTTAGAATTATCTTTATATTATATAGTTTAATTTTTAAAAAATATTATATTATTGGGTACTTGAAGTTATAAGGTTTAAGTATACACCATGCATGCACGAGCGACGGGTGCCAGGCTGTGTCGATAAATTGCAACAATTTGGAATAGGACGAGACAAATTAAATATTAAATGAAATGAGAAATGTTTAGATTTTGGATCAGAGTTTAATTATTGTGTTACGTGTTTGTCAGAGATGTTGTAAGAATTAAGTGGATCTATTTATTATTATCAACAAGTCTTACATTAGAGCAAAACAAAACAATTATCATAATCATTGTTAATCCGGAATCTATCTTTCGCAAAATACATGCGATTGTGTGTAACCTCCTCTCAATATGTTTTTCGACCAAGCAAATCACAGTTTCACAATAATACCAATATACCTTTTTTTATAACGTGGATAATAAGAATACGCATTTCTAATTTCTCTATCACTAATGTAACCACCTCGACGGCTCGGACACATGAATACATGATGGATTGGATTTTGTGTTTAAGATTTATATCTCAGGTTATTTTCAACAAATTAGTATCTTCCCACAAATTCTATAATTAGATCCATATCCCTCCAACTCCAAATGCATTCATTTTTATTCTGTTGTTAGTGGAACAATCTTATTATTCGATTTCCCGTTTGGAAGGTATAGCTACTAATTATAACGAATAATCAACTATGCATTATATTTTTTCTGTTGTCATCATCATGTAGAGACATTATTGCGTGATTAAAAAAGAAAAGAGAAAGACATTATTGCGTGATTAAAAAATAAAAACAGAATTCTTAGCAATTCCCGTATGATTAGCTACTTTTTTGCAAACAGCCATCAAAAATAAAATAAAGCCCATAAAACCCAATTAATAAGCCCATTATCCCAAATTCACCCTTTCTCTGTTTTTGCAACAACTATTTTTTTGCTCAGTCTTTATGATAGTAATAAACTTATGAAATATTCACAAATTACTGAATTAATCAGCTGATAATTTTTCTCTCGAACTCGTGTTCTTGACAAGTAATCGTTTGAATATGATTTAAGAACGCTGCACACAAAGTTTTACAAGTTCTTAAGATCAATATGATCTCAGTCTTTGCCTAAACTAAAGCCAATAACACTTCACATGAACAAATTACATTTATACAATCTCAAATAGTAAGCATGTTAAGAAAAGAAACTCTTGTCTTCAACAGTTTTCTTATACACACACTCCAATATCTCTCTGTTTCTTCAATCTCATGCTCTGTTTCTCTCAACTTCTTCAGCTCATCCGCATCAACTTCTTGATTCTTCTTATTAAAAACCCTCGACACAATTCCTCTTCTTGATCTCTTCTTATCATCTCTCTGATCCTTCGTCACTACCTGGATCAACAAAGAAACCAAAACATCGAAGCTCGTCTTTTCAACTCTTTTCATTACATTAATGACGTCTCCACAATCTCTCTTCTTCTTCCTCATCTTATCCTCTGTTTTCTTCAATTGTTTGACAATCGTTCTGCTCAATGCTCTTCTCTTAAACACGTAAGCGTCTAGCTCACGCGCCAAGAAAGCTTCTTGATCTTCTCCTGATTTGCTTCTGACCAATCTCCTCCTCAAGCTTGATTCCAGTTCTCTGACTTGTTCTTTTATCTCCATCAGAACGTCTCTGATCGTGCTGCAGATATCAAGAACCTCGATGAATCCGTCGGAAACATCTTCGAATCCGGATAAAGATCTTTGAGTTTTCGTCGTTTGAAAACGGAGGAAAACTTCGACAACCTCGTACAGATTCTTTAAAACTCCAAGTTTCCGACAAGCGGACTCTGGTTTTTTCTTTAGTATCAGAAGATGATCTTCGATGGCTCGAGACAGAGGATTAACGTCTTCGGACCAGCTTGTTGAACGCACGTGTGCACCAGATGATGAAGTACCATCCATGGCTGATTTACTCTATAGAGATATTAATGTATAGTCAACGAACGAAAGGTTTAATTTCTCGTTAATACTCTCACCAATATATATATGTATGTGTCTCTATGTACACGCATGTTTGAGTTTGTATATATACATATACTTGCACGTAGAGGTAAGTCAATAGACGAATATAGATACAGGCTGGAATTGGCTGTTGCAATTAAGTTTCTTCCGACAGTCTAAAGACAAATCTACACTACTCTCATTCGTGATAAATTTTCCTAATTTTTTTTGGTTGGCATTGAATACTCTTATATGGCTGAAACAAGTCAACAACCAATTAATCACATAGGTGAACATGCTTCTTAGCAAATTGTAAATTTTATGCAAGATCATCATGGACATAACATTCAAACTAAAGTTCAATATAATTGATCAAATGACCGACGTGTATATAAATGATTGCACATAGTATCGTAAATAAAACTCTAATGGTATGGGCTTCGGTCTGAGATTCTCCGCTTGAAAGTATCTAATTTCCAAATTTCAGTTGCTAGACTGCTTGCATGTGCGGCAAACTTGGGTGGGCTGCGGAAATATGAAACCAACAAGAAACAATAACTGTTGGCTGCGAGATCGCTCTCGTAATCTCAGCAAACCTTTATTATAATGCATCATTGGAGATTTCATATATCAAGAAATGTCCAAATACCATTTGTATACAATATATACACGGATACATGTAATATAATAGTTTTCCAATTAGGGGAAAGCTGGAATGTGCACGAACGGGGAAGACTTCTTAAACAAATCCATCAATCAAGTTGGTTTTTGTGACAACCTGGATGTCTTTATGAACGTTTTCGTTTACATAACATTATTGTAGTTATTACGTGTGCATCTATTGTTATTGTATTCATGTCTCCTATATCAGTATACTAAATAGTACTATTACTTTTCTTAAGGTTATTAGAGCAACCCCAATGAATGAGTCCTTAAAAAGGATCCTTAAACATATTTTAATCTTACTTTACAACAATTTTAAAGTTAAGAGTTTTTGATGAATCCTTAAAATAGAGATATTCATGATAAGAATATACAAAAATATAACTAATACAAGAAAAAGGAAATCTACAAAAAGGAAACTCTTGTACGACAACATTTATACAAATTATGAGTTAATAGAGAGATATTCATGATAGGATATGAAGTATACATCCAAACAGATCACACAGGCTAAGGCTAACTCTGATGAATTAGAAAACAATATGGAGACTTAAAACGGAACTGTATAAGGTAATACAAAAATTCCGAATTGAGGCAAAAACTGAGCCTTAGGAAACAAGGAATCTCCATATGATATCTGCAGCAACTTCATGATCATGTCTTCATCGTTCTTGATAGCTGCTTCATTATTAGTAACACTCTTTTGCTGATTGTTACCAAAAAGCCAGCCTTCATCGTTCTTCATTGCTGCTTTATTATCAAATAACGTCTTGAACAGAGATTCTTTGCTTGGCTTATGCTTCTTTCTCTTCTTTGATTCACAAATCGTATCTTCCCTTATCCTCTTCTTACTGTTATGACTAGCATCAGACAAACAGGCATCTTCTTCTTGTGTCAAACAACTCTTCTCAAGTTGTTCTGATTCATCTGAAACTTGCTTGGTTGGCAAATATTCCTCTTTCCGTTGCACCTTTTTAGAATCCATGATTTGTCTTTCCATCTTCGACAAAAGTTCTGACTGATGAATCGAATTTAGGTTTCAGATTACGCCTAAGATCGACACCTCTATGTGGCTCAGAACGAATTGAAACGAGAGATAAAAGAGAACCCTAAAGAAAAATTCTCGACTCGTTTATTGTTATATCGAAGAGAGATCAGAGAAGGGAGAAAAAAACGAGTTTTTGTTGAGAAAATAATGGTGTGGATACTGAGGGTTTTAGGTCTTTATTTAAAGACTTACTTGGGGCGGTGTGGGGATAAATGAGACATTTTCATTGAGGATTGGGAATACGTATTGGGCTCTGACGGGTTTACATTTAACTTTTGGGCTACAATGGGCCTACTTATATATATGACCGTATCGTAAGGCCCATTAGTTAGGGAAAGTCTTCAGTGACATTTGTTAATAATAGAAACCGAAGTTCTTATTAAAGAAAGACGTAAAACATGGGGGACATGTTAAGGCGTGAAATGAACCATTGCTTTTAATCATGCATATACTTGTACATTAAAAAAGGATTTCGATATACAGCCCCACAAAGTTTTATACTCAAATTTCAAACCACACAAAGTTTCAACTTTTTGGAAACACCACTCAAAAATTTTGATTTCTTAAAGATACCACATATATATAATGAGAGATTATGACTTTTTTTTTTTTTTTTTTTTTTTTTTTTTTTTTTCAAATTAATATTATATTAAACAATCCCGAAACTGGGCTTTAGGCTAAAGGGCCTAATAAGAAACTAGGTTACAAAATAACAAAGCCCAAAAACAGGTAGCCGCCGGAGAAGAGATCTGCATCTTGACGGTGACCGGAAACAGGAACCCTAATCTACCATGACCGGCGCTAACAAGAACTCCTCTTTTGCAGCTACGATGTCGACGCACGACTCTCGAGCGGAGTTAGCGAATCCCATCTCAAACCGAAGTCGACATCAAGCCAAGCCCAGAAGTTTTCTCCCGGAATAGATAGAGGCACAGACAACCGGAACCCCATCTCTCAAGAAGAGAGAACACCGAAGCGAACCCTCACCGTCATAGAGATTATGACTTCTTCATAGATCCACATAAATTTAAGTGTAGCATCGTCTAACCCCACAAAGTTTTAAAACTGTGTCTAAATTTGTTATGCCATCAATTGTTATCACTTTCAATAGACCTGAGAATCAGTTTATTTGATTAACCTGAAATAATTGCTAAACATAACCTAACATGTCTAGTTTGGATTCCAATTATCTGAAAATAAATAAATAAATAAATAAACCAATTAAAAAGGATAAAGTTTTGTAACACATGATTTAAATGCGGTGTATTTTGTTATTTTCTCTCTAATAATAAGCTACACCGTTTTCCATTTGGCATTTTCGGGCCACGAAGTGAAACTGAATCCCTCAAGAGAATAGATACATGTATGTAATTGTAATCACATTCCATTTATAAATGAAAGTATACTCTGACAAAATTAAGGAAATTAAATAAATTAGTATGCATATATTCTTACAATAATCAACTATTAAACGATGAAAACATTCTTCAAATTACATGAATTGGTGTCGTAACAAAAAAACATTCGATTATAAAAAAACATTCACTTGATATAAAAGATAAAACCTAACATCTAAATAAACCCCAATATACATATTGACAACAATAACTAACTACACATAATTGATGTATAACAAATAGTGACCAATAATTGGGTAAGATATTTGAAGTCCTTAATTAGTAGGAACATGTAAAGACTAAAGTTCATCCTAAATAGTGCTATTAACTTTTAATTGGGTCCTAAATTAATCAAAGACTAATCATTCTATTGAAAAGACCAATATCCTTTTTCCATCTGTGTTATCTTCTTTGTTGGGAGTTGGCTTAGAGTCATGACCAAATCCGAGTTGTCAATTTTTGCCTCGTTGTAATAACATTATTATTCCAAACTAAGTAAAGCTTTTTATCAAACAACAATAATACACGCAAGTTGCATTTCAATGCAACCAACCCAATTATAGCCCAACGGTAAACCGGATGCAGTATCGTATCGTATGAGTGATTAGTCCGGTTATTGAATTCACAGGTCTAACCGGTCATAGCAGCCAACACGTACTACCGCCGCTAAAAGGGGAAAGATTCTAATTTTTTAAGTAAGAGGAAATAATTAGCCAATTAATTGTTAAATTACTACGGTCTGTTAAGTTTTCCAGCAAACCCCACGTTTAATACGGTGTTAGTCAAATAATTAAGTCCTAATCCGAATCAGATCAAGATGATAATTGAAAAGCATCCCTAACAAACCATGTGGTGGCATTCTGAGTTATCACTAATTAAAACTTAAGAGAGGCCACAAAATATCAAAACGAATCCATCGACGTGAAAATGCTTACAAGTTATATGTCTTCTTATGTCCTTTAATTTAATTTTCTCTCAATTATTTCCGGCAAGTATATGTGTCAAGTGAGTTTGTTCACGCATGCTGTTTGTGTTCTTATGTTTAATGTTTTGTTGTCTACCAAATAAATGATAATGCATGGCCATGGGATGAGATGGCTTGTGAAAATAAGTGGACCTTGGTTCTTAATTAACGCGTAACCATTATTTTTTTTCTCTTGTGAAAGAACCTTTTTTTTTATATAAAACTAAATTATAACAATCATCAGATATCTCGTAGAAGCAACTAAATCTATGATCAAAATTTGGTATGTTTCTAAATTATAATGTTAAAACAAAAACAAAAAGGCAATAAAATTTGGTAATACGGTAATAAACCACGATTCATTTATAATTCGGGTTGGTTATGTTTTAAGCTGGAAAAATTTCTAGTATATACGATGGAAAAATGAAATTTGTTAACAATTTCAAATAAAAACGTCTCCAAATATTAGGCATACAAATATTTCTGCCACATTTTGTAGTTCGTTCCGTTTTTTTTTCCAGCTGATTTGTGAAGAAGTCACTATTCATAGTTCAATTTTAAAAGTTAGAGATACAATTAGAAAATGTAAAGTATCTTTTATTTTTTTGTTTTTCTATTTTGTTTCATGTAGTTAACTCATACAAATAATAAAAATAATGTGACAAAAAAAGCAAAATAGACAGAAAAAAAAAAAGAAGAAGAAAAAGAATGAGAGTGATAGATAGTTAATGTGTTAGGGCATTAAGCAATGAGACTCGAGTGCTAATCAAACCCCTAAACACTTTCTCACTCTCACATTCGATTTCATGGATAGAATTCTCCAATTCCATCATCTTCTTCATCAAACTCTTTACTTCTTCGCTCTTCTTCTTGCTTAAACCAACCAAACTCTTCTCTGCAACTTGCTTCAACTCCACGATTCCTTCGTCTATTTTCTCTTTTTTCTCGGATCGTTTCAAAAACCCTATAAACGGCGTCGTTTTGTTGGCTCGGAGAGATAAGTAAACGCCGTTAAAGAGAGCGATGGAAACCAAAACAGTGACTTCAATGACGTCACCTATAACTGACGCAAGCTCTGCGTCACCGTACGTTCCGTTAACGTTGTCCACGTGGCAGTGCTGGTGTTTCGTCTTCGGCTCGCGGATGGATGACGTCAGTTTCGTGATATCTCTCGCGAGAGATCGGCGAAATTTTAGGTAAGAGGCGATTTTCTCGTCGTCTTTTTTACGGAGAGCGACTTGAGCGGCGGACTGGTGCTCACGGAGGCAGAGGATCGACGTACGGAAGATACCGTAAGCGTCAACGAATCGGAGAAGATCTTCTAGAAGATTCTCGAAGAAAACAGGACGGTTTCGTAGAGATTCTTGAGATTGTGGGAGCTGGAGTATATCGGCAAGCGTTTCTTGAACGTCCTTGAGGAGGCTGAGACCGTCGGTGATCCAAGAGGTGGTGCGGCGGTTGGATTCTCCGGCGAATGAGAACCAGGATTTGAGCTGAGAGATCTCGTGGTTAACGTGGGAGATTAAGGGATGAGATCGGCAGGGTAGACTGATGGATCTTGTGTGGTGAGAGACACGTGGCTTTGACGGTGGAGATGATCGGCCGCAAGGTTTGTTAGGGAATGAGAGTGATCGTCGGAAAACTCCAACCATTCTCGGCGGAGAGAGAGAAGAGAGAGTTATTGTGATGGTTTGATTTTGAAATGGTTAAAGAGGAAGAAGAAGAAGGAGCGTTTATATACGCAAGTGGTGGGGTTTAGGTAATGAAGTATGAGATGATGTGCACGTGGGAGAGTTACTCTATTTTTTGAGAATAATTGCTTTGTTATTTCCCCAACTATATTTTTATTTAGTTCGGTTAAGAGTATACATTATAGTACCTATTTTATTGTTTCAATTTTACACGATTATATACACCTGTTTATTAGACGTTTTGATTACCTGAACGTTAGATCAACTTCCGAGTTACACTTTTATATAAACTAGAAAGCCAAACTCAATGCTATGTGACTATCTATGTCATTGTTATGTAAATAACTACATAGATTATAAGGTTAAAGGAGATAGATCGAATGTAATAGTTATCTAATATTTAGTATCATAGATAGGATATAAGGTGAATAATTAATGAGTACATTAATCAGATTTAACGAGTTAAGAGACATAACAAATGTTCCATTTCAAGCGGAGAGGGGACACACGTGGGTTGGCCACCCTAGCTAGAACTCCAATCCAAAACTGCTCTTCTTTCTAAAGAGTAATGCACACTCGGTAGTATCGTATTATTTATGACATAATTTCATTAAAAAACATACTTGAGTCTTCCATAAACTATATTGGTAGGGGGGCTTAGACGCGTTAAGCCGTTAAGACAGATTTGTTTTCACATGGTTATGAACGACCATCAACATGAATTGATCATAATTAATACAAAAAATATAGAGTTATAAGTTCTAATCATAGAAATTTTATACATTCGGCGAATTGGTTCGTTCAAATAAACATTTATATCAATTAAATGTAAACTTATATAGATAAAGTCATTGAACAAATAAACAATAATGAATCCTTTAAAAGTAAAAGATGATCGGCTTCAACCAAAGAAGGCGTAACAAATCTAAAGTTATTGGTATCCTATATCAACTCTATCAGCGACAGAAGATGAGCATTCGGGATCTCAACGGCATTTAGTGTTTAAGGTAATGAATATACACCGGACAAAACTCTAACATGTACACGTCCAATAACATGAAAACGTTTTTTTAATCGACGATAACAGCAAATCAATTTGACCCAAGACTTTCAAACTTTATATTCATCATACTAATTCGTATTTTTTACAATGTACATCTATGATAATCTATATACTAACTACCGGTCTTTCATCATATTAATAACTGTTAGACTAAAGATTATGTGTCTAGTAATTAACAAAAGCACGAGGGGTGAGCTGGTACGTGTCAGAGAAGGGCAGCTCCAACTATGCATCAAAGGATCAAAAATCACGGTTTTCTTGTTCACGACACTTCATTTTTGTCCTACCACGATCACGAAATAAAAAGATATATAATTGTATAATCTAAACTAGCCCTTAAATCGATATTTTACGTACACTAAGCATTAGATAATTAGGTAGTGCAAGCGTGTGGACTTTTAAAACGAGTGTTTCGGCGTAGATCCACAAACATCAATAGGACCTTACTTAACGCTAACAGAGTTAGATTTTTTAAAGCATGTGACTTGATTTATGGACTTAATTGCAACTGACCTGAAATAAAATGTTAGGAGCCACAGACTCTGTGATCGGATTTTAGAGATATTTCTCGATTCAAGTGTTTTAGATCCACATGATCTTTCCAATTATTTTGATTATAATTCTTTGTGGTGAATTTGAGATTGATGGTCATGAATAATAATGATATGTCGTCATTATTTGGAGAAGATACCATTAATATGACTAACTGGCTGTTGAGAGCTTGCCATACAGATTAAATTTGGTATAAAACATTTAAGACGATCCATCCTTTTCATTTGAAGTTCTATTCGTTGTGTATTCGTGGTTTAGCATGTTTCTTTACATGTATTGAATGCATTTAATTTTAATTTTTAGATAAACTTTGCTTTCATTGAAGGGATTATGTTTATTTTTAGTTAACTGAAATCTTAAAGTTTTATGAAAAATCTATATTGAAAATATAAAACGGAAGTGGTATGAGATTAGCTAATTCGAAACAAAACATAATTGGTGATTGTCGAAAATTCTAGACGGCCATGTATAATATATCCGCATCTTTCCTCGCGTGATGTGCCGAGATTCCAATCCATCTGCCAAATGCAATGTCACGTGAGTGTTAGATAACTTAGTTATATATACATATCCGTGTATTACTTGGTTGGCCCGTCTTCCAAATCCATAGCAAAAAATTTCAGTAGTAAAACTAAAAAATCATTATTCCTTAAGAGTGTCTATATGTACACGTAATGATGCGTAAAAGATGTATAAAATCTGCACTAGTGGAAAAAATCGAATCCTGTAACAGATTCAAATAACGAATAGATTTGCTTCTTCCATGTGGTAAATCTATATATATTGTTTCCCACTGAATATACAGAATAGGAAGATCTAGTTTGCATTTCAATGTGCACTTATATCTAGTTTGCATTTTATCAAATGTAACCTGAAATATATATCTCAAACAAAACAAAAAGATTGGGAAAATATGTTAGCGAATTAAATTGGACCTAAAGCCCGATATGTTCTAATTGGGCCGTAAACCCAACATACAAATCTGTTCAGAGGCGGGAGCTTCCCATTTAACGGTCATTCCTCTCATATTTTCAAACTCTTCCACACATCTCCTTGAATCCAAACCACCGATTCGTTTCCTCGCAAGTGCGAGGTTTTCACCGGCGGTTTTGTCAAAAATCTTCTCCCAACCTTCCTCCCATTCCCCATGTGCGTCGCAAAGCTCCACCGTCCCGTTCTCCCACTCCGTCCAGCTCCATTCTTTATTCAGCTTTCCCATCACTTCCGCCACGCACGAGCCGTTGCACGCGACCGTGCAAGGACGGCACTTGGCACCATTCAACGGTCCACGACTCGAAAGAGCCGCTACTGGAACTCCGTATCTAGCCGGAGGAAAATCGTAGGTCCGATCGGTCATGATACAGAAAGGGAGAGGTTTGGTGACGTAAGGGACACGGTGAGTTGTGAGCTGAGCCTTGAAGGCAGACTCAGAGTTGAGATGAGTTAACCCAGCTGAGTCGAGGTCGGGAATGAGGGAGAGGCGCGAGAGAGCTACCGTCGAAGTGTTGAGATCGCCGACGCCAAAACGGTCGTTGAGACCACCGTAAGAGGATCCAGGTGGGACTAGGTACTGACCAGGTATAAAGTATTCCGGGTCGAGCGGGTCAGCCCAGTAACCGTCAACACGGGTCCGGACTATCCAGTCGTATGTGAAGTTATTCTCGTTTTGGTATGCCTTTATCATCGTGATGCAGCCTTCTACAAGGTTGAAGTACTGTAATAAGCCCTGTCATTGAGACCAAGAAGAAATACACATGAGAAAATAGTAGATTAACAAAATAATAAATAGCAGAAACAAATCACCAGATGTTAAAATGCTAGATTTGGTAGAGTAATTTTATTATATCATGTATACCCGAATCACTTTTTCAAACATAAATGTCAAAATGTTCTAAAATGTTATGAATAATATTGACTCAATAGTACACGTATCATCACCATTGCTGTTTTTAAATAGGAGAAATGATGAAAGAAAAAATTGTATATGCAACAAAGTTTAAACCAATGTATATATATACTTACTGCATGGTGCGCATTAAGCATTTATTTCATAAAAAATACACGAAAAGCTTCCGGATTCACATCATCACCACGCCACACATTAGCATCATCATGCCACGCATTAACCATTTCATAATATATTACCATGAATAAAAAATATACAAGAAAAAACAGGATACCTTTTTCCCTACAAACAATATATGTAAATTACAAGCTGTCAGATTAATCAAGATCTTCTTTATCGGGAAACGTGGGTCCGGATAAGGTAATGGGTCAATTTCAGTCTCGGACTAGTTGGACTACAAACTTGCGAGACAATGAAAATTTCCAAGAAATCATAAATTCAATCTTCAACCTCATAGACTATTAACTATAGAACCGAATTGAGAAAGAAGCAATTAACTCATATTAACAAACATAGTCAACAATTACTTAATATCACACCCATGTTATAGTGTCATCGGCATTGCCTTTTAAAACGCCATTTTTGACCGCAATTTTGTTATAAAGTAACGAGGAAAAAAAATGAATTATCATATTGGATAATGGATGGGATTGTGATCACACCAAATACCAAATGCCAAATACCAATTACCAAATACCAAACCCATCATCAAACAAAAATTCCTTCACATGAGTAACGTACGGATCAAGAAACGGTTACACCAACCCTAAACCTCTCCAACTAAACGGACCCCTCATGACCACTTTCTTATCCTTAATTATAGTATTTCCGAATTTTATGTAGATAAAGTCTTAAATATACTTTCCATAAATACTCCAGCATTTAATTAATTGAAATTTAGTGTAAGAATTTAAAAGGTAAGGAAGTTAAAGGAGTTGATAATGACCTTAATGCCATTGGGCGAATTCATAGGTGTGAGGACTCGAACCATCGGCTCAGTCTCATTGATCGGCTTAGGCTCGAAGATACGAACCCACGCGAGTCTTGGTGCGTCCTTAAGCAACCGAAGTTTAAACGAATTTTTGTCAAGAGGACTATTAAGAAACAAATCAGCATTTGGATAAACCCTCAAGATCTTCTCCATAATCGACGGTCCGGTTAACTCGAACCGCCTAGCTCCTCCTACCAAACACACCGCAATCTTCGAATCCATCAACTCCTCTTTCTTCCTCCGCCGTCGATTTTCCATCTCCTCCGCTGGAATAACGTCGCTAGGGTTCGAATCAACAGTGAAATCGGAGGTTTCGGTGGTGACGGTTAGGGGATGAGTGTAGATTAGGTTACGAAGAGGTGCTAGGGTTGGAAAAGGATCAAGGGAGAGAGATGAGAAAGAGATTAATACAAGGAGGGAGAGAGACGGGATTATGAGAAGGAGAAGAAGACGACGATCGACGTCGGAGATTTTCCTGGAAACGTACATGACGGCGGCGTAAGTGATCGTAACCCTAATCTGAGAAATAACCACCGTCGATTGCTCACACACGTTTCATTTGCCGAGAGAGAGATTTTTGTATTTATTTTTCTTCAAAAGTTTTGAACTGATTCGGAGAGGCGCTGGTTTGTTGGGGTGGAAGGTGAAATCAACATTAAGCGTGGGTTTTGTTATTGTTTTCTCTTTACCTTCTCTTTTATTGGTTTTTCTTCTAGAAAGATATGAAATGTCTATGAAGCTATATATATGGATGAATTAATTAACTTTATACGTATTTGATTACGTTTTTTAAAGGGAAATGGTATTATTATTTTTTTTGGTTTTCACGTTTCTTCTTTTGCTTAGTAAAGAAATGTTTTAAATACTTGCAAGTTATATCATTTGGTAAAATAGTTTTTGCAGTGCTTAATTATCATCAATGTGAATATAGAAACGTATTAAAGTGTAGTGTAACTGTTACCATTAATTGTATTAGGGGGATATTGACTAAAAGAATGATGTTTTGTGTATTATCATAAATTAAGAAAAATAACTTATATATATATTTTTATTAGTTTATATAATAAGATTAATTCCATTTCTCTCCTCTCTATTGGCTACAAATGAAAGTAATAACAATGCTAATACAAAATATCGATCTTCGTGGAAAAGAAACTCAAAACATCAAATCTTTGTGGAAAGAGAGAGTAGTATATTGAAGAGATTGATTATTCAAAGACTTGGACTAGTAAAAAAATGGATAGTTTGGGGTGCAAGAAAAGTTTTACTTTTTGTTATTCAACAAAAGGAAAAGAAAAGTATTTGTTGTTATCCAAAGATATGATTTATGTAAATTTATGTGAGAGCATTGTACTAATTAGAATGTTCACATATATCAGTATATAACTATTTATAGAATTAGCCCTTCAATTACTAAAAAATGAGATTCCAAATTTGTTATTAGTGCTCTAGATATTTTTCTTTAATTACCTTAAAATTAATATATAATATTTCTTCTTTGTTATCATTATTTTGTTTTTACTTATTGCATATAGAAATTTATATAATTTTTCAAATTTGTTTATATATTTAATCTTATTTATATTATGTATCTAATTTAGTTTATTTACATCTAAGATTTGCAATTACTAAAAAAAAAAAAGATTTGCAATTACTTCTTTTTGGATACACAAACTATTATTGCCAACTTGTCAAATGTCAACCATAGAAAAGAAAAAAAAAAAACAGTTTATGATTCAATTTGTAAAATGGGCTTAAATATCTTAATATTGGCCCATTAGTATCATCTGCTCAAAACCCAGCAAAATCAGAGAGCGGCAAATCGTTGAAGAGAGATCTTCTTCTTCCTAAATCCGTAACATTGGCTCAGGCGTGAGAACACAATGCAAGGAGGATCATCGGGTATTGGTTATGGTTTGAAGTATCAGGTAGCTCACGATCTTCTTCATGCCCGATCCTTTGTCCATTTACGAGCTTCTCTAATGGTGGAAATTTGCTGTTTTCAGGCCAGATGTATATCGGATGTGAAAGCAGATAGAGATCACACTAGCTTCCTCACTGGAACCTTAAGCTTGAAAGAAGAAAACGAGGTGATTTGATCATTAAGATCTGTTTCGTTCTGTTTATGGATCGGAAGATTCTGATTTTGTTGATTATTTTAGGTTCATTTGCTTCGTTTGTCATCTGGTGGATCTGAGCTGTTATGTGAGGGTTTGTTCTCGCATCCTAATGAAATTTGGGACCTTGCTTGTTGCCCTTTTGATCAACGCATTTTCTCTACCGTCTTCTCCACTGGTAATTCTTATTATCTCTAAACTGCTATTTTGAGTTGATTTTGAAGTTTAAAAATCGGATTTTTGTAGATTGAATGCATATTTTTTTTCAGAAATTGAAGCTATGATCCATCCTGTTAGTCATATTTAGTTGGGAATTTCATGTTTTGGTCGAACCACAGCTCGAAAATTGAAAATGTCAGACGAGAGTTATAATGTTGTTGTTTTGATTTCAAGGCGAGTCATTTGGAGCAGCAATATGGCAGATTCCTGAGCCATATGGTCAATCGAATTCTTCAACATTGGAGTGTGTTGCTTCACTTGATGCACATGTTGGTAAGATTAATTGGTGAGTTCATTGTTTATAGTTTCAGCAGTTTATCTACTCTGAGTGTGCATATAAGTGCAGTAGTCCAAAAGTGTTAGAACTTGTTACTTTTTTATCCTCATTTTCATGAAGACTCTTGTGGAAACAGCGTTCTTTGGTGTCCCTCTGGAAATTCTGACAAGTTAGTCAGCATGGACGAACAAAACCTTGTCTTGTGGAGTTTAGACTCGTCAAAGAAAAGTGCTGAGGTGATTTAAGAGAGAGGAAAAATGTTTCTAGACCACCTTTGAACTACTTTCCGCTTAATCATTTTTTTTTGCTAATTGTAGGTTTTATCTAAGGAGTCGGCTGGTATGCGTCATTCTTTATCTGGTGGAGCATGGAATCCACATGACGTGAATTCTGTTGCAGCAACTTCTGAATCATCTATCCAGTTTTGGGATTTACGTACTATGAAGTATGTCATATCTGTTCCTCTCTTATGTTCGCATGAAAGTTAATATACCGTATTCCTGCATGCACAGCTAGCGGGTTTCATCTAGACAATAGTTTGTCATTATTACTTTTTGGGTTCCAAAATCAGATACCTTTATGTTGAGTTTGATATGTTTGCATATTTACAGGAAGGTTAATTCAATTGAACGTGCCCATGTACGTAATGTTGACTACAATCTCAAGAGAGAACATATACTCGTAAGACTTCTCACTTTGTATGTAAATATTTTAAATGATTGTCAAGCAATTCCAACAAAGAAAAACACCACACTCCACAGTTAGAAAACAATCTGTTACATACATTGCAAATGGGCAGGAACAAGGAAGTAATTGTGTCATTGCTCATGTAATTTTTTTCTTTCTGTCAAGATCTTTTGTTCTGAAAGGAAGTAGGTCCCCTATTTTACAGAAATGGTATTAGATGTTTGTATTTATGCATTGGACTGTTGATTGTGTAGGTTTCTGCAGATGATGAATCTGGTATACATCTCTGGGATCTTCGGAAGACCAATGTTCCTGTGCAAGAGCTCCCTGGTCATACACACTGGTAATTTATCTCTATGCTCATTTGTGGATTGTTATTTTTTTCCCTTACATGACTCTGCTTCACTTGCACACAAATCTAATGCTTTGGACCTGGAATTTGTTTCTAGCGTGACTGTTCGTTCTGATTTTTTTTTACAGGACATGGGCTGTCAGGTGTAACCCTGAGTATGAAGAGCTAATTCTGGTACTCATTTTTTCCTACTTTTTTTTTATAGCACAATTGGACGAATCTATATTGTTACTGTGCTTGTCACTATTAACAGCTTTAAGCTGCAAGTTGATGATTTTAGAACAAATTCTGTCACTCACTGTGTATATTTTAAGTGTCAGTTTCTGATTAATTTAACCAAACACAGAGCGTTGGAACAGACTCAGCTGTCAACTTGTGGTTTGCCTCTGTATCTAATGAGAATAAACCCTCAGGAAGGTTAATTCTCTTTATAATTGCACACAACAATTTTTCCAACTTTGTTTTGAACTTTTATTCTAATGCCGATGCTGTGCAGCCCGGTGGAAGCATCACGTCAGCGTGTGAACCCGTTGCTAAATTCTTATACTGACTACGAAGACAGTGTCTACGGTAACTGCTCTTGGAACAAACTGAGTTTAGTTACCATATTCTTACTCTAAAACTGCATGGTCACTAAAATAATTGCTGTTACAGGCCTTGCTTGGAGCTCGCGTGAGCCTTGGATTTTTGCATCATTGTCATATGACGGGAGGGTACGTCACTTTGGTTGTAACAATAACCTAAAGAATTATGGAGAACTAATAAATAAACGATTTACTGCACCAATTCTAAAATCTCAAAGCAGTTTGCAGAGTTCATTTCATAGTTTTGGTGTTTGCTTATGTTAGGTTGTGATCGAATCCGTCAAGCCTTTCCTACCAAGAAGATAGGTTCATGCGCCCAATCAAAGAAGGCTTCAAAGGAAAAGCTGCATTGTCATATGCTATCATTTTATACAAATTTTGATAATAATCGCAACACCAAAACTATTCTTTTACAATTGTTGAACTTTTGCTCGTGTCTTTGTTCATCTCTATCTCTCAGCACAAGTCACAAAGATTGAAAAACAGACCTCGTGAAAATACGCACAAAGTCAATGAACCTGCTATAATTCAGTTTATTATAAAGAAAATATCCGGATCAAGTAATCACCAGTATGTCATAATGTTACATATGCCTACTTGTTTTCCCTTTTTCTAGCTACTTCTCTGGTAAAGCCATAATTCCGAATACTAAATATGACTGAAAAAATTGATCTGTCCTCAGATCCTGATAAACAAAACAATGCTCTATCGCGCGGTTCTATGTACATGAGACATTACATGCAAAATGGTGACAACAAGGCTTAGCCCCAAGGTTGGAAAACTCACTGTGAAGTGCCCAAGCAGAGGATAGATTCAGTGTAATGATGTGAAGCTCACTGATGCGAATCTAACTAATCTGATAGCATTTCTTCAAGCTCAGGCTCATCAGAGGTAGATGGATCATCGTAATCTAGACTTGTCCCGTTGTATAATCCTCTGTCCTTAAGATCACTCTGTTCTTCCTCATAGTCTGGCTCCGACCAATCTGGCTCATCCTCTTCGGTTTGATCATCATTGGTTACTGTTACTGCTGCGTCTTTATTTGTGGATTTGTTTTTCTTTCCAAGTTTTCTAGATTCCATTTGCGCCTTTGCCTTAGCCTCTGTATCTTCGCATATGCATGTCGATGGGTTCTCGTGAAATTCACCTCTACCGGCTCTTACTTCCTTTGGCTCTCCCATGAACCCTCTCTGAAACGAACGGACTCTAGATGAAAACTCCTCCCACGTCGTGTTCTCTTTGTTCATGAATAATCTGTAAAGCTTTTTTGCATTCGGCCTAACAGTGGGTTTATGTCCTAAGTATCTCCTGCAAATTTCATATAACCAAAAGCTTAAACCTTTGCAATTCTATCAAAGAAACAACCTGCAAAATGCTTAAAACCTTGCATTTCCATCAAAGAGATGAACCGAAAAATGAAGAAGAAGATGTTTCCGTACCTCCTCCCAGCCAATATTTTTGCCATATTGCCATTGTTGTTGGTTACAAATACGTCACTTTCATCACAAACAAGGAAGTCGAGTGCAGCCATTCTAGAAGAGTACGAAGAAAAAGGTTCTAACTCTTCCTTTGTAGCTATAGTGTCTTTTGAATAGAAGTGTGGAAAGAGTGCTTTCAAAGGAGCCAATGATTCTTCTCCTCCATATACTTCACCAGACGCAACATATATATGAACATCACTGCCATATCCCAAAGCTCTAAGCATCAGTCCGACTTCTTCTGGAGTAAGTGGACATCTTCCTTGTCGTCTTTGTTTCTCTGGGTTGTTAATCTGCAATAAAATTGCAAAATTAGTCATTAGTAGCTTGTTAATACCAAATGAATTGCATGTAATTTCTTAAACATTACAGAATAGGCATTACATGTAATGTTTTCCATCTCCTTCTAATTGCTGCAAGTTCTCTCCTTTCCTTATCACCACCACCATAATAGCATCCCGAGAATGCAAGCATATCAGGTTCAAACCTGAGAATCAATATCGCTTGCGTCAGACACTCTAGTATTTATACCTTCAAGATGTATATGTAGAATATCATAAAGATTCCTTGTTGACTAGAATATCAAATGTGAAGGAGTTACTAGATGAACTCGAGGATACACATGTTTATGCATTTGATTCCACTAGTTTCACGATGCAATCTCCTCTTTTAGATAAGAGTTTGAGGTTTACCCAAAAAAAAAAGATAAGAGCATTGACCACAGGAGGGTTGAATTACCAACTAAGCCAACCTATGAGGGGATGCTTAAAGTTTCAGCTGTGCTACATGTTAATTCTCCCCAGAACAATGCCCTTGTTCAGTGACGAAGAGAAAAAACGAAGAAATATTAGGATTTAAAGGTGAGCGGTGGTGCTACCTTAGATGTAAAGCAATGAAGTGTTTGCTCCTCAATCGCATGCGCCGGACCAATTCATTACCCATTGTAAGTATAGGATCAGTGAACTTTAGAGCATGGTAATTTACTCTACATCTTAGCTTTTGCAAGTCATCGCTCAACTTGTTTGAAAGTCTATAGTCAAATTTGTTCAGTTGAACTGCCTGAAGCATAATACAGCAAAAGTGATATAAGAATAGAGCGAGATGCTTAATCCAAAAGACAACCACTGCTTCAAGTTCTATGTTTCGAAACAAACATCAATATGCTAGCAATCAACGAAATGGGTATGCCAAACATAATAATAGTACCAAAGACTTGTGAAAACAATTAAATGGTAAGACTTATGAAGACAATTATTTGGGACACCCGAAGCAAATAGTTGATAGAGGAGTAAAACAACAGACAATTTGCATAGACATATATTAAATGCAATAAGTTGAAGTTTCAGCGAAAGAAGGAAACTTACATGCCTTTTGAGAAGAACAGGTAAAACACGGTTAATATAGCATCGCTCGTTACATTTTCGTGGTACACGCATTCTACTAGTACTCCATGTTCGGCCTCCTTTCAGTGGAAGTTGCTTTATAATTTTGACGTCGTCAGACAAAAATGATATAAACCAATCAACATCGAAAATATGCGAGAAGTCACTGCACAAAACTCACATAGTTACTAATGCATAACATTTGTTATAAGAAAAAGCTATGTATGCTTATTTAGTCTCAAACCTGGCATCCTTCCAGTAAGATTTCTGGTCTAACTTGGGAACAACAAGCGTAGCATTTAGAATTCTTGCCGCAACAACTGCATCTACAATCTGTAGAAGGAGTAGATCAATTTAGTTTCGAGATACATAAGAAGTAGATCCATTAGCTAATCAAGAGTAAACAAAAGCTTGTATTTTGATAATCCATGGAGATAGGTATTAACAAGATAAGTCAAGAAACTCACTCCAGTTCGTTGTTGGTTCAAACCACCACTAGTGGCTATAACCAAGTATCGATCATTTCTCGTCACTGCTTTCGCATCTACAAACAAGCAATCGGATATAGTGAAACTAATCGAAAGTTTCATACTTATCGTAAGACAATTAAAGAGTCTTACGCACTTGCGAATTTGCTGCTCGCATTGCTGCATCCAAAAAAGAACTCAGCATTTCGTGAACGCCAAATATCACGATCTGATCTGCCTCCAGCTCTCTGTTATGGATCCAAGTAAATCATCAAATAGGTCGGAAAAGTTTCAAACTTTAGCGACGAATAATGAAACCCACTAACCGGAATACGGAAACCTGTAGCTTTGATCGCATCACTAGATGAGTAGCGAACGCGTGGAGGAAGGCGATCGGAATCCCCGGGAAACGGGGCAAGGAAAGAGAGAAAAGCGAAGAGAATGAGGAGAGATAAGAAGACGGCGAAAACGAGAGGGAGGAGACGACGGAGACGGTTGTAGTAAGGATAGCGCCGCCGATGGAAACTCATGGCGGCCGCCGTGTAACAACCTCGCCACTCAGAGCAACAGAGAGATTGATAGAGAGAGAGAATGAAAGTTTGGATTTTTGGAATCAAAACATGTTGAGAATGTTACTGTATATGAGAATCACAAAGCATTGTTTCGATCACGAGAGACAAACAACAACAATATTATTCTCTTTTCTTCAAATCATCAGAGAGAGAGAGAAAATTGAGTTCCTTTTGTTTTTGAGCACTTTCTTATAGAGAAGAGAGAGAGCTACGATAGTTTTCGGTCTTATTACATCTGTTTAATAAAAAAATCTGTTAATTTTGATGACTATTGACTAAAATTATGAAATTATTAGCTTACTTTATCTTTTTTTTAATAAATTAATAAAAGGGTAAAAAATTTTTTTTAAAAAAAGAACATCAAAATAGTGAGTGATCTTTTTTTTTTGTCGTAAATAGTGAGTGATCTAAAAGACGGTAGTCGGCAGCATTGATTTATTTTATTAGTCTTAAAATGAGTGTTAACTTATATAGTTAGTTTCGGTTAAATTCATATTTGCCCAACTTTAGTAGTTAATCTCACTGAGAAAAAACATTATTATGAGGGATTTTATATGAATCAATGGAATACACACATATATAACACTCATAGTCATAGATCTTCACTACACAAACAGATGTCCCCAAGTCGGCAAAAAAAAACAAAAAAAATGTCCCCAATAGTTGACAAAAGAAGTAGAGAATTGTGAGTAAAAGATATAGTTAGTGAGTAATTACTTTTACTATTTAGTATTCTATATCTACAATTTCTGCAGTGAAGATTTTTTACCCCAGTAATTAAGTGAAAGAAAAACAGAAATCATTTTGTTTAAAGAGAAAATATCTTCTTCTTCCTTTTTTTTCTTTTCTTATATATATTATTAGTTCAGGAAAGTATCTTCTTTTTGTTTTGCATTGTTGTACGATATACTATAGTTAGCAAAATTCTGGTTTGGTATTCTATGGTTTGAAATCAGCTATCTATGGACAATGTCTTTGTATTTGGATGAGTAAAATACAAAAGAAAAAAAGAGAAAAACAGGAGCAAGTTGTAACATTATTACGTTTGTTTCTGTCGTTTCCATCTGTCCTTCATGTTTTCACAGTAATTATTCTCTTCTTTGTTTTAAGTGATCAAGTTTCAATATCATCATATGCATTGCACTTGTTACTTTAAAAGAAAAGGGTTAAATCCATAATCACGTTTCAATATCATCATATGCATTGGACTTATAATGACATTTGATGGTTCGCAAGTCGCCTTGTTTTTTCGGTGGTTCGTAGCAGCTTAAAAATGCTTCGAACCGTATTGTTGATCCGTCTCATCAGATCGTCTCAATGAACCACCAAAACGAATGGTTCGTATGGTTGATTGGTGACCTCCAAAACGGTTATGTCACCAACTAGAATCACCAATTTGTACAGGATACAAAACCAAAACGGAGCAGCTCCTGTGAAAATGGCAGAGAATCAGCAGCGAAGAGGAAGAGACCAAAACCGCTCTTATTCACGAACAAAGAACACTTCCCATTCTACATATTAACCAAACTTGTTGGAGAGTCCTCTGGCCCAGGGGCTTTGGTCTTCCGACCATATAATCCGGGCCCCAAGCATCGCACACCATCTTAGATTTAGAAGTGCTGCAGCAAGATGCTCCTCAGAGTTCCTGAACAGTTCGATTATCTTTGTTTCGGCTTCAGGGTCTTCGCTCATGACGAAATTTTCCTCAAGCTCTATTTTCTTCTCCTGAAGACTCTCTTTGTCTTCTTCGTTGAGCATCCTTAAGCTCAGAACATTCAAAGCTTCTATAGCTGTTGCATGATACCCTTTTTCCACATAACAAGTGAAAACATAATGGCATGTCGTTGGATCTGGATTCACTTTCTCTCGGTGCATTTGCTCCACTATGTACTCAATCACATCAATCATTCCCTGCAGACAGATGTGAATACTAATGCAGTTTATTCGCTTTCATTACTTTTAGCGTTTTTACAACAGATATCTTTACCTTCTCGAATGCTTTACGCAAAATGGTGTTGTATGATAAGACATCAAGATGTATCTCTTCCAATGCAGCTTGGTCCAAGAGATTGAGTGCCTCCTCGAAATTCCCATCATTCAACAAAATCTAAGAGGAAATACACAGCTTTAATTAATGAAAAAAAATGAACAACAATAAGCAGCTAGATTCCACCAAAAAATTGGACGTTCTGAGTGTGAGCGATGGTTCAAGAAAATTTGGAATGTGTCTGTACTGTGTAGAATTCTTTCATATTGAACTGAATACTTGTAGCAAGTTCTTGAAAAACAATGGCAGCAAACTTTTAAAATTGTAAACAGATACTCTGTTATTACCTTCATCAGAGCAGTAAACGTAACAGCTTTTGGAGAAAATCCGTCACGGATCATCATGGAAACTAGGGCACAAGCTGATTTATACGAGTGAATAATGCTGCAACAATCAATCATTATATTGTAGGTAGCAACGTCTGCAGGGCAGCCACATGATTTCATACGTTTGAATATATTGATCACCATGTCAGTCTGCATGTAATTTAAGAACAGCGATCAATATTGCTATTTAGATGTTGGTCCAATGAAAATTTCAAAAATTAGACCATCAAAACTTACTTCGTTTGCCTCAAGAAGTGAATGAAGAACTATGTTGTATGTAGGCGTTCCTAGATACATATTGCTGTGAACATTGAGGTTTTCAGCCTTTTGCAGGTGTCGGATCATCTCATTCACCATACCTTCAGCTCCGAGGGCTCTAAGCTGGGGAAAGAAAAAGGAAAGTGTAAACAATAAGTTCATTGTTCTGATATATAACACATACAAACACAATGACGAAGTAAAGATTGATAGTATCGTCTTAAAAAGGATTTTCCAGCTGCTTTTTAGCTGAATAATATTATATTCGATTAACCTGCTTCAAACAGGTCAAGACCTATTTATTTATATGGAGCAGAAACTAACCACATTCCGCCTTGAGATAGGACTGTGCTGAAAACCATTTCTCACCATGTCCATTTCTATAGCATTAATCCTTTTACAACAGTCTACTTGGGACAACATGTTGCCCTCTTCATATGGTGCATTTACATTACCAAATAAGGAAAAGAGCAGTTCATAGGTCCTCATATCTGGACGCAGTTTTAGCTGTTTCATTCTAGCCAAAACTCGGACAGCACGCTCTGGTTGATCCTACAAAGCAATAGTAAGAAACTGAATCTCACAGTGACACGCATAGATAAACAGAACAAAGTTGTTTAGGTTCAAGGATTATGTACTAAATATGGACACATAATAACAAGACCTATAAAACATGACAACCACTTAGACTGCAGATTATTTTTGTACGAATATTTGAGTAAGAACTAATAGAACAGAACATTAACCCTTTGTTCCGAGCGTCTCCTATGATTAGAGTGGCAACATAGTCACAAGTATGGTCTTTTGAACTTTCTATGGCATCTAGGATCAAACTCATGTACTTGAGGCTTCGGGAAAAAATACTTGTAACAGAATACACAAACATTGAAAGGTAAAAGAGGTATCTACGGTAACTGGCTTTCAATATGTAGAATCAAAATAACTAACCAAGGAGTCATATGCAGCAAGAAGGTTATTAAAAGGATATGCGTACGAGCATTCAGATATTTGATCCAGCAGATGTTCAGCTAAATCAACTTGAAAGGCTTTACTGCAATAGGCTGACACCGTAGCTAGAGTTGAATCATATGGTTTCAGATTCTGCTGCTGCATTACTTTCAACTGCGTAGAGATATGAAACATAAAGAGAAATCGTTATAAGAAAAAAAAATAAACTACAGAAAGAAAGATATTATGAAAGAGGTGACTTGTACAGTATATAAACTCTTACCAGTGTCATGCCATATTCATATCCTCCTGGAAATGCAACAGCTCTAATGAAACCATCATATGTGTGGCTTGATGGTAGCAACCCAATATTTTGCATCTGTTAGTGGGGATAAGAAGAAAGTCAGCGAAATGAGGTTTTACCTAATACCACAAAGCAGGACCCGAACCAGATAAAATCATAAAAGACAAGGGAAGCAGACAGCTATTTAACAGCTTTTATAGCCCAACAAGGATGATAAAGAGCTGGTATCAATGATCATGAAAGCTTCGGAATTTCAATCAAGGTAATAGACAGAAGATCAAAGTTCCCACTAAAGATTCGTTAATGCTGCAACTGTCTCCTACAAAAGTTTCGAAGAGTTTTTTTTCTCATAACTCTACAGTATCGCACACAGAGCATAGAGAGTGGATAAGGACATGAAATGGATGAATGGGAAAGGAGTGGGAGATACCTGAAGCATTAGCTGCTCCGCTAGCTCAGAGTTTTTAGATTGTCCACATGCATGAATCACATCATTGAACGACCACCTGAGGACCCTAGTTGCAGGGATTTTGTTGTGACCTTTCGGCAAAGCCATTTTGGAAGACGAATTGTACTCCACATTGTGATCATTTACTCCAAAAGCAACTTTCTCTGATCCTGTTTCACCTTTTGCTGGTACAGGAATATCCAGTGTCGTGGAATGCAGTTTTCCTCTGTTGAATTTAACAAAGAGCTCTCCTCTTGAAGCTAGATCCACCATGTGTTGCAATAATTCATATGCTGATTTCAAATCCCCTAGCCTCGTAAAGGACCATATGAATTTTCTGAGAGGAAGTATATCCAGGCTATAGTGGTTGACATAGTGTTTCCAGATATCATTGACAGCTGATAGATTGCGCTGAAAAACTGCAAGCTGAAAATAATATTAATCAGATAACAAAGAAAGTAAGATCAACTATGCAGATCAATGCAAATGAAACCTCTATGTCAAGGAACAAAAGGAAGTTCTTAAGCGACAGTAAAGCTAAGACAAATATGGGGACAATAACGAAAATACTCCATATTTCCTACCCTCCAAATATAAAAGTTGGCATACGAACAGCTCTTGGAAAAAAGAAGATAAAGGCACTGAAAAAAGATATGTTCTTAACTAACCTTGAGAAGTGCTGCATAAGTTATTTCATTCTTCCCTACTCTCCGTTGATCCATCAATTCCAAACATTTACTAGCATGATATACACTTCTCGTTTTTGCACAGGCGCCAAGAAAATAGTTATAAACGGGCAGAATAGGAGAGATACTATCATCTTCTCCGACAGCGTGAATAAACTCTGATGCCTGAACAAATATGCCCAAAAATATTCACTCATCTCCTTTAGTCACATTATGTAAGAAAATACTGGTTATTTGAGTGGAATAACTAACTATACCTTATCCAAGTGCCCCCCATTACAAAGGGATTGTACAATGAACAACAAAGATCTGCTGTCCAGACTAATTTCCTTCTTACACATTACACTGTAAGTCTCCATGACAAACTACACGAACAATTTACTGGCTTGAGGTCAGAGACAACAAGAGTACTGTATTATGAGAAATTAATTACAGATTTACATCTCAGCCCTACCAAAACTTCATTGAAATATAACTTGTGAAAGATAAACAAAGATTAAACAAATCCAAAGGGAGATTTTGTCATATATCAAACTTACCACAGGATCTGGTGATCGAGCACAATAATGTAGAATATCATGAAAATCATTAGCACTAAGTGAATAATTCCCCTGTATAAACTGAAAAAGCAGAGCTGAAGCTCCAGGCCTCTCTCCGGAACGAAGCGCATCAACAATCTGCACCTGTAAGATTTTTGACTCATCTTGGCATCGAATGAATTCATTACCTGCATATGAAAGCAAGCACTCTCAAGTCACAAAATCTCGTTTTTGATAATCCAAGTAAGATCAAATAGATAGTGAGAGACAAACAGACCATACTAAGAGGCTAAAATCAGACATACCAATCAATGTCGTGACACTACGAGAACAAGAACAACCAGCCCCATTCTCAATTCCACTTAGTCCTCGTCCCTATAATCAAATACCCATTTAATCAAATTGCAAAGTTTTCAAATTTAATAGAGGAAACATAGGCAACTGATAACAAACCCGAGATACGTATGGTGTGAACTTTGACGACGACGAGCTCACAATAAATCGCAATGGAGAAAGCCACCTTCATTGCTCAAACACGAGGCAAGTCAATGAACATTTATCGAAATACTAGGCAACATATAAAAAAAACAAATTTTGCCGAAATAACTTACAGAGCTCTGTACATAGTTTTCCAGGCTCGATTCTGAGGTTCTTCGGGATTAGAAATTTACGAAAAGGAGAAAACTTACTTCAATAAACTAAAATCTAAACTCTAAATCAGTAAGCGAACATTTCCATTTTTTCGAGACTCGTTTCAATTATGTATCTGGTCCTAGCAATCTGCACTAAGAGATGCGAGTGCGACCATGTAAGATTGTAAGAGAAGAGAAGCTTGCCGAAAAGAAAACAAACATTTCAGGTTTATCAATCTGATGGAAAAACAATTAGTGGGCCGTGTCTTCACATTTGGCCCATTTATATATTTCTGATTGGGCATTTCAATTTCTCTCCGGTTTAATTTGATCTGGACTGGTTATTATAGTTTGATAGCTTTGCCTTGACTTCATTTTTTTTATACTTGTCAAAATTACATAGAACATCACAGAACATATAAACTAAAGCTTAAAGTTTTCACCATTTTTTTTTTTTAACTTTATAAGTTGCATTGATAAATTATCATTTCATTTACTCCACAGCTTTCAATGGAACATAACCCATATTCTTGGCCATCTCTCTCAGAACATTCTTCCGAATCTTCCCAGTGGGAGTCTTAGGAACATCCGAGAAGACTACTGTCTTTGGAACCATCTTCATGTTCTTGTTCCCAATCTTTCTCTCACAGAACTCAATGATCTCTTCCTCTTTCGCTTCAACTCCTTCCTTGAGCTTCACGAAAGCGCACATCGATTCTCCTAATGCTTCGTCTGGTCGTCCAACTACCGCTGCTTCATAAACCGCCGGGTGACTATAGAGAATCCCTTCGATCTCTTTTGACCCCACAATTTCTCCTCCGCATGTTATAACATCTTGTGACCTATCTTTATATTGTATGTAGCTTTGGATGTGGAAACATCATGATCATTAGTAAATTCAAAGTAATATATATTCAAAGTCATGGATGATTCATTTACTTACCCATCGGGATCTATAACACCCATGTCGCGACTCCAGTACCATCCACCTCGAAAAGCCGCTTCAGTGGCTTCCTTGTCCTTGAAGTAACCACTCATGACGGTATTTCCCCGGAGAACAATCACCCCGATAGTCTTTCCGTCCTGTGGAACCGATTTCATGGTGGTTGGGTCCAACACATCGACAGCTTCCTTGGCGAAATGGTTGAGACCATCTCTTGCCTTTAGCCTTGAACTCTCTTCTTCAGGTAGAGTCTCCCACTCGGGCATCCACAAACAAGCTGTTCCTAGTCCATACACCTCCGTGCATCCATAAGCCATCATCACTTTGAATCCTAGCTTCTTGAGTCTCAACATGACCTGTCCAAATAAATTAATATCTTATACTATGATTCTATGTAAAATATAATGTACTGTGACGGAGCTAACGTATAAAGCAAGGCATTATATTTAACCTAAAAATATGGAAGTTCAAACCGAATAAGCCGGATTGAACACACATATAATTCAAAACTCTGTGATTAGTTTTACCTCAGGAGGCGAGGATCCTCCGCTCATAACCTGTACGGTCCATGGGAACGACTTCTTGACCGAGTCTGGTGCATTGGCAATCATGTTGAGAACCGGAGGCGAGCCACCAAAGTTAGTTACCTTGTGCTTCACGATACTATCAAATATAACTCTGTCGTTGACTTCCCTGAGACAGACGTTGACTCCTCCAAAAGCCGCAACTGTCCAAACAGAGCTCCACCCGCTACAATGGTACATCGGAACTGTCCACAGATAAACCGGCATTTGTTTCATCTCATTCATAACACCAGTAGCAGTTGCGTTCAGATACGCACCGCGGTGACTATAGACGACACATTTGGGCTTCGATGTGGTTCCGGATGTGAAGTTGAGGGCGATTGGATCGCATTCGTCAACCGGTCGTAGGGGTATGAAATTAGGGTTTCCGGAAGAGAGAAAATCATCGTATTGTTTATATTTTGACTTCTCTGTTGGATTTTCTGTAATTGTGATGATGAGAGGTTGTTCTTCGGTGTTTGAGAGGAGCTTGAGAGATTCTTCAGCGACGGAGAGGAACTCAGAGTCAACGAAGAAGACTTTTGGCTTCGTTTTCTCCAGCGCCATCGCAAGCATCTGAGAATCGAAGGTCGTGTTCAACACGCAAAGTACTGATCCAGCCATCGGAGCTCCAAAATAAAGCTCACATAACGCAGGAACATTTGGCGCCAAAGCAGCCACCTGTTCCAAAAATTGTTTAAATAATAATAAAAAAAAGTATGACCAATATATATATAAAGTCGTTAATTAAACCACTTACAACATCATTGCGGGAGAGACCGAGGTCGGAGAGAGCAGAGGCAAGGCGGACGCAACGGTCACGTGTTTGTCGCCACGTGTATTGAATATCACCATACACGACGGAGGTTCTGGGGCCGAAGACGACGGCGGCTCTCTCGAGGAAGCTGATCGGAGTAAGCGGGACGTAATTCGCCGAGCACCTAATTGTTCCTTCCATCTTTTCTCTATGGTTATTGAGCTACTAAAAGCATAAAAAAAAACTGTGGATTAGCTTATTGTATTTATAGGCAAACTATTTTGTGTAACGCTCCAACAATTAATATGAAATCTTTTATTAATCATGACCACAAGAAGCCAAATTTGGCTATTAAATCAGAATCTGTGAAAAAGCTTGGTTACATTGCCACATCTGTTTAGAGAATCTGAGTTGTCACAAGTTTTGAGGAGCTTTAATTACCAAACAAATCTCTTGTACTAATCCTTTTTTTGTACTAATCCAAAACAAAGGGACACCAACATTTAAATAACGGGCCTAATATATTACTGGGCCTAATAAGCTAATGGGCAGACCCAAAATCTAAATAAAAAGTGATAAGAGTGTAATTTACAACTGGAAACGCTTTTTCCCTGCGAAAAAAAAAGGAAAAGGGAAGGTTCAATTAGGGTTTAGTGAATCGAAGATGAGTCGGAGTTTGGGGATTCCGGTGAAGCTTCTTCACGAATCGTCCGGTCATATCGTGAGTGTGGAGATGAAGAGTGGTGAGCTATACAGAGGAAGCATGATCGAGTGTGAGGATAATTGGAACTGTCAGCTCGAGAACATCACCTATAAGGCCAAGGTAACGTTTTACTAGGGCTTCGTTTCTTGTCCATTGCCGATGTAGGAGCTTTGAAAGCCCTAGAATAGGCACGAATTGAGAATGTACTCTAAAATTTAGCGGCTTAGGTTGGGTTAAATCCTTGTGAAATTCTTGCAAGTAGTTCTATTTTGCAAGTAAAAACACTTAACTTGTGATCCTAGTAGTGATTGGGGTTTAGTTCCTGTATATGCTAGTAGTAGACAAGGAAGATTATAAAGGTCGTGCTTAAGTTGTTACTATGTTGAATCATCATGGCTAAAGACAGAATTTCTTCTTTTCCTTACAATTCACCAGTGATATGGCTTTAGTAGAACTTTTAAATTTGTGGAATGAACTGCTACGAGTTTCCGATTTATAAACTACAAGACCATATGTGTTTAATCTTGAAGTGTTACTGTATATATATATGCTCTTACACATTTGTAGATTTTGAATAGAACTTACTATCTTCTATTCATGATTGTTACTGAACTTACGTTTGGGCTCTTTATGGAACAGGATGGTAAGGTATCACAGCTTGAGCATGTCTTCATTCGAGGCAGCTTAGTCAGGTGCTATATAAACTCCTTTTGATATCTGCTTCTTTCCTACTTATTTACTTTTGTTGGAGTATTCTTTTTCAACTTAGCTGACTGATATGTGACATTTTGTAAAATCTTTACAGGTTTATAGTCATACCAGACATGCTAAAGAATGCTCCAATGTTCAAGGATGTTAGGGGCAAGGTATGCTTCTTGAACGTGGTGGTGAATATCAAACCCATCTATGCTTTATAAACATGGAACCTAATAACATCTTGCTTGTTTGATCATTGCAGGGAAAAAGCTCTTCACTAGGTGTAGGCAGAGGAAGAGGCGCTGCAATGCGAGCCAAAGTAAGTTCACCTTCGCCTAAGTCCTTTATGTTTCTGATTTACAGGTCAAGAAGTAAATGTTTGGAAATTTAAGGCATCTAATCGAACTTTGATGTTGTCATAAAGGGTCAAGGTACTGGACGTGGAACAGGAGGAAGGGGAGCCGTTCCACCTGTGAGGAGATAGTTTAGTTAACCCTCATAATGTAGCTTCGACTCTTGAGACAATCTCTGCAGTATCCATGAGAATCCGCCAACTTCAGCTTGTCACTTATGCATTTAAGGTACACAGTAAGTAAAATCTCTAACAAGAAGACAGGGAGGGAAGAGAGAAAGAAGAACTAGTGCTGTGTTTTGGGTTACTAAGATGTTTGAAACATTGACATGTTTTGTTCACGTGGTCATTGAGAGACTTCCCACATCTTATGTAGAACAGAGCACGATTCAAATTTCTATAATGATTCGTCTTTTTAGTCTTGGAGGTGGAAATTTGGTTAGAAATCAGAAATCATAAAATGATGGTTTTCTAAAAGCGGTGGTTTTTATTCATTTATTAATCAGATAAAGATGGTCGGATCAGATGGCGAAGACACTGAGTAGGAAATAAAACATTGGACATAAGTAGTGGTAAAATGCTGCAACCGCGATTTCATGGTTTAGTTTCGGCCACCATGACTGGACCACGGCCCGAGCGGCTTCTGTATACATAACCAACACGTTTTGCATCCATCATCATTCTCACTCCACTTCGTCTTGCTCCCTCTGTTTTCTCCCCTGCACAATTTTTATCTGTTTGCATATTAGTTCTTGTTTCGACAAAAAAATTAACAACTTGCCAAAGACTTGTTCTCTCTTTTAGCTTTAGGCAAAGGGGAACTTACAAACATAAAAGGATATGATCCAAAAGTTTTTTTAATTAATCTTCTACGAATGGGTTTGTTTGTTCTGTATGAAAATAATACTAAGCCTAAAGGGTCTTGTTTCTTGTAATGAATATTATCGTACCATTTAGCCTATTGATTATATTAAAAAATGTAAAACAACGAGCGACACAAGTTGACTCACCAGTTGGGAGAGCTGAGACGAACGAGTTCTCAGGGGATGAAGATAAAAGCAGCAACATTATTGATAAGCAAAGACACAATTTAGCAATATTACCACTACCACATTCTCTTTTATTCATTTTTCTTTATCTTTTCGATAGTTTAAATTTCTGTGAAAGAGGTACATCTTATAAACTAGTATAAAGTCAACGTCAACGTCAACGTCAACGTCAAGTCCGCGTCAACGTCAATGGACACTAGTAGTAACATCAAAGTCATTCTAGCAGACTTTTCCACACAAAATAACATTGCTCTGTTACGATGTCGGTAGATCAAATGGCAAACTCGTTAACCATCTAGAAAGAGAGTTTTCATTGTTCTAGGCTCTAGCGTCGGTAACTAGTATCACCGTCCACCTAAACTGGAGATTTTTTAGGTAAAATAATTCACATACCAACTGTGGGGATGTGATTAATTTAACATGTTCTTTTGTGACTATTACTAATTGCTCGACCTTGATGACTCTTCATTCGTGATGTCATATTTCCAAATAAGGTACACAGTAAGTAAAATCTCTAACAAGGAGAGAGGCAGATGAGAGAAAAAAGAGAGGGACTAGTTATGTCTTGTGGTTACAAAAATGTTTGAAACATTGTCATGTTTTCTTCGCATGGTCGTTTTTGAGAATTCTCACATCTCTTGTAGAACAGGGCAACATGCAAAATTCTATAATGGTTTTTAGTCTTGGAGATGTATAAATGCTTAGAAACCAGAAGAGGGTCATCTGATGGTTACTATATACATAAGATATACTAAGAGCGATTCTATTCATTATGGTATTAATCAGACAAAGATGGTCGGATAAGACACGAGTTGTAGGAGCTAGATAAAACATTCAGCATAGGTAGTTCTAAAATGATGCAACCGGGAGTTCATGGTTTGATCTTTTAAATAATCAGCAACCTGGACCCCGTTTTGAATGGCTTCTAGATACTCGACGGGCACGACATGAAGGGCTAGATCTCACTGGTATCCACATTCTTCTTGCGTGGCCTATTTTTGTCGCTTCATACGTCTCCTCTGCACTATTTATATATATGCATATCAATTCTTAATTTAACAAAGAAAATCACTTACCAAAGATAACGAAACAATTTTCATTCTATTTATATGACGCTAAGGGAAAACTTGCAAACATAACAAGCTAGTGAGAAAAGATTCAATCAAAAAGTTTTTAAAGTAATCTTCTAAGAACGGGTTTGTTATTGTTCTTGTATGAAAATTATACTACTCTTTAACTTGTCGACTATGTTAGAAAGTGAAACAACGACAAAACTTGACTCACCAGTTGGGAGAGCTGAGACGAACGAGTTCTCAAGGGATGAAGATAAAAGCAGCAACATTATTGATAAGCAAATACACATTTTGGCAATACTACCACTTTCATCCATTTTTCTCTCTTTTTTTTTTTTTTGCAATAAAAGTTCATGAAAGAGGTACTTCTTATAAACAAGTCTTCCGTCTAACAAGTTATGTCAAAGTCATTCTGACAGATACATATATTCAGATCTCACTAAATTTATTATGAGTGTGATTGGTGTGTAAATAAGTGAGAATTAGTCATTCCTTCTTTCATATACACCAATCACACTACGTAAACACACTATATATATATATATATGTAACAATATCCCCAATAATAGATTGACTGGTTCTTCTATCATTAATGTTTTTTTCAAGAAATCGAGCGACTTTTACGACCAAGTCAAGAGATCAAAGTGATTATGTCCACAAAACCAAAACCTTATTTATTTTCGCCACAACTGTTGTGAACGTGACTGTGAGTGATAAAAGATGCTGACTTGGAATTTGGAAAAAAGAGTGGAAAAATATGTTCAAATCAAGAACTCTAAAAAGTAATGTTAAGAGCGAAAACGCTTTCTATTATTCTCTTAGCAACGAAAATGAAAAAATTAAACCATCCACACAGACAAGTGAACCCACACAGAGATACGTACGTGTTCAGAAATTTCCCCCATATATGCAACTTATATTGCTGTCTCTTCAGTCTTCAGTGATAAAATTTGGTCAAGTCATTATAAATTCCGTGTGACCTTATTTTAACAGTTGGTTCGTTCACAGCAGAAGAAACCCAGCTGGTTCAATTCTTGCAGCATAACCAAATTTGGATGTGTTGTATTTCCTGTGAACACCTGTTAGCTTCCCTATCCCTGCCTTGTGATGCAAACCAACCATCTTTCTCGAACATTCCCTGTAAGAGATTGATCATCAAAATCAAAAACAATTTCAGTGAGGTTTTTAAATTATATCAGTAAAAAAGCTACTTAGTTTTGATGTTCTTACAGAAGCGTTTCTTCGGTGTAGCCTGAGTGGAACTCACTGGTTTTGCTCCAATCCTCGAATCCTTTAAGTGTGCTCTGAGCTGTGTAGATCGCCGATGCAGCCAACTGAGAAGGAGTGTACTGAAGCATCTCGTACTCCACTAGACAAAGCTCGATGATGAAGAATGATAGAAGCTCAAGCTGAAAAAACCACACCTTATAATCATGTTTTGATTCTTTATATATAAACATAAGAGAGTTATCATCAAAGTTACTACACAAACCTTTTTGTCAGATTGTGCAGCTTTGAGAAACCGTCTCATGAACACATACGGAGTTGGCAGACAGAAATTGAATTGCAAGGTATTTGCCATTAACTTCTCCTGCAAGACACAAGAATGATCATCTACATAGAAACCAGATAATCCATGGTTATGATCAAGTGAAAGATTTTACCATATCAAGAATCTCTGTCCTAGTGTAAGCCTTGTCAGAGATCAGGATAAGATCATCAACAACTGGAACTGAAACTTCTTCGTATTTGCAAGCAAGCAACATAGCTGTTACACCCACAAGCTGAAGCTTTTTCCTCGCGATATGATGATGAGCCGCAAGAAATCGATCTATGAGATTGATTGTCAGGTAAAGCGTCTCCTCCATCAGCTCAAACTTGTAATGTACCTGCAACAAATTTCACAGTAAGCTTTATACTGAGACAACAAACAAAAACATGTTGTTTTTAATGTATTTCTACCTCAATCAACCAATCAATAAGGATCCCTCTCATCCTCTCGTTAATGTCATGTTGATTCTCCATGTAATTAGGCGGTACGCAGCTACGACACTGCAAAATAATTGAAAAAGTTTCAATCTTGAAACCAGAATGATCATATTGATACAGAAACAGAACACTAAAAGTTACCTCATTTTTCGTGTAGAAGCAATATATGTCATCGATGTATTCAACTACAGCTAGAGGATTGTTTTTGTCACAGCTGTCTATATCCATCACAGACTCTTCTACTTCAACATCAATATCATTTGAATCTTCCATTTCAATCCCTTCCTGCAGATAAAAGACAATTTGTTTCTTCATCCGAGTAACAAAAAAAAAAGTGTGGCTTAGATACAACATGGTATTATTATTACCATTCGGTCAATCTCTTCAAGCATAGCTTCAGTGTGTTGAACAAACATTGGTTCATTAAAGTCTCCTTCTTCCACATCTGTTATGATTCTATCTAATGCTTCGTTCGAAATCAAGTCTGGTTTCTTGGTTTCCTAATCACAAAAGAAACACTTGAGATTAGACAACCTAAAACTATGTCGTGTTTTCAAATACCAAATTCAATTAGTGTAAAGGTACCTCCTTGTGGATTTGAGGATTGTTCTCAGCTAACTGAGCAGCAAATTTCCTGAAATTAAATCAAGAATTAGAGCTCCTAAACAAACTCATAGTACAATTGTGACATTGAAGCAGAAATCAATTGAAATTTACTCACCTAGTAACTGGTCGATGCACTGGAACAGGTGGAATCTTATTGTTACATATCCCATTGTTCCTGAGAAAACAGTTGGTTCTTAAGATAAGTGTATACAACTTTTTATTCAAGAATGAATCAATTAAAGAAGAAGGTAATAGAGAAAATTACTCAGTGAATGGTCTTTTGTTGACAGCACAAGGATAAACAGGAGCTCCGATGATGTTCTTGTTTATATTACTCAGTGCCCTTCGTGTCTGTCCATTCGTCGGAATTACCTTTCCTCCACGTAAAACCCCTTTCCAAAAAAATTGACAAAATCATCTTTTTAGAAAATCAAACAAAAGATTGATTTTTGATTAAATTAGGATTCTTGTTTTTGATTCTGATCTACCTTGTTGTCGATTCATCGGTCCAATGACTCCGTGTCTGTTCTCATCTGATCCACTCATTATTATCTTCCGTATCTGGCAATCACAGAAACATGTCTCAAGTCAAAACAAATCCAAATTATAAATTGGGTCTTGAATCCGATTTGAGAATCTAAAGATCAAGAACAAGATGTAATAAATCTCTTAAACCCAGATGAAATCAACACTAAATTCTTTACCTTGACGCTTTCAAGGTATTAGTCTTTCTCTATCTCTATCTCTCTGTCAGAAGCAAAATCCCATAACAGCAAACAGAACTCGATCTCTGGCTCTCTTCAATGATGTTCAAGAGTCTCTCTCTCTTTATCTTCTTTCTCTCACAACGAAAACAAAATTGAAGAAAAGAAAAAAGGGTAAAAGAGACTGTAGAGAGATCAATCAAAGATTATGAAGACGTGAAGAGCGGATATATGTCTGCAACACACAAAAAAATGTTGTTGTTTTCTTTTCTTCCCTTTTTAGAATCAACGGCTAGTAAATCTGAGCCGTTGGATGCAACCTCAACCTAATGGAAAAAGGAAATCAGGAGCCCAACGGCTATATTTGTAACCATGTGCGTTTTCAAAATTCTTCTTCTTATTTTCTTCGTTTTTACTTATTACTACCACCACGCTCAACGGTCCAATGGTCCATGTTTTATTTCAATGTCGCCGACCACCAACCGCCTCGTCATTATTTTTTTCTTAATATTAAAACCAAACCATTTTACCCCAAAAAAAAACAATTTATACATTATTATTAGGCTATATCCAATCTGATTAATTTATTTTTTATCCAATCTCAAGCTAATAGATGATTTTTTTTTGGTCGTCAGATGATTTAAATCTTTAAAACTTAGCCTAACGGCTCTTCACCTTTTTGCTTTTTCCTTTTTTCATTAAAACTCTTTTCTCCAATAGCTTTGTTAGACACTCAATAGTCAAATACATTTTCCAAAAAAGTTGAAAAGAAGTCAAAGACCAAACCAAATTGCCCAATACGGCCCAATATCCTGATTAAAAAGATAGGCCCAATATTTCACCTACGCATCAGATTTGCAATTGCAAGTCTCTTTCAACTTCTCGTCTAATGTTTCACTCTCTGTGTTCCTTCGGATCTTTCAAAAACCATTGTGGTGAAGATGAATCACTTCTCTGATTCGTGATTTTATGTTACTCAATCTATTTCGCGTCTTGTACTCACCGATCTTTATCGAATTTTGGTGTGGATTCAAGCTTCTCAAATGGAATTCGAGACTCACGAAGATGCGTATTTGTTCTACAAAGACTACGCCAAATCCGTTGGATTCGGAACTGCGAAATTGAGTAGTCGAAGATCAAGAGCTTCAAAGGAATTCATCGATGCAAAATTCTCTTGCATACGCTATGGAAGCAAACAACAATCTGATGATGCGATAAACCCTAGAGCTTCTCCTAAAATCGGATGCAAAGCAAGTATGCATGTAAAACGAAGACCAGATGGGAAATGGTACGTTTACAGTTTCGTCAAAGAGCATAATCACGAGCTTTTACCAGAGCAAGCTCATTATTTCCGGAGCCATAGAAACACAGAGCTTGTGAAATCCACTGATACTCGTCTAAGGAGGAAGAAGAACAGTCCGTTAACTGATTGCAAACATCTCAGTGCTTATAACGATCTTGATTTTATAGATGGTTATATGAGGAATCAACATGATAAAGGAAGGAGACTTGTTCTTGATACTGGTGATGCAGAGATTTTGCTTGAGTTTCTTATGCGTATGCAAGAAGAGAATCCCAAGTTTTTTTTCGCTGTTGATTTCAGTGAAGATCATCTTCTGAGGAATGTGTTCTGGGTTGATGCTAAAGGGATTGAAGATTATAAAAGTTTTAGTGATGTGGTTTCTTTTGAGACATCTTATTTCGTGAGTAAATATAAAGTACCAATAGTTCTTTTTGTTGGAGTTAATCATCATGTACAACCTGTGTTGCTTGGATGTGGATTGCTTGCAGATGATACAGTTTACACTTATGTTTGGTTGATGCAATCTTGGTTAGTGGCAATGGGTGGTCAAAAACCTAAAGTTATGCTTACTGACCAAAACAATGCTATTAAAGCTGCAATTGCTGCGGTTTTACCGGAAACTCGCCATTGTTATTGCTTGTGGCATGTGCTGGATCGGCTTCCTAGGAATTTGGATTATTGGAGTATGTGGCAAGACACTTTCATGAAAAAGTTGTTCAAATGTATATACATGTCATGGTCTGAGGAGGAATTTGATAGGAGGTGGTTGAAATTGATAGACAAGTTTCATCTTAGAGATGTTCAGTGGATGCGTTCTTTGTATGAGGAGCGTAAGTTCTGGGCACCTACCTTTATGAGGGGAATAACATTTGCGGGGTTATCAACACGTTGTCGTTCAGAAAGTGTGAATTCTTTGTTTGATAGGTATGTTCACGCTGAAACCTCGCTTAAAGAGTTCTTAGAAGGATATGGGCTAATGCTAGAAGATAGGTATGAAGAGGAAGCGAAAGCAGATTTTGATGCTTGGCATGAAGCACCTGAGTTGAAATCTCCATCACCTTTTGAGAAGCAAATGTTACTTGTATACTCCCATGAAATATTCAGGAAATTCCAACTTGAGGTTCTGGGTGCAGCTGCTTGTCACCTTACCAGGGAGAGTGAGGAAGGGACAACTTACAGTGTCAAGGACTTTGACGACGATCAGAAGTATTTGGTGGATTGGGATGAATTTAAGTCTGATATTTACTGCTCTTGCCGTTCCTTTGAGTACAAGGGATATCTCTGTAGACACGCAATTGTTGTCCTCCAAATGTCGGGTGTTTTCACCATTCCGATAAACTATGTGTTGCAAAGATGGACGAATGCAGCTAGAAACAGACATCAGATCAGTGGAAACCTTGAACTTGTGCAGTCTAATATCCGCCGTTTCAATGATCTTTGCCGCCGAGCCATTATATTGGGAGAAGAAGGATCTCTTTCCCAAGAAAGTTATGACATCGCCATGTTTGCAATGAAAGAAGCTTTTAAGCAATGTGCTGTTAAGATTACTACCATCGAACATCCCGTCAGGTGTGAAGAAGCTGCAATTCAAGCAGGACATCCTGTCCAGGAAGAAAATCAATATGGATCCACATCGAATCAGATTGGACCCGAAGCTAACATACATGCAGGCAATGTTCCATGGCAAGCTGAAACCAGAAGGGAGAAGAGAAGTAGCCTAAGCAATACATCTAAAAAGGCAAAGGTCCGCTAGTTTTTCTACTATGCTATCAGAATCATCGATTAATCTTTTATGGGTACTCGATAGGCTATAATATCATACATACGGCCAGAGGACAAACAACTATTTCCGCTAAACTGTCAGACCCTGATGATGTGATGCGTAACTTTGTTTAAGATTGGTTACGTGTTTCATTGATCTTTCTTCATTTGTGCAGCATGTGGCTCAATCTGAAACTGGTGGTGAGGGAAGCCAAGAAGGATTTCAGCATGTGGTATGTTTGATTTTCCTATCTGCATCCCGAATGCAATCCACTCATTGACATTTGATAGACTTGTACAATTCATATGGTTAAGTGTTCTGATCGTTTTCTATTACAGGCTGCTCCAAGACAGTCACAGGTGGTATTGGCAGGGCAATTTCACAACACAATGCCAGGAGTATTCCAAAACTTAATCCACACGGAGTTCCAAAACATTCCGACTACAAATATGCACCAGAACAATCCCCCTAGGTGAACTTGGTAAAAGAATCACTGCCAACAAGCTTGATAGCTTCTTTGTGTGTAATATATTATCTCCTACTCAACTAGTTTATCGCTTCTTCTCTGGTTCCAGTTGCTCTTAGGATAAGTTAATAGAGTAAATGGTGTATCTTTTGATGAACTATTCTGCGAAAAGGTATGGTAGGCATCTGTATGAAAGCTAATTAATTGTCAATTTGTCATGCTTGGAAAATGCAAGCAGTGTGAGAAAGCTCGTGAACAATTTCCAGGGCCATGATCAGTGTGAGTCACGAAACAAGCCTGGCCGATTCAATGAGGCATTTTAACATTATTGAACGTATGATCACAAAAACTCATTGTCTATCCTCATCAAGTCATGTCTTCAGGTTCTTACCTACTGATATGTGTTGTCAGGCGCTTCTTTCTCCTGATTATTTGAGCCATTAGAGCCTTTAAGGGAAGAGAACTGGTGGCATAAGATTGAGAGTTTCCATGTAAACATGTAAAGGGCTTCCTTTTTAGCTTGAGGAATAAAAACAGGGCTTTCTGGTCTTGCAGAGAGATAATTTTTGGGTGCTCTCGAGTCTCGACCGTACAATCGCTATGACTTATATGTCCAACAAATTTGAATTAGCCTGTTACTCAATGATCACTTGTGGAAATCGTCAACCCATTATTTGCTAATATAAATTTTTATTAGATTCGTCTACTCTATATATAATTGATTGGCTTCAACTAAATCTTCAACAAAATATTACAATCTTCTTAAGCTACGAAGGATTAAGGATTAGTTTTTTGACTGAAATTTTACTTTTAATGTTAATATTATAAACATCTTTCAATGATGATTTAACAAATTGTCAATATGTCCGAGTGGTTAAGGAGATAGACTTGAAATCTATTGGGCTTCGCCCGCGCAGGTTCGAACCCTGCTGTTGACGGAAATTTTTAATTTTTCATTTTTGGGCTCAAAATCGAACGTTACTCATCATACCTTAGGTGTTCTCATAACATAAACTAGCTTAGCAGCAGTTACCAAGATTAGATGGACTCTCAAACACAAATATCTTTTTGAACTTTCGTAACTTTTACCTCATAACAGATCTCAAGACAAAAAGGACACATAAGAATTCTTTACTCGCATATAAATCTGAATCGGGTACAAGAAATAAATCCAAACACATCAAAATGTAAACAAGAAATCGATATTATTCAACTACTGGATCAGGAACGCAGTACTCTTACCTCTAGTTACAAAAGAATTGCATAACCACTAAGTACAATGTAGTTCTTTACTTGAAAACTAAATCATATCAGTACCGAAGGAACTCCAGCCACTGCAAGTTCCAACCACTATGATCATAGTTTCTCTTCTGATTTCAGAGTTTCCTTTATATTGATGCTGTTACTCTCCTTGTTCTCCTGCATTTCTAGAAGTTTCTCTTCTTCCTCGTCTTGCTCTTGCGGTTTAGCTTCTTGTGCTGCATTCGGTTTCTTCATGGTAGACTGCTGATACATGACTCCACCAAACATACAAATCAAGAGCCCCAAGGTTCCAACAAACGTTGAATGTTTATCCCACACAACCAAATTGATCACAACTGTCAATAGCTTGTTCACAATCCCAAGAACAGTGAAACCCGTTGCAGAAATGGCCCTGCGACATGAGAAGCCGAAGAAAGAGATGGCCAATCCGAATAGACATGACAAACCCACTGGTAAAACCACTTGCAACGAGTACCAATCAGTCTCGTCAGTGATTTCATGCTTTATCTTCTTTAACTCTCCCATTATCAGCAGTTCAAGTGGAAACAAAAGCAGCGCCTCAAGGTTATTGTAGAGAACAAGACCCCATGTGTTCAAGCCAATGGTCATAACCACATGCTTGATGTAAACAAAGTCTATAGTCATACTCACCAGATACGCAAGAGCCCAGCTATATGCTGCGATTGTAAACTGGTAATCCGTGAATACGTAAAGTAAACTTCCCCCAAATATAGTAGCCAAAGATCCCCACGTTTTAACAGATGGCCATGGTTGGTGCAAGTAGAGCGTTTCCCCAATCGCAACAAAAATCGGAACAGCAGACCTAAACACGATGAAAGTATCGACATTGGCGTGGAGGAGAAGCTCACTGTTAGTAAACAGAGACAAGTAGAATATCATAGCTGCGGGAAGAAACCGCCACATTGTCAAGAGATTAAGCGAATCATGCTCGATTAGCTTCATCTGAGCACAGAGCAAAACACCAGCTGCACTTGTAAAGTACTGCATAGCGGTTAATGCACCGGGGTAAGGAAACTTCATGATTGCCCATTTGTTGATGATTGAGAGCAGAGAAGCTGAGAGACAATACCCTGCAGCTACACCATAGACTGAAGCTTGACGAAGAAAAACACTATACCAAGTCTCTGGGCTTGGTTCTGGAACATTCTTAACCTCGATTAAAGTTCCATTTTCCTCATCGTTCGTAGACATATCAAATGAAACCAGAGAAAAAAGGATCTGATGTCGGTGGAATCTAAGATTTTCACACTCAGTTACTCATTAGCTTCACCTTGAAACTCAAAATTGCTTCAAATCAGAGCCGATTCTGGAAGTATTCAAGCTCTGCGAGTACACAAGGATGCAGCAAAATTAGGGTTTCTACGTGACAATGATTCAAATCGAACGCAACAATTAGATCCCGACTAATTACGATTAGATCACGCATAAATCTAACTTAAGTATCTACAAGACTACAATAGAAAGGGAACATTTAGGGTTTATCAATCGCTGAACAAAAATGTCTAAGAGGAGAATCGAAGGAGCTTTACCTCTTGGGAATTGCGAGACAGAAAGAAGAAACGCGTCGCGGAGGAAGGAAGAAGAAGAGAGAACAAAGCTTCGTCTTTAGAACTTAAATCCACCGTGAAGCTATATTACTTAGGGTTAAACACTAATGCTAATTTATACTGTATATATATATATATATATCTACTAAATCAGCAATCACTAATGGAATGAATGGTTTATTAAATACAGTGGATGATATGACTACGATAATTTACCGAAACCGACGGTTGTGGTTTTATTTAACGCTTTAAACAATTGGTTTGACAGTACAAAAAGATGCGGTTGTAGGATTTTTTTATGACTCGTTAACCAGCGAATGCAATAACGATTAACCAAAACATATATAATATATAACTAAAAATATATAAAAATACTAAAAACTATATTATATATGTGCCAATTTGGAAATGAGTAAAAAAAGAGATAAAGAGACAACAAAAGAGTGATAGGAATCAGCATATTTGTGCAAATCTGGTATTCAATTTCTCGTATGAAACACATCATCTATCGTTTTAGTGGAAGACATATATAAAACGGTGTTATATAATATATAGTATGTTTTTTCATTTTCGAACGAATGATAAGGTTGTTGATGCATGTATATATAGATGTACTAAACCACTCTTTCGTACATGATATCAAATACTACAACATTAAGATTGGAGTAGCTATAGCTCTTCCGTCTTGAAATGGCATATTAAGAAAACACAATTAATATTGTAAAGACCTTATCTAATTGCTCTTAAGTTTAACCCTATGTGTATTAGTACTATATATATGCGTAATATTTTACCTAATGAATATCATTGAAATCATAGTCTCTATGATTAATGCAAACAAATAGTTACTCAAAAGTTGAGCAATGGGAACAAATTAAATATTAACTGAAGAGACAAATAATAACAATTATAAAATCGTATGATTTCAATTGGACCTTTTATAAAATATCACGCACATAACCACATGGTGGTGGGCGAGTGGTTCTCGTTTGGTTGGAAGGATCGCCCTGTTGGTCTAGGCCAGGGATCGATCCTCCCCAGACGCAGTTTCGCTTTCTCACTCCTGTGGCCACCTGGGAATTTACCTGCGGACTTGCTCAGGCGCCCCAGACCACCAGTTTATCAGGGGGCCCTTAAGTGGAGGCTTAAAAATCCCTGTGACGCGGGCTTAGGCCCAGTGGGCTAGTCAGATCACTGTGTGGTCTGGATACTGGGTTATCAAAAAAAAATATCACGCACATGAGTGAGGTTGGTAGCCAGAGCCATGTGTCTGTCACACGAGATCCAAAGCATCTTGATCTCTTACTGGTCTTAGATCAGAGACTTAGAAAAATTGATGTTGTTTCCTTAATATTGCTCTATGAGTACTGTTCCATTTCAACAGATTAATCGTGATAAAATGTCAATTTTCTCTTATTACGGACTTGGATTGCTTCTATGCGTTGTTACTGTCTGTGTTTGCGATAAGCTCTTACGTCTTGTGTTTGCGATAAGCTATGCACACTAAGCCAATCTTTAGTATTTAATAGTGTAGTGGTGAATATAAAATCTGCTTATAGGTACAATGATGAGCTTTGGGTGTAGTTTACAAAATCTTAGATCCGTCTTTGGGAAAATTCAATTTCATGATGGCTAAATCAAGTTGGCTTCGCTTTGATTACATATGAAGGAAAACTTTATAGGATGTATATAACATATTAAATTAGGTCTGGTCCGATCATTTCAGTTAAGTTCCTGCCAAACATCTTGTAATTAGCTGAAAAGTAAAGATGCTAATCTGTTTTTAGGTTAAAAGTTCTTGGTATAAATATATAAATTGAATAGAAATCGAATTTTATTTATTTCACTGTGGGTTTGTGTCGTTATCTGTTGATGTAATATAATTTAATTTGAATTTGCTTGGAGGTACTTACTTATCTTTTTTTTGTCAAACAGGTACTTATTCTTTCTTCCATATAGTTTGTTTTCTTGGTGTTTTATTACGATTTTGATTTGTATCTGAATTTGTTTAATCGAATTTAACACTCTCAACTGAATCTTTAACAAATGCTTATGGTAAGAGTTTCAGAATTTGAAAGCTTATCTGAAAGCTGAAACAAATAATCATTTTTTTTATAATTAATCATGTTAAGAGTAGATACTATGACCAAAAGTACTGTGTTTTGGTTTAGTTGTTGAAATTTGTCTTATTGATTAAAGGTAATAACCTATTTATCCATTCACTATACTTTCATGTTGGTCCATAGTAAACGCTTAAGTGGCAAACAAAAACAAGTTTTCTACTATATCTTAAACATAATATAGATTTTCGTTTAATTGATCCGATTACAAAAAAAACAAGATGAAAGTGAATCACACCATAGGTTTACCTACCAAGGATATTGTCAGCTATCAATTTGCGTGTGACAAGACAACAAAAATAGAAACTTTTTACCTAAAGTATGACGTGTGAAATTATCACAACTTTGATGAAAGATTATTCATTATTCGACCAATCTTCTAACTTTTTTCTTTTAAAACAAAACTTTATTGTTTAATACCAAACCAGAGAGGAGATTCCCATGGCAAGGAAGAATAACTTTAATTTTTTATATAGTCGGAATCTTCTTCCATACATGTTATGTCAAAGTTTGTTGTTCCTTTCAATTTTCAATCATAAACTCACTTACGTCTGCTATTTATTGCAACAAAAAAAGGTTTCCTAAATTCAGTTCACCTAAATAAACAAATAGTTAGAACTTAGAAGACGGTAACAATGAGAAAAGATTGATAGGGGCCGGGGAAGAACAAAAACTAGACGCGTTGCATTTTGCTTCTTCGCAAAAGCAAGTTGCGACATCGAAAAAATCATCTCAACCAACAAAACAGACTAAACAGTAATCTAATAATCTCAACTACCTCACAACCACATCTTATGTTTTTCTAGCCAGTGATCAGTGTAAATTGAAAACTCAAAAACATTGTAGACCACTAGTCCACTACCAAATGAACTAATCAGTTTTGACACTTCTTTCTACATACGTGAATGGTTTTACAAAGGAAACACAATTGTTCCTTCAAGAAGAGTCACATCTCCACGAGGCTAAGTGGGACACACATTGCCCACCATTTCTATTACAAAGTATCTTTTAATCCAATAGGACGCTGACCAAAAGAAAAAAAAAAAACCAATCGGTCAAACAACATAATTTAACTCTATCGATTGCTATTTGTAGTTTTATAATATAGATTCTTTTTTACCCATGGGGTAAAAGCAAAACCTGCTCCCCCACTTGTTTTCTTACATTCCAACTTGCTCCATCAATTATTAATTTTCTCTTAAACTTTTTTTTTGTATCAACTTTAAGTTAAGTAATTAATTACTTGACATCTTCTCTTTAACTATATATGTTTTTAGAATCTTTATTTGTTTTTAACAACTATGAAATAGTATCATTTTCGAGAGTGTACACATGGAAGAATAATCAGATCATATTCTGTAAATAATTGGAAAAAATCAAAGACGTTAATCGTTTTTTCTATTATACACCCTTTCTTTCCAATTTCATAAACAAGTAAAATAACAAAGTCAGCGGCGAAAATTCAACTTTGTATATTCATAGTTCTTATATACTACTACCTTATATAATTTTGTCAACTCTACTTGGTCCCTTATTATTGGCACCAAAACTTTGCTTAATAAATTACATTGATTCCAAATCAATGGCCTTTTTTTTACTTATTTATTTATTATTAGTGCTAATTGCTGATATTTTCTCTCAACATTAAAAAGTTGACTTCTTACATAGAAATATCTTTTAAGCTTTTTTTTTTTTTATAAAGATTACATGTTGGAAGGAAAAAAAAAAAAGACTCTTACATGTTAAGAAATTCACTGCCCAAAACTCTAAAAAAAATATGAAAAATAATAATATCTCTTTTTCTCTCTAGAATATGGGAATCTCCGTCCTCCAACACCCACGCAGCCTGGAAGTGAGAGAGAGAGAGACAGACAGTCTTGTTCTGTTGTGTAAATACTCTAAAGAGACCAAACAAATTGATTTTTTTTTTTTATAAAAAAAAGTATTAGTTGAAGGGTTCTTTTTTTCCCCGATGCATATATGAGATAACGATGCCTCAAAAAATGATTTTTTTTTTGGGTTTTGGTAATTCATGAGGAAGAGGTACACATTAACCTTACTTGTTCACCAGGAACAGACCCATCAAAGACATCTTTACAGCTTTCTTTTCCCTGAGATTTGGGTTTGTTTTCTCCTGTCTCTCCTAAGACAAGTGGTCTTTTAAGGACACTTCTTTTCCAAGAATCTTCAATTTAAAAGGATAAACACCATTTAAAACCTACTTCAAGAATCTTCCGAGAATCTGACGTCTTTTTTTTGTGAGTTTTCTTTTTATTTCCCATTTCTCAACTTCAAAGGTCTCATCTTTTTTTGTTAAATCAAGAATTAGATTAGTGCTAAACTTTTTTAAAAGATTCCTTCTTTGATTGAGGTTAAATCAGTATCTCTTAACCCACAAGGGATTAGGGTATTTTAACCAACTTGTAAGAATCAACAGAAAAAAAAAATAAAAAAAATTGGAGCTTTTCACTAATATCTTGATTCTCAGTTTCTTTTCTATTACAAGTTTTTTGCTTTGATTATGTTTGGGTTTTGGTGAAATGGATGCTTTGTTTTTTTCAGATGTGGCTTCATTGATTTGAGTAAGCCATGGAAAACAATTCTCTACCTATGGATCCGGCTATGGATTCTTCATTCATGGACGGATTACTATTAGAAGGTTGCTGGTTAGAGACAACTGATGCATCCGAGTTCCTTAATTTTAGTCCTTCAACTTCTGTAACCCCTTTTGATCCTTCTTCCTTCATGTGGTCTCCAACGCAAGACACATCTAATAACTTATCTCAGATGTATGGTCAAGATTCTGCAGAAAGATCGAGTCTTGAGGATCAAGGGAGAGATCTCTCTAGCTTTAATAGACGGTGGTGGATTGGACCAAGTGGTCATGGCTTTTCGGTTATGGAGAGATTGGTTCAAGCAGTGACACACATTAAAGATTTCACAAGTGAGAGAGGCTCTCTTATACAGTTGTGGGTGCCTGTGGATAGAGGTGGTAAGCGAGTTTTAACCACAAAGGAACAACCTTTTAGCCATGATCCAATGTGCCAAAGGCTTGCTCATTACAGAGAGATCTCTGAGAATTATCAATTCTCTACTGAACAGGAGGATTCAGGTTCCAGTTCCAGGGACTTGGTTGGTTTGCCTGGAAGAGTTTTCTTGGGCAAAGTTCCTGAATGGACTCCTGATGTGAGGTTTTTCAAGAACGAGGAGTATCCCAGAGTACAACATGCTCAAGACTGTGATGTTCGAGGCACGTTAGCTATTCCTGTATTTGAACAAGGTAGTCAGATTTGCTTAGGTGTTATTGAGGTTGTAATGACCACTCAAATGGTTAAATTAAGCCCTGACCTTGAAAGCATCTGCAGAGCACTTCAGGTTTTGTTACTTTTGCTTTGTCTCCTTTATCTTTGAAATAAGCTTTCTTGGAACCTTAAGCATTGCTTATTTTCTTCACAGGCAGTTGATCTTAGGAGCACAGAAATTCCGATACCGCCTTCTCTAAAGGTAGAAGCTTTCAAAACTTTTTGTTTATCTTTGTTTCAGCTTACTTAACAACAAGCCAAATCATTCTTGAATCAGGGACCTGACTTCTCTTACCAAGCTGCATTACCTGAAATCAGAAACCTCTTGAGATGTGCTTGTGAGACGCATAAACTACCATTAGCTCAAACATGGGTCTCTTGTCTCAAACAAAGCAAAACCGGTTGCCGTCACAACGATGAGAACTATATCCATTGTGTATCCACAATCGATGATGCTTGCTATGTTGGTGATCCTACAGTCCGTGAATTCCACGAAGCTTGCTCTGAGCATCATCTCTTGAAAGGTCAAGGAGTTGTTGGAGAAGCCTTTTTGACCAATGGTCCTTGCTTTTCATCTGATGTTTCTAGCTACAAGAAATCTGAGTACCCTCTCTCTCACCACGCAACTATGTTTGGCTTACATGGCACAGTCGCGATACGCTTACGCTGTATCCACACGGGTTCAGCTGATTTTGTCTTGGAGTTCTTTTTGCCTAAAAATTGCCGGGATATCGAGGAACAGAGGAAAATGTTGAATGCTCTGTCAACTATAATGGCGCACGTACCTAGAAGCTTAAGGACAGTCACGGAGAAGGAACTAGAAGAAGAGGGAGATTCAATGGTGAGCGAGGTCATAGAGAGAGGAGTGACATTGCCAAAGATAGAGAATATATCCGAAGTACCTCAGAGTATTAGTACTCCTCAAAATGTAGGAATAGTATTTGATGGAGGAACAACAGAGATGGGCGAGCTAGGTTCTGACTATGGCAAGGGTTTGAGTGTAAATGAGAACAACACGTTCTCTAGTGGTAGTGGTTTCAATAGAGTGACTGAGAAAAAGCGAACAAAAGCCGAAAAAAAACATAACTTTGGATGTTCTTCGCCAATATTTCGCAGGGAGTCTCAAAGATGCTGCCAAGAGTATTGGTGGTAAGTAAAACATTTACATTCTAGTTCTTGAATTTTCAGTTCATCAGAGATTCTGTTATTGATCTTGGAATTTGTTTCAGTTTGTCCAACGACATTGAAGAGAATATGCAGACAGCATGGGATACAGAGATGGCCATCAAGAAAGATCAAGAAAGTTGGTCATTCGCTTCAGAAAATCCAACGAGTCATCGACTCGGTAGAAGGTGTTTCGGGTCATCATCTTCCTATAGGCTCCTTCTATGCGAGTTTCCCAAATCTAGCTGCTTCACCAGAAGCATCATCCCTACAACAACAATCTAAGATGACGACGTTCTTGCCAACTTCACATTCACAACATGCAAAATCCCCTGGTTCCTCGTGTAGTCACAGCTCAAGCTGTTCCAGTGAAACGCAAGTAAACAAGGAAGATCCCACGGATAAGACTAGACAAGTCTCAATATCCTTTAAGGAAACGCAAAGCACACACTTATCACCATCAACATCATCACAAGAGGATGATTTTCTGAGGATAAAGGTAAGCTATGAGGAGGAGAAGATCCGGTTTAGGATGCGAAACTCGCATAGGTTAAAAGATTTACTATGGGAAATAGCGAAACGATTTAGTATAGAAGATGTGAGCAGATACGATCTGAAATACTTAGATGAAGACAATGAATGGGTTCTTTTGAGATGTGACGACGATGTAGATGAGTGTGTAGATGTTTGCAGATCTTTTCCAGGACAAACGATTAAGCTTTTGCTTCAGCTCTCTTCTTCTTATCTTCCAGAACGTTCTTCTGTCAGTGGATGCCTTTCATGACATGAAGATGAAGAGACACTTAAGGAGAAGAGACAAAGATTGCATATAGTTTGTGTTGTGTAAACATTGTTCATAGGTTTTCTTCACTATTTTAAAGCTGCATCAGAGAAAGAGAGAACGTGTAAAGAGCCTTTCTTCTAGAAAAAAAATAATTGGAAGTTTTCTTTTGTGTATACGTGGATTTGAAAAATAATAAGGAAGAAAATAAAACAAGAGTCAAGAAGTGACAATCAAAATTTAATTGCCTAAAACAAAAAATTACTTTGGCTATAAATTAAGAGTTTTCTCAGGATAAATATGAAAAAAATGGATTACATTAATTTTTGACAAAATATAAATTATGGCTTTATTTTGACTCAGTGTACAACAAATATTTCACTAAGTCTAGAAATTAATAACATATAATTCACTACCAGAAAGAAAAAAAAGGATTAAAGGTGGTTCGTCTGTATATAGTGTGTATACATATATGCCTGATCCAATTGACTATCCGGTTCTACCGGTTCTACGGCCATACGGTGAATCATTTCCACGAACCCGGTTATTATCAGAACCACTACTCCTTTTACGTCTCTCTTCTTTGGGTTGGTCTCTGATAGTCCTTACGACTTCTAGTTCTCTGAGCACATCATCCATTGGCGGTCTGTTTTTCGGGTCAGCCTCCAGACACCGTAGAATAAGCTCGGCGGTTTTGACCACTGCCAAAAGTGGATATTTGTGCTCGAGCCGTGGGTCCATCATTTTCTGTACCTTCTTCTTCTGGTTCAGCACCGGTTTAGCCCATTCCACAAGATTCTGTTGCGCAGATGGTCGGTTTGGGTCTAATGCTCTTAAACCGGTCAAGAGCTCTAAGAGTACCACTCCAAACCCGTAAACATCACTCCTCACATATAGATGACCTATAAACATCATTTAAGTTAATCCAATATTCAAAGGAAAATACCGATGACAATTAAAACATAGCCTTGTGTTTAATGTGTATAATGTGTACGTTCTATTTACCTGTAGCCATGTACTCGGGAGCTGCATAGCCTTGTGTGCCCATGACACGTGTGGTCACGTGTGAGAATCCATTAATGGGGCCATTTTTAGCTAGTCCAAAGTCTGAAAGCTTGGCGTGGAAGGTCTGAAAAAAACGGCAGGAACATGTTGCTAAAAATCAGGACATATCTTCTAGAAACAACATGCAGTTTTGTTTTAAACGTGGAGATGAAAAAACGACAACGTACGGAATCAAGAAGAATATTGGAAGCCTTGAAGTCTCTGTAGATAACACTCTTTTCGGAGTTATGCAAAAAGGTAAGTCCTTGGGCTGCTTCAATGGCTATCTTCAAACGTGTGTCCCATGGCAATGCCTCTGCTCCTTCTGCATTAACATTACATGCATATATCTTTATATTTGTGTATAAATATGTGTATAAGATAAGGTAATTATAATGGATTAATTGAGTAAAATTATACTTGAAAAGAGGTGATTTTCAAGGCTTCCTTTAGGCAAATACTCATAGACCAAAAGGAACTGATTCTCTTCCCAGCAATAACCCAAGAGCTTCACCAAATTTGGATGATGAAACTTCCCTAGGAATCTCACTTCACACTGCAATTTTACAATATATTAACACACACATTAACAATTATATTCGATATGACTGTTTTAAGAATAACTGATGTTTCACTGTTTATTTATATAGTTAGATGTTTTGTAGATCGATCATTCATAAGCTGATGCTTATTTATCATCGTTCCCTGTCGAAAACCTTGTCAAGATTACTTGTTTTCATTTTTCTAATAGAGATACTAATTTCATATAATATATTCTATGATCTGTCGACACAATATATGGTTGTGAACGTTTTTTTTTTGTTAAATATATGGCTGTGAATGGTTCACACCTTTTTTTTAGATATGAAGAGACGTACATAAAAAAAGAAATTAATTTGCACGCACCAATACAAGAAAATATCCAACCATATCATTTATTTATTTATTATTATTTTTAACTGTAAAACTTATAATTAAATACTCATTGACTATTATATGTATTGTTTCTTTCCGATTGACTAATTATGTTACGAGATAATTCCTTTGACTTCGTCTTCTTCTCCTGTCTTAAAATGTCAAGTTGACCTCTTCTTCTTTTATTAAGTACTAAGAAAATAGGTAGTAAATAACAAGTATAATTTTCAACTAATAAACTCGGCCGGATTCTAGCGAGACCGGCGGTGATACAACGTTATTCGATTATAAGTAAGAAATGCTCTAAATTATCACCCAAAACCAAACAGAACAAAACTTCCAAATATACAATTATTTTGAAAATAAATCATAAACAAAATTTAGATTTAAGTACAAGTTTAGTAAGGGTTACTAAATCATTTAAGACCCGTTCATATACTTTCACTATATGGAGCAAGAAAACGACTAGCAAGCTAAAAGTGTGACAAGAAAATGTATAATTTTGTTTTTACCCAAATTTGTGCTTACTTTTTTTTTGGCGTCTTGTGTTTACATACTTTTAAAGTAACAATTACTGATTTTTTTTCCTAATTTGCACATATACATACGTATATATCTAAGTACACATGACATTCCTAATATTGAAGAAACTGAGACAAAAAAGAATGTCCAGTTTTGCTCCAATTAGAATCTTTTAATGATATATTTACTCCAATTAGAATCTTTTAATGATTTTAAGGCAATTTTAAGTTCAAATAGAAAAGGAAAGTTGGGAGTTACTTGCCTGCCATTCATGTAAGCCTTGCTCACTATCAGGATTTGATTTCTTAACGGCGACTGGTATTCCGACGCCAGCTCTCGACGGAGCTAATGTTTTCTCATCCACCCATCCCTTAAAAACCTGTCCGAATCCACCTTCTCCGATCACAGACTCTGGTCGGAAATTCTTTGTAGCCGTCTTAAGTTCCACTAATGTAAACATCTTTAGATTTGGTGTCACTATCTTCCCGCTCGGTGGCACTGCTTTTCTTCCTAAACCCAATTTTTCCACCGGCTTTAATGGCGGATTATCGACGGATCTCGTCTTCTCCTGCGGTTCTTCCCGAGGTGGGTTTTCGACGGATCTAGTCTTCTCCTGCGGTTTTTCCCGAGGTGGGTTTTCGACGGATCTTGTCTTCTCCTGCGGTTTTTCACGAGGTGGAGTTGCGACGGATCTCGTCCTCTGTTGCGGTTTTTCACGAGGTGGGGTAGCGGCAGGTCTCGTTTTATGTCCTGTTTCCGGCGCCGGAAACTTGGGATTTAACGCCGGCATCGCCACTAGCGCCGGTGGAAACTTTTTATTCTCTGGGTTGTGGACACGTCTCACTGTACAGATTGATACACACGACCTTATTAGATTGAAACTTCTTCATTCGAGAAAATAAAAACAGAGACTTTAACACAAAAGAAAAACAGAGCAAGCATTGACATTTTCATAGTTGAAAAGCACAATGGAAAAAAAAAAAAAAACAGGAAAGCTTTTTTTTGTTTGGGGTAATTCAAGAACTGAAAGAAACTTATGGAACATCAGAAAAATACCAAAGAAAAAAAACTGAGTAAATAGATCTAAAGTGTTTGGATTTTCCCCAAAAAAGAAAAAGAAAAAACAGAGAGATGTGTGTATGAACCTGGGAGGGGTTTGGTGGAGGCAGGGCTCTGTTCATGTTGAACAGTGGAAGATCCAGAGCCAGGACAGAAGTTCCCCATTAAGATCAAACCAGCTCTTTACTCTGTTTACTCTGTTTTTCCTCTGTTTTGAGTAATCTTTGCTTCACCCTTCAGGATCATAAGATTTAGAGAGAAACTTTTCTCCAACTCTCCCTTTTTTCTTTCTTTCTCCTTTGGGGATTTTAATTGAAAGATTGAGGAAGAAGCTGAGAAACGGAGAGGAAAGACCAAGCAAAACTCTCTCTTTGGGGGAAATTTATTATTTATTTTAGTTTCATAAAAGGATGAGTATTTGATATCGTCGTGATTATTATTACTTGATTGGTTGATGTTGAAATATATATTTTATTACCAAAAATTTCAACGTTAATTAGTCCTTGATTTAGACGTATTTACATTTTCTCATTTCATACCATGTCCACGGTTAAATGTGAAAATGTAAATTACACATTTCAAGGCCTCCGGTACAGGCTGGTTCTGTACATCGTCAAATGGAGAGCCGCCAACCATGGGAGCTGCGAACTTCCGTAGAAGTCTATCTCCACTACATGCCGAATTCGAGGCCCTTCTCTGGGCGATGAAGTGTATGATTGGTGCAGATAATCAAGAGGTAGCGTTCTTTACAGACTGTTCAGACCTGGTGAAGATGGTGTCTTCTCCAACCGAATGGCCGGCGTTTTCAGTGTATTTGGAGGAATTTCAGAGCGACAAGGAGGAGTTTTCATCTTTTTCTTTATCTTTAATTTCTCGTAGGGCTAATGTTAAGGCGGATAATCTGGCACGAAAAGTTCGTACAAAACCGCTTCATATCACTTATGTAAATAACATTCCTCAGGTTAAATACTTCCATGTATTATATTCGCATGTTAGTTAAATTCAGAATAATTATTTTTCTGCTAGAAAAATTAGAAAGTAGAGTTAGTGAGAAAATTACCTCCCTCCGAGAAGAAACACTTTTCATTTAAAGTTAAATTTTCTTCCATTTTTTTTATATAATTCTCCATTTTCTCTAAAGTTTTTATCAGTCAGATCCAATGAATCAGTCAGATAATTTTTCAGTTCGTTTAACTTATTAAAAAAAATTAAAGTATCATTTTTTATTTCACTGACTCTTACAATAAAGTTATGTACGTAAATAACTGTATTGTTTCTTTAAAGGGTGATTTGCAAAACTAGCCACTTTTGATAATTTAATTAAGAATATAGCATCATATGTATATAAATTAAGAAAATAACATGTAAGGGTTGGGAAAAGACAATTTTGGTGTGGATTTGTTGGTGGAAATGTCTAATGTGGGTTTTGGTTGAATGAAACGAGCAATGGAGAGAAGAAGAGAGAGAGTTTAGTAACACTTAGTTTAATTTTCACCCATTTATATTTTTTTTCTATATATCTTTTCCAAAAAAATAGATTCTAATTCTCAAATTTATTAGACAAAAATGTATGTTCTTTTTCTACAAACGGCATAGTTTGAATTTTTAAAATCGGATGTGAATTTATAAAATGGTGAATAGTGTTTATAAGTAAAAATATGTTGTACTATCTAGGACATATAGGAATAGAATGTTGTACTATACTATTTTCATAAATCATTCGTGATGGTTTCGGTGGTGGTCGGAGTGGTGACAACATGGTAATGGTGATCGTGATCGTGATTGAGGTGGTGGTGGTGTTGATGGTGACGGTTGTAGTGGGGGTGGTGGTTTCTATCATGGTGAAGGCTGCAGCGGGGGTGGTGGTGACGGTATGGGCCGTATGGTGGTGGTGAAAATAGTGGTGGTTGGGAATAGCATTTGGACTATCGAAAATCTACAATAAAATTTTGCCATTAATTAATTGATTTAAGAGACAACCATATCCAAAAAACTCATGAATTAGTCTGTATTTTATGACTAATTAATTTCCTGGGCAAATCTAATAAATTGAGAATTTTTAATGGAAATAGACATTGATGTTATGGATATGAACGAGAATTCGGATGAGCGAGAGACCAAATCAACCCTGTGAATGAATATAGCCAAACCACTACTAGATTGATCGGAGCTATCGAGATGCAAAAAGACGGCGAATCGATTTGAATGGATTTATGGATTTTAATTTCTAGCAAAAAAATAGTTTCATATGAAGAAGTGATGAGCTGGTGGTGGATTGGTGAAACCATAAAATCTAGTGTTTGCATTAATAAAAGAGGGAGAATGAGTAGCAGATCGGAGAGGAAAGAGATTCTGGAAAAAATGGGATGTGTCATGAAAGACAGAGAAGAGAAATGGACAAAGAGACAAGGGCAAAATTGTGATTAATACAGAAATTATTGAGAATATCAACTTTTTTTTTGTTAGGTGTTAGTTTCTTAATTTATAATTTTTTTTGTAATATTCTTGCAAATTTCCCTTCTTTAAAAGACAAAATTACAACTTGCTCGTACTTCTTTATCTTCGCACACCAAATTACCATTCACATTTGTTAATGATCTATATCGACTATACCGATCATATACGTCACCTCAATGACGTAACAAGAACTCACAAAAATGCAGATATCGAGTGAGTTATGGAAGATATTATTAGTGAACAAATTTCTTTGTTTTTACATGTGGAAAAAACAAAACAATAAAAAGAAACAGTAAATAACATCGCAAATATGAAAGAAGCTTTATTAACATGATATATTACAAAAAATAAAAACTAAAGAAATAAATATCAGTGGGAAGAGGTCAAAGAAGAAGAACAGTGTACTTAGCAATGGCGGGTCCGAGTATAAACGTGACAGCATATGGAAAACTTTATAAGAAAATTTTAAAATAAATGATAACGACCAACGAGGGTCAAAAGTATGTGGTATCGATCTACAATGATCAAGATCTAGAATGAGAAAGTGGTTAAAACAAAACATTTCTTTAACAGTCGATATCTGTGTGTGGCTTTCTTTCTTTCTTTCTTTCACACACTGACACACAGTTATTAACAGTCCACGTAAAGTTTGAAACATTGCATATGTAGTAACAAGACAATAAGACCGATGAGTCACGTAGAAAACGTGGGGAGATGTTATTTTATTCTTCTTCAATCATAAACCCTGCAATATGCGAATATTATATATCTATGTAGACATGGGAAATAATACGTGTAAATCGGATTATAGTGTAATGCAAGTTGACATAAATATATATATTCGATAATTCGACGTCCGCGTAAATCAGTTAGTCACCTACTTGCATTTATGATTTAATTTCCTCTTCTTGCAAGAAATAATCAAAAGATTCGCTCCTGACTATATTATATGCATCTTGTATATGTCACATTCTTATCTACTCTGAGATCGATGTTTAAATTTGAAGATACGTATATTTAGAAAGTATTTGTATTTAAATCTAACTCATTTGAAATTTTATTCATCAAAACTATTATAACTTGTGTACGCATATATATGTAATTGTATTAATGACCCATCAATAACATCGTATGTACCTATATATATATATATATTTGAACGTAAGAGTTCATTTTTACTTTTTAGTTTTTTTACAAAGCAACATATACCTCGAGCAAAAAAAAAACCCTCTTTATCCGACCAAATCCCATTCTTAAAAAGCTGACTAAACAAAAACATCAGGAAAAAAAGCACAAACATTATTTATGCGGCCTTATCAGGAACCTTCTGATACTAGCAGAGGTTTCACTTATGACTCATACAATTTAGTAACTCTGTTTTGTTTCCCCTCTTAACCGGTTAGAGTCCGTAGACTTGCGAGCCGCTCTTCGATCTTCATAAGATTTGCTCTGAGAGGCTATGTACTCAAATGCCACCACCACATCTCCTATTTTTGGCCGGTGATTCGCTTCGTCATTTAGGCACATCTCAGTTATAGCAATCGCGTAGTTAAGACACCTCTTCGAGAACTTTCCCCGTAGCAACGGGTCAACTAGATGTCCAAATTTCTTAGGATCCTTGAGATACGGCCTAGCCTGCATAAACGCGAAAAAAGAAGAAAAAACACGGTTAAACGAGAGATTATGATCAGGTTTAATCTGGTTCCAATTGTTGATCTTACTTACCCAAGCAACAAGGTACTGCTCCCCGTTTGGTTTACTCAAATCAATGGCCTTCCTGCCAGAAATCAGTTCAAGCAACACTACACCGAAGCTATAGATATCCGACTTAATGGTTAATCTTCCGCTCATTGCATATTCTGGAGCACAATATCCGTAGGTACCCATGACTCGAGTCGACACATGTGTCCGGTTCCCCACAGGACCGACCTTGGCGAGTCCAAAATCAGAGAGTTTGACGCTAAATTCTTTATCTAACAAAATGTTTGCGGATTTCAAATCACGGTAAATCACGGATGGGCTTATTTTACAATGAAGATACTCAATCCCACGAGCTGCACCAACCGCGATTTTCATCCGCGTATACCAGCTTAGCGGAATCTGATCAGGCTCAAGATCTGATTCAAACAACAACAACAAGAAGAGAGGTTTATCAATAAAAACATGATGAAAACTCTTAGATTTTGGGGTGAATAGGAAACACACACTTACCAAAAAGATGATCTTCTAAGCTACCCATTGGCATGTATTCATAAACCAAAAGTCTCTGAGCACCAGAAGTACAGTAACCGATTAGAGTTACTAGATTTGGATGATGGAAGACGCTAAGCATGCAGACCTCAACTATGAATTCTTGATTTCCTTGATGCCCATCTGGATTTAATTGCTTGATCGCCACCACCTACTCAAATTCAGTTCCCATCAAATCTTTTTACAACATTTTAAATTCTAAAAACGTTTTGAGTGAAAACAGAACATTGCTTACTTGTCCTGAATCTAAACGTCCCTTATAGACACTCCCAAAGCCTCCTTTTCCAATCATATTCACCTCCCGGAAATTCTTGGTGGCGGCGGCTAACTCCTTGAACGTGAAACTCCGAGCGCCACCTCCCGGTTTAGGGCTATTCACTTTCCCATTAACTAACCATAACCAGAAAACATTTGTTTTCATCATAATTTTCCTTTTTAAAAAAAAGATTTTAAATAATCATCCATAATATGTCCTAACCTAAAATGCCAGATTTTGACCCTGTCCCTCTTGGATCGTTTTTTGTGGCAACTGCAAACACAAAAGAGAGTCACGAATGATCAAGAAAACAAAAAATTTGGAGATTTTTTTCAGATAAAAACAGAGAGATTTTTCTAAAACCTGAGGAATAATCGGTTAGGTCGGAAAGGGTATCAATGTTGATTCTCATGTCATTAGTTTGCGTGTTGAGACAAGAGAAACACCTCATTTTCCTTTGTAAATTTGTGATGATAATGATCTTGAACGTTATCAATATAACAAGTTTGGATTCAGAGACGGAGCTGGTTTGAGATGATGTCCAACATTATCATCAAACGCAGCTCCCGGAACCCCACACACGAAACAGAACAAAAAAAAACCTAGGTTTCTTGTAATTAAAGAAAGAAGAAAGAACCCGGGATTATAATGGGAAAGAGAGAGAGAGAGAGAGAGAGAGAGACTTTCTCTTTCGCTCTATAATTCCAGAAAAACAAATGGGAAAATGATTCCTTAGGAAGAATCTGAAAATTGGAGAGAACTAAAATTATACAAATGGCAATTTGAATGGTGAAAAATGGTTTTGTTTATATATACTAAAAGAGGAAGAAACAGGCTTTTTTACTCTTCTCTCTGCTAATGGAAAAATCTTTGAGAGAAATATTACAAAAGAGTGGTGAGAGCAACTGTGAAAATTTTGAAAGGGCAACGGAAGAGAAATTAAAGGAGCCAATGGGATCCTAATTTGGGAACTGCGCGTCGTTTTCTTTCCATCTGTTTGTTTTCTTTTATTTTTTCAACGTTTGTTTTGTTTTTCGGTTGTAACTAAATTAAGCTCTCTGTACTTATTCATATAACGTATAACATGTAAGATTTATTGTCATGTTTCGAATTTGAATTTGGTAAACAAGTGAAGTCCTTGACTCTTCTTTCTCCAACATCACTCATAACGAAAAGAGATAGAGAAGTAATGTTCAAGTTTTATCACTTAATCATCAAACCCAAAAAAAAAACTTTTCATTAAGCAATCATATCATTTACATTCATGTCTTCTTACTATGTATGTCTCTGACAAACGAGACAACATACTTGTGTGATTAGATAAACACAAAAGAAGAACTAAACACAAAAACTGGAAACAAGATGGGATCTTCAACAGGAGAAATTACCACCAAATGTACACTTTCTCGTATAAGAACAAGCAAGCACTGCCAATCCTTCCACTGCAATTTTAAGCACCAAAACTATGTTCCTCTTTGCTTCTTCTCTGCATAACTTGCTTATAATCCTCAAACACAAGCCACCAACCACCAAAAACATTGTCTTACCGGGGATGGTCAAAGACAATGGGCGTGTTCGTTTCTAATGAATCCATACAATTGACATTTTAATAGTCTCCGATAAACTTATTTCCATTTAATTGCAGAAACATTCATTAAATATTTGAATATTATGATCACCAAATGGGTTCCACTCCTTTTCCCTCTTATTAAAAGTGCTTAAAATAAAACTAACAGATTTGGACCTCATCAATCAAAAACATCCAACAACAGAAGAAACAACACAATCTTCCCAAACAAACGAAGATGTCCACTTCCGCCCCCGAAGAGCCATCGACGAAGGAGGAAACGTCTCCGTTGTTGTTTCCATCATCGTCGTTGCCAGATCCAGTAACTTTGAGTTGCCTAGCTCGAGTGCCGAGGTTGGACCACTTAGCCTTATCTCTCGTCTCCAAGAGATACCGCTCTCTCGTAGTTTCTCCTGAGTTCTACAAGATACGATCGCTATTGGGTCGTACCGAAGAATGCCTCTACGTATGCTTAAGCACCAAGACTTACCCAACCTCTCGCTGGTTCATCATCCGGCGTGAAAATACCAAAACCACCCTAGAAAACGCCGCAGCAGGGGACCTGATCCCGATCCCTTCTTTCCCCTCTCAGCTTCCTGAATTGTCCTCTTTCGTGGCTCTGGATTGGGGGATTTATGTAATAGGTGGGTTTATAAACGACAATCGCACGTCCCATGTCTTGTTCCTGGATTGTCGGACAAACACGTGGCGCCACGCTCCTTCCATGGGAGTGGCACGAGCTTCCGCAGCTGCTGGAGTTGTAGATGGAAAGATTTATGTGTTTGGAGGGTGCGAGGATTTTGACTGCTCGAACTGGGCAGAGGTATTTGATCCAAAGATTCAAACTTGGGATACTTTGGTGCCAATGCGTGATCGGAGTGAAGGTGATAATTTGATCCGTGAGACCCTAGTAATGGAGGAGAAGGTTTACGCAGTGAGTTTGTGGGACGGAAGCTTCTATTACTCGCCGCGTGATGGTAAATGGGGAAGAAAGAAGAATCCAGAAACCCAAAGTTACTATTGTGTGATTGAGAAGTTGTTGTACAGTTGTGATAAGTTTGGGAATTTGGTTTGGCGTGAGTCTGAAGATTCGGAGTGGAAGGAAGTGAAAGGCTTGAAGGCTCTACGGTTGAAGTTTCCTAACTCAGCCTCCGTCAGATCCTCTGTGTACGAAAAGTGTGTCAGTAAGCTGAGCAATTTTGGTGTAAACATTGTGGTATCCTCGGTTAGGGCTACGTGGGGTGTTTGGTGGGATGTGTGGTGTACTGAGATTTCGTTGGAAAGACGCGAGGAGAAAGGTGAGATTTGGGGCACTATTGAGTCTGAAGCTGTGACCGTAGTTGATCATGCTCCTTCTGGTCGTGTTCCGGTTGAGGTTTTGTGTTCTGCCACTCTCTATGTCTAAACTGAACAACGAGAGAACTTGTTCTGTCCAGTTTCGATTTTTATGGATATTGTTATATCATGTATAAACCCGTTATTTCAGTTACTGTTTTGTTTGTGTAAGTTTGCACAGATTCACAGGACCAAACCAAAACGTACATGATATACATTCCTCTCTCATAAGCTGAAAGTCTGAAACGTAAGTCAAATGCACATTCATAACTCTAATTTGATGGACTAGAAAATTGTACAAATTATATATTCATACATCTTGTGAGAGTACTCTTATCGGTTTTCTTCCTTTTCTTTTTACCCTAAAAAAATCAGAAAATTGCAACAATCTGTACAGAAACTTTCCCTATATATTCAACCTTGTACCAAGAATCACATGCCTCTGCCTCTTCTTCTCCCTCCTATATCGGTAAAGCTTTCAATATTAGTAGGAATTACTTAGAGTTGTAATGCTAAATCCGGATGCTGCGATGAACCCGCCTGGTGGTTCGAGCCCGGTGAGTTTGGTGAGACAAGCCTAGCATTCAGATCCGGTGGCAACTGCTGAAATCCCTGTTTTATGTTCGGAAACAAGCCTTGTTGCGAAACAGCTGTTTCCAGCATCTGGTTTTGTGGTTGGTTAAATCCGCTGGAAGCACGGACTATACCATTGCTCTCGGTTTCTTGATTCAATACGTGAGCAGTTGGCACAGACTCTTTGCTTTCATGGGAGAAATGTCTGTTTCCTATAATGGAACTTGAGACAGAGGTTGTCGGAGACATGATTCTGCTTGACTGATGATGATCATCAGACGCAAAGTCATTCGAACACTTTTGCTTTCCCATCAATAAGTTTTGCTGTTGAGGAGGATTCTCAGGAGGCGCTTCTGGGTTCTCCCCAACCCACCCGGGACCAAATTCGGTTCCAGTTGGTAACAATTTTTCAATCCTCGCATTGGCAAATCTCCAAGCAACAGGACTAAGATTTGCTGCATACCGTGCTAGACTCCTAGCATACCCATATTCAGTTTTCAATCCAACCTGGTAAAATAACGAAACAACGGTCAGATTCTTTGTTGCTTAGAACAAAGGAGAAATCTTTTAAGTTGCTAGCACGTACTGGAGTTAACTGTTTTAAATCATCTTCAAGCATTGTAAAAATCGAAGATTCTTGCAAGGAAGTAGAAATCTGGTTGTAGGTATCTCGCCTGTTCTCGTCGACATTTTTCATCCCGTATTTATGGACAGCCTTCACAACAGAAGCTACAGAAAACGGTTTATGTCAACAAAATGTATTTGACATAATGGAGTCTGAAGAAGGTAATATTAGAATAGGAAGATCTTTACGTGGAAACTCTTTCTCCCAATCTATCATCAAGCCACTTTGGTTCTCGCTATTATGGTTGATTCTAACCGAAGTTTCTGCTTGACGTAATCCATAAGAAGGAGGATTTTTTCTTAGATTGTAAGAACCGGATAATCTAGAGCTATCTCCAGCATAAGTGAGTGCTGCTGCATCAGCTGATATATCAGAAGTCGTGCGATCAATCAAAGATTGCTCAAGCTGTTTCTTAAGGCCCGAGCCTGGAGGACGGCCTCTTTTGGCCACTTTAGGCTGTTGTGACAGTGACACTGGTTCTTCTCCATCACTTTCTTGTCTCAAATTTCCAAAGTCCTTTTTAGCCAACTCAAGCATAGCTCGTGCCTGTTATAGCCATAGATATACTATCAGAGAATGGATTATAACAAAAGGGAGCAAGATAGCAAGTTTATATATAAGCCAAGACAAACCTGTCGAAAGTATACTGTATCTGCTGAATTGTATTCCATCGCATTCGTGCATATTAAAAATACGTCTTGCTGCAACAAAATGGAAGGGGATCAGAGAGGTTAACTCCTGACAATTAGTTTTTAACTTTTAACAGTATATCTGCACCTTATCATTGTTACACACTGTGGCTATCAAATTGTCAGATAGTTATCTTTTTACATAGTCAAGTAGTAAAACTAAGAAGACCTTACATGCTTGTCGACAAACAAAATGTTGTTACTACCAGAGAAACTATTGAACGAGACTTAACAATATGAAGAATCAAAACTATGAAAGGTGAACACTCCATTTTAGCTAAATGCAAAGAGCAGAGATGTATTTATACATAGCAAAGTGATAGTTCAGTGAAAAGCATCGAGGATTGTTATACGTTCAATAACAAGACTTGCCTCAAATTGTTCTAAGGTGGTGTATGCCCTGGATTCTAATTTCTTCCGCAATGTGCTGAAATCCATCGGATTCTTGATAATCTCATAATAATCAGGAAGCTGTAAACAAACTTTCACAGATAAAGATAAGGGAAAACAAATACTTTTAACATCAAAAAGCTTAAACAACTAAAGAACACTTCACCTCCTCCGGATCAGCTGGGTCAGAGTACACTCCATATGTATCCTTCCTTCAAGTATAGTAAAACAACAATCAATCAAAAACCAAACACAAAAATAGAAGAACATGGAGAAGAAGGAAGAAGCCATAAAAAAATGACATACTTTTGAACTCTATCAAGGATGAACAAGAGCAACTTTTTGTCTGGCAAAGGTGTAGACTCCACAAGTGACCCTCCTGTCCACAAGTTAAATACCACAATTTCTTTAATTAATTACCACAAAACAAATCCCAAGTTTCTGCCTTTTCATGACTTCAAAAAAAAAAACATGAAAAAAGAAATACATACTTTGAAGAATGTCTGTCGCTTTCGAAGCCTTTTCTCCCTGCAGAAATACAAAAACAGAGTATCATTCATCATCAACCTCAAGTTAAAAAGATCAAATCATAACAAACAAAAACAGGTGTCTGTATTTATGACAAAGTGAGAACAAGTACAATTTTTAAGGAAACTTAAGAAACTAAACTGATAGTAAAAGACAAAGCGAGAACTTGTCTCAGACACATGATTGTCTCTTCAGTGCAGAAACCGTCTTTAATTTTTCTGATAACTATGAATTAATACCAGAATCAAAAGAATATTATATAATATTCAAAAAAAAAAAGAAAAGATTAACACCAAGATTTTCTCGACCAAGACAAAAAAAAAAAGAGGAGAAAAATAAAAATAAATATACAGAAAAAGCTGAAATTATGAATTCCCATTTCCCACCAAAAAAAAAAAAAGGAAATAGTCAAAACTCAAAACTCATCACTCACTCACTCAATAACCATATTTAAGCATGAAGACGAACCTCAATTAACGCGCCAAAAACTCAAAAAATAAAAACCTAAATTAAAACTTTTTTCCCCCAAATAAATTTTCCAAAAAGATTGTTTTTTTTAATACTCTATAACTACCGTATCGTCAGATCCGTCAATTTTCCGGCGTCTGATAGCATCGGAGTCCAAATCGCCGCCAACAGATTTGGAATTAGAAGAATCACGACGGTCGTGTGAATTCAATCCGTGCAAAAGCCGATGCTTTTTGTCTCTCCGCTCATCATCGTCGTCGTCAGAATTCGAATTCCGGCGATTTGATCGGGCGCCGGAATTAGGGTTTCTGAAACCGGATCTAAGCTCTTCGTCTTCTTCTTCATCGGGGTTTCTTCTCTGGAGCAATTGTTGCTGTTTGAGAGCTCGCTTTTGGAGGTCAAGTAGAGAAGGCCTACCTTTCTTCTTCTTCTTCATCAATGTATTATTATCAGCTACCTCACCCATTCTCTCTCTTCTCTTCTCTCTATTGTTCCGCCTTTCTCTTCTCTCTAATAATAAACAGTCGTTTCGTTTTTATTTCATTTTATTGAGTTTTGTTTTGGGGTTACACATGTGTGAGTGAGTTCGTACGTGCAGACCAAAACGTGGACACGGGTTACTCGTGCGACACTGCAATACACGTGGTTTACACTGTATGGATTGTTTTGTGATAACGTTTTTTCAGTTTTGAAATTTTATTGGGCCTACTACATGGGCTGTTAGTGTAGCCCATATAGTTAAATGATGTGTAGGGAGTAGGGTGGTGACTGGATCATGATTTTGAATCTTTGATGATTATTGTAGATTAGTGGTTGATGCTTTATATGTTTCATTTTTCGTGGTGTTTAAAAATTGCACACAAATAAAATAAATGTTACAAAACATCCATCATTAACTTTATTGATCAGACCAATAATTAAATAATTGACTTTTTAACCATAGAAAGAGAAAAAATAATTAATCTTTTAATATGTAGAATCAATTGAACCCAAAACTAATGTTTTGTATATTGAAAATTATATAAAGAAGAAAAAAATTTGGACTAAAAACATCATGTAAAATGACACCAAAACGTTTTATTTGGTTAGTCTCGGTGTTCACACGTGTTTTCCCATGACTTCTCTCAATAATAGTCAACGCTTTTTTGGTAATATGTCTATTTTTTGTCGGTGTGTGTTTTTTTTCCCCGGCTTTGCTTAGCTGACTGAAACTCTCTTCTAGTTCCATCATTTTTCCTCCGGTCTCAAATTCAGGCAAAAATATCTCTTTCGGATTCATACTTGAGACAAGAGTAGATACACAGATGTTGTCTACATGGAATTAACTCGATTTAACACGTTTTCTATTCAAAGATTTGGAATTTAATCAGAGATCGTTCTCAATTTCTCAAGCTAGAAGAAGACGAAGCTAAGGTTCTTTGTTCTTGGCTAGGTCAGTTTCTTCAGGGCTGCTGGTTTGTGTTTTGCACTGGTACGTGTGTTTGTTATATACACTACTAATACTATTCTGAGAATAAACAAAATTCTGTATCGCGATTCTAAATTTGGTAATATTTGCTATATTAGGGTTATATGAATGATTATGTTGGAAAATTGGTTGCTTAATTTTTTATTAGGGTATAGTTTTGATTTAACTGCTAAATTTTTCCCCTCATAAAAGCTAGAAGAACTTAGCTTAATTTGGTATATAAGATAGATCTTTGATTACATTATAGTCTTATTATAGCTAGTGAAGAGGAATCAATTCATAATATGGCTGGAAGTGGAAGTTGGGATGGAAGCCAATCAGATAATAGCTCACAATTCGAGCCAGGGATTGATAATATATACGAAGCTTTTATCTGTCCATTGACAAAGCAAGTTATGCATAATCCAGTAACTTTAGAGAATGGTCAGACATTTGAGTGTGAAGCTATTGAGAAATGGTTCCAAGAATGTCGCGACAACGGTCGACCTCTATCTTGTCCTATAACTTCCAAGGAGCTGAGTATCACTGATCTAAGCCCGAGTATTGCTTTACGTAACACTATTGAAGAGTGGAGAGCTAGGAATGATGCTTTGAAGCTTGATATTGCTCGTCAGTCACTTTATTTGGGAAATGCTGAGACTAATATTTTGCTAGCTTTGAAGAATGTCCGAGAGATTTGCAGGAATATACGTAAAATGAGGCAACGTGTGCGCAATCCTCAGCTTGTTCGGTTAATTACCGATATGTTAAAAAGTAGTAGTCATGAAGTGCGGTATAAGGCTCTACAAACTCTTCAAGTAGTCGTTGAAGGAGATGAAGAGAGCAAGGTTATTTCTCTGATCATTTTTTTGTCTCTCTGTTTGTCTCTTATCTCTTTGTTAATAAGTCTTTAGTGTGTTTCAGGCAATAGTAGCTGAAGGAGACACTGTGCGTACTATAGTTAAGTTTTTGTCCCAAGAGCCATCAAAGGGGAGGGAGGCAGCTGTTTCTGTGTTGTTCGAGCTCTCCAAATCTGAAGCATTATGCGAGAAGATTGGATCAATCCGTGGAGCAATCATCTTATTGGTTGGCCTGACAAGCAGCAAATCAGAGAATGTTTCAACTGTTGAGAAAGCTGATAAAACTTTGACAAACTTGGAGAGATCAGAGGAAAATGTTCGACAGATGGCTACCAATGGTAGACTGCAGCCTCTTCTTGCTAAACTTCTTGAAGGTACCAAACCACTGCTTTCATTACCAATAAACTGATTTTCTCTGATTGGTTTTAATGAAACGATAACTATGAAACATGATCTGCATCTGCAGGTTCACCTGAAACAAAAGTCTCTATGGCTTTCTATCTTGGGGTTCTTGCCTTAAATAACGATGTGAAAGTTATTGTGGCTCAGACCGTGGGTTCTTCTCTTATCGATCTTATGAGAACTCGCGACATGCGTCAACGGGAAGCTGCTTTGGGAGCTCTTAACAACATCTCATCGTTTGAAGGAAGTGCCAAAGTCTTAATCAACACCGGAATTCTCCCACCGCTTATCAAAGACTTGTTCTATGTTGGGCCAAACCAGCTTCCAATTCGACTTAAAGAAGTCTCCGCCACCATTCTTGCTAATATAGTGAACATTGGCTATGAATTTGACAAAGTTCCTGTTGGACCTCATCACCAAACTCTTGTTTCAGAGGAAATAGTGGAGAACCTACTCCAACTAACAAGCAACACAGGTCCAGAAATCCAGGGAAAGCTGTTGGCGGTTCTTGTTGGACTCACTAGCTGTCCAAACTCGGTTATTAATGTTGTTTCTGCGATCAGAAACTCAGCTGCCATCATTAGCTTGGTTCAGTTTGTTGAGATTCATGAGAATGATGATTTGCGTTTAGCTTCTATCAAGCTTCTTCACAACATTTCCCCACACATGAGTGAAGAACTAGCCAATGCGTTGCGTGGCACTGTTGGACAGCTCGGAAGCCTTGTTGCCATTATATCAGAGAATACAACAACAATCACTGAGGAACAAGCTGCAGCTGCTGGACTTCTAGCTGAACTTCCTGAGAGAGATTTGGGTCTGACAATGAGATTGTTAAGAGAAGGTGCTTTTGAGAAAATCATATCCAAGATTGTTGGTATTCGCCAAGGAGAAATTAGGGGAATCCGGTTCGAGAGAACATTTCTCGAAGGACTTGTTAGTATTCTCGCTCGGATCACCTTCGCACTCACCAAGGAGACTCACCTCGCCATTTCGTTCTGCCGTGAGAACAATATTACTTCACATTTCCTTGATCTCCTTCAATCCAACAGTCAAGATAACATCCAGATGGCTTCTGCAATAGCATTGGAGAATCTTTCACTTGAATCCAAGAATCTTACAAAGATACCGGAACTGCCTCCTCCAAACTACTGTGTATCAATCTTTTCATGTCTGAGCAAACCGCCTGTTGTTCTAGGGATTTGCAAGATCCATCAAGGGATATGTTCAGTGAGAGAAAGCTTTTGTCTCGTTGAAGGACAAGCAGTAGATAAGTTGGTTGATCTCTTAGACCATGAAAACGAGAAGGTGGTTGGACCAGCACTTGCAGCTCTTTCTACATTGTTAGAAGATGGTTTAGATGTTGTACAAGGAGTGAGATTGATTGATGAAGCAGACGGGATTACGCCTATATTAAACGTTCTTTTGGAGAATCGAACAGAGAATTTAAGGATTAGAGCTGTGTGGATGGTTGAGAGGATCTTACGTATTGAAGAAATAGCTAGAGAAGTGGGAGAAGAACAAAAAGTAACTGCAGCACTTGTGGACGCCTTTCAAAACGCAGATTTTAGGACGCGACAGATTGCTGAGAAGGCGTTGAGGCACATCGATAAAATCCCAAACTTCTCTGGTATATTCACCAACATTGGTTAGATCTATATACATTCTTGTAAATGATTTTAAGATAATTTGATTCATTTGTTCAACTCAGAGAAACTAGAGCTGTCTTTCAAAGTTGATAAACACTGCTCATTAAAGAACAAAAATTTTCTAATGGGAGTGCATTCAAAAGTCTGGTATTTAAGCTTAAAAGGATCTGCTACATTTAACTTTTCTAGATCTCATCAATGAATTCTAGAAGATCTTCAATTTCTTGCCTCAAAGCTATGATCTTTTGCTGCTGAGAAGCAATCCGGTTTTCGATATCACGCCCTGAGGATTTCTTTTCGTACCCTTCAACAACAGTGGTATGTTTGGCCATTAACTTCTCTTCAAGTTCTTTCTCTTTCGCAACTAGCTCCTCGACCTGCATTAATGGAATGATTGACAAAAGAGACAGTTAAGCAGAGCGGAGACTAAGAGAGGCAAGAGAGGTGGAGGGAGAAATTTAGAACCTTTGGAGATATGTGAGAGGCTAATGAAGAAGATTGTAAGAAACCCAGCAATGGTTTCAGTTCTTTCGAAAGATCTTTCAGTAAACTGTCAGTGGATTTGCGAGCTGCTTTGCAGGTTTGAGTGTCACCAGTTCTTGAGAGATCACGCAGCGATGCTTCAAGCTTATCGTGTGTGGCTAAGCATTTTTGGATGATGCTTTGGACTTCCTGGAGTGTTGCTAGGACCTGACAAACAAACAAACAAATGGAGCGTTTAAATATCTACCACTCAGAGAAACAAAATATCAATAAATCACGCGAAATTTTGTTTGAGAAAAGGTTCCAGTGTACCTCATCCCATTGAAGTTTCGCCAAATATGTCGGAGAGGACTTGGAGATTGAGAAGTCAGCCCGTGTGTATATGATGCAAGTGATGAACAAAATGAAAAATCCAGAGATTAACATTAATGGCTCACTCAGCAGATTGATGTTGCTGAACTTATAGTAGACCTGTACAGAAAACAAATCTCATGATCAATTAAAGTAGGAATATTGTGGATTTAGAATGACAGCATTTCGGACGTATTATATTACCTGGATATGCTGATTGTGATCTGGGACAACGTTGTTCTTTTCGAGCACAACAACTGGTCTACCAGCTATATCTAAATGTGAATATTTGATCTGCAAATGAACAGGATTGCAACGTGAAGAAATCAAATATCAGAATTAAAAAACAAGGAGAGACTTATAATCACCAGAGATAGTATCAGACAGGATAAATCACGAAGAGAGAAAGCCAAGAATTTGTTACCTCTTGAGACTGCTTGACAGCGAATGGAGTAGTAACTGATATATCTTTTGACCCCTCAGGTAAAACCACCTGCAATGGAATACACAAAAGAACATCAAGCTACGACAAGGAAACTTTCACTCAATGTTAGTGCATGAGATCATCCATATTGGTTTATCACTGGTCAATCTAGTCACGATAAAAGGTTACTGCTTTGATTGATTTGATTCCACATCATTCTAAAGCTAAAGAAAATCAAATTAAATAAGGTAAAAAATACTTATAAGTTAAAAGTGTATAATACCGACCTGTACAATAAGTTTTTCAGTGACAAGGTCAAGTATAGGGGAGCCAAAGGAGATATTAAGGAATCGCTTTCCTTCCGAAGCAAACAAGAAGTCGCTAAGTGGCAAACCATAACCTATCGTGAAAAAAGTTTTCCACCCACCAAACAAAGGAAACCTAGGCTCAATTAGTAGCTCTGTCTGCAACCAAACCAGCAAACAGATCAAAACACATACAGCAGTAATATTTGGAAGACCAAATCTCGTTAATCCAAAATATCAACCTTTTTCGAATCACTTTGCATCTCAGACGTGGAGATATTTCCAATATCATCCCTGTAATATATGGAATGGGCTCTGGGGGGTAATCTAGCAAGTAAATGCCTAAAGGCAGATGCTCCTCGGGGATTAGGTCTGGCTTGAAAGTCTAACCTGCGATTGGAATATGAAGAGAATGAAGCAATCAATTTGTGAGCTAGAATAGCGATTAAAACACAGATTAAAGCTTTAGTAAGAGTATTAACCTTGAAAACTCGCCCTTGAGTTGAGCCCCTCGGTGGACAACATTGTAATGCTCCGTGACCTGTACATTCCCCCAATGAGACACTTCTATCTCTCGCACAAGCTTCTCAGCCACAGCAAATGCAGCCTTGCTTTCAAAGTGGACAACTATGGGAGAGTATGAATACGACTGGAGATTCTTGTATGGGCCATATTTAAGCTCTGATCCCTGGAGCTTTGTATTCTCCAATTTGGTGTAAGATTCGATTCTGGCATTGGGTAGTTTGATAGACAATGACTGAGACTCAACCGCGTAAGGAGAGAGATACTGTGCACTTTCTTGGAGCATAACAAGATGGATTTCACCCTGAGTAATCTTCTCCGGAAATGGCTGAAGTACATTGGTGAATGCAGCAACTACCTCCAACGTCAAAGTATCGCCTTTACTGAGTGGTTTGGGTAATGCAACAGAGTAAACACTAATTGAATCGGGTATTCCGTTCGAATCAGCTTCTCTTACAGAGAGATTGACTAACGTACGTTTAGATTTCCCCTTTCCCTCACTATGGGAAACCGATAAATAAGCCAAGTTGTTCCCAAGAAACTTTGGGAAGGTCAAAATAAACTCAGACACTGATTCAGAGCCAGAATTTACGACCTAAAAACAAATTTGAAACAGGACTTAGAGACACCAACACAACATATGACTTGGTAAGTTGGAACCTGACTAACATAAAGCCTCCTGGAAATTACCTTAAGAGTCTTAGTAACGCGAGCAATCTGTGAAGTCACATCGATCTGCACAAAAGCAACAAAATTGGATGAAGAAAGCAGAAAATGAAGCTAAAAGATTCTCTAAAATGATTCCATTAGCTACAAATTATCCAGTCCTGACGAGATTATAAGAAATCCATATAAAGTTTATATCTTGTGAACTGATTTCGAAGTCTTTAGATCGAAAAATGCAAATTGTGTGAATTGATTCAGGAACGTCGTGAAACCAAAAACCAGATCGAAGATATTGTGTGGTAGAGTGACTGGACTTACACGACGTTCGACTTTGGATAAAACCAGATCGGAGAACGCCGGCGTCGTAAGAAGAGAGATCGCCAGCAGAAGAAGCAACAGATCGACGACACTTGATTGCTTCATCCTTGTCAGAATTTTCGGACCAGTCTTCGAACTCGCTTACTCACTCAGAGAACCAGAGAGACCTTAAGCATTTACACAATCTTGACTATTTTCCCGGGTCGGGTCGGGTTCTGGTCAAAGCCCATATATATTGGGCCTAAATATGGGCTTGAGGGACTAGAGATAGCTCTTTTACTAGACACATGGCGGTGAGTTATTGGTTGGATTATGGTGAACCTTGGTGCAGAGGATGATACAGTAGTCGAAGTGTGAAAAAACTAGGTGAGGTTTTGGTTTTGGCTCAGTGAGAATTTTCTAGGCGAGAAAATCTTTTGAGGAAAATGGAGACTTCTCTGAGGTATACCTGCAATTCCAAGTCTATGAAAATTCATGCCAAAGAGAAGGTTCCGGTGAACTCGAAAACCCATTTACAGGTGAAAACTTTGTTTTCGTCTCCTTCGTATTCGACTTTAGCTTTGTTCAGTTTTTTGGGTAGTTTCTTTAATTTTGAGCTTAAGAATGCCTAATAGTCTCTTGGAATTTGCAAAGTTTAAGTTTTTGAGGTCTATCTAGGGTTTTTATTTTGGGTGTTTCGGAGAATGTTGTGTGCATTTTACACAAGTGAACTGTGTTATCTTCAACTTTTGGCTAAGAAAATAAGATTACTTTGAAGCAGCTCTTGGAGTTATGAAACGTAATCTGAGAGAAATTGCTGCTAATAAATTTTGACCTGGCATTTGTTCCAATTTCCAGCATTGAGCTTTTGCAGGAGCCAAATTGAGGAGTGGTTGGTTTGTCTCTCACTCTCTGCTTGGATTTCTTGTAGGATTCTGTATTATCATTTTGCTGTTAGGGTTTTGGGTTTTGAGAATGTAATCTAGTGTAGGGATAAGACAAAAAAGATTATGTCTGAATGGTTAACTTCTTTAATAATGGTCAATGGATATTACCAAAACGAACGTTCATACGCTTCCCAGAATCTTGATTCACTATTTGTCAGTATGTGTACTGAACTTACTTGTTCTGCTTTAGATGTTTGGCTTTCTGTTACTATCTTGCTATCATATTTCTATTTCTTATTTTCTTTTGATGGTTTTTTTGTTTTGTGATAGCTTCATGGAGAGCTAGATACTGGAACTGGGGCCCCGAGTTACTTTTGTGCGATGATTAGACACTTTTTTCCTGAGGTTTGATTTCAATTTTCTGCTGTTTCTTCTGTCTCTTCGCCCTGAAACATTTTCCACCGTAGACTAATACTAATATAGTGTTACGAATTTCCCTTAGGCTTCAACAGGCCTTGGAGTAGGATTGCATTATGATAAACGCCAAAAGCTTCGGTGTCTTGTACGCGGCAAAAAAGAGTTTCCTGTAAGAGCTGATAAGCGTGTAACCTTTAATATTAAAGGGCGGTGTGATTTTGATCAAGACTTAAATCAGGTTTGGTGTTTTTGTTTTCACTCTCAGGAACTTTCTTTGAAGTTATGTTTCTTGCTTGTGCATTATGCCTAACCGAACTGTCCTCATTAACAGAGGAACCCTAAAGGAGCTGCAGAATTTGCCTGGAACATAATGGATTTTAAGGAAGATCAGGACGTACGGATCAAAGTTGGCTACGAAATGTTTGATAAGGTATCTCTCTCGTACCTGAAGTATGTTAACTCTTCCAAAATTTGCTCTTGAGGTGAAAATCTATAAATATATAAGCTCAGGAAGTAGACCGTTTGTTGAAACCAAAGTCTTTTTCGCTTCATAGTATCATTGACAATCCATCTATTTGCCTATTGGCCTCTAATATGATTGCCTAAGCATCACTCTTTTGAAATCGATTGTCATCATTTTCAGGCTTTATATCGTATGTAAAACTTGAAAAATGCTTTCCATTTTTTTTGGACTCTTCAAAACAATGTGTTGCCTTCTCTCTTTCAGGTCCCATATATGCAGATCAGAGAAAACAATTGGACTCTCAACGCGAACATGAAGGGAAAATGGAACTTGCGGTATGACCTGTAGGCTGTAGCTGCATTTTATATTCATCATCATAATCTGAGAAATGTATTGATACCACTACTGATGAACACATTTTAATTCTACCAATTAATCAAATTCAGAGATCTTCCAAATCATCTCCATTACTATTGCTAGCTTCTGTGAAGTTAAGGGAAATGTCGGTTTTTTTATGTGGTATAATAGGGTTCGTATCTACTTGAATTTTGACTTTATGAGTAGACTGTAACACTCTTGGATCCCTCAAGAGTGTGATGGAAACATAACTTAACCGGTAAAAACATGCTAAACCATCAACCCGAAATTTGACATGATTTCACTAACCAATTCCAAACCCGGACCATCGAAAAACCACCAACTATCTCAGACCGGTTTGGTTTAGTTAAAATTGAGATGGTGCTGCTCGGAACATCAACATCAGTACCAAAATCTGAGTTAAAAAGAGTGTTGATCTTCAGAATCCGAAGATGGGGTATGCTCAAGATTTGCTTACTGATCATCATCACTCAAAAAAGAGAAAACAAAAGGATCAAAGATCGTTATCAAATGGTAAAAGAAAAACTGAAAAAGAGACTCTGACAAGTCACCAATTTTATCGTTAGATTTTTGTTAGTGGCTTTTACTAAAAATCCACGTGATATCTATGCATATAATTAATCATAATATCTACAATAATGTTTTTATTAGAGGCGGCGATATGTGAAAGCTCTCTAAGGGCATCATTAATGGGGGATCATGTGAGGGTGTTTTTATAGAGAATATAATGTTAAAATAATGTAAGATCATGTGTTTAGATCTTTTGTTTAAAAGTTGATTAGTGGGAGAACATGTGTAAGATCTTAAGACTTAATAATATAATAATCTAAATTAAATTAAGATTTTACAATTATTAAAACATTTAAAAATAACATATAAATTGCAAATGCCAAATTTATGAAAAACTGAAAATAAAAGTGAAAATACAATACTAAATATTTATGAAAAAAACATTAAAAATATAAATAACAATAAACAAACAAACATATTACTTAATAAAAGCACAAAAACATTTTATCTAATTAATACATAGTTTATTATCCAAATTTATTCCAAATATGTTGAATATTCCAACCAATGCCCAAATGCCACGTCACCCCGCAACACCCACAAGAACAGATCCAGGTCAAGAGCACAGTTCCTGATCTTAAGCCCACTAACCCATTTTTTTGGATTTAAATAATGCTTAGATCAGGGGGGGTGATCCCCCAATGCAGATGGTCTAAGTGATGAGGTCGCTTTTCGTTTTATCCCAAAAGAAATTTGTTAATTAAAAAAATTGCACTAGATGTGACAAGTTTTATCCCAAATCTTTGTTACATACTTTTAATTCCCCAACTTGTAAAGATATTTTGGAAAGTAATTGCAATTATCTTTCTATTCATGCATCTTATTCACCTTTTTTGTCTTTTACACATCATGATCTTTGTGTTTGCACAAACAAACAAAAAAAACGACATCATCTTTGTATGTAAATGATGTCAGGTAATAACTCGTTTTAGCATGTAAACTTAATTTCTATTAATTATACGTGAGAAAAGTTTATCTATCCATTGTGATTATAATATTTGATTCTATCTGTGTGATAAAGTGATATCCGCCTACAAATTTCAATATCTAAATGATGACAACAAAGACAAATCACCTAAACCTAAAATAATATAAATGTTTTCGTTTTTATTTTCAAGAATAAAGCTCCTAAACAAATGATGTGGAGTGAAATGTATAATCATTAAACGGAAAGAACATGATCTAAAAAATCGTATAATAGAGTAAATCATTACATTTCTATTATGTTTGCAGAATAGCTAAAGAAAAATCGTGATTAATTCTCCAAATTGTATATGTGATGTAGATTACTTCAAGGAAATGGATGGAAAATAGTTCATTTGAAATCTGTTTGGTGAAACTGGAAAGGCTGATCACAAGGCAGTAAGTAGGCAAGCCACTTCTTCAATTGAAAGAGGGCTATATTATATGTCCGCTTTTGAATGATAACATGGAAATTTTTTTCTTATTAGGCTGTCTCTCTAGACCACTAATGGGGAATGGAGAAAATCTCATGGTTGGCATTAAATTAATTTGGTCACATTCAATGCATTTTCCTTAAATCCTATAATTTGGTTCCAGGTTTCTCTACTTCGATGATATGTAAAAGCAAACACTTACGCATTATCAAATATTTAAATGTAATATACTATATGATCATGCATATGTAATATAAAAATGATGGAATAATAAAGTCCAAAAAAGGGTTTATATAAAAATAACAAAAAGTAAAATGTGCTTTACATGTTCACATGTGACCTGCAGAGAGCAGATTATTGCATATGTACAATTCCGCCGCACTACAAGAAATATGGGCGCTCTTAGCACACTGAAAACGCTATAATATCGTTTACATAGCGATTTCATAAACGCTGTGTTTGCCGGAGCTATCTTAGGGTGGTCACATACGATAGCGGTTTTTTGCTTTGCTATTAAATGTACCCATATAATAGCGTATGATAATTGTTATTGTATTCTATATCGTAGCACAAAATTTTGCTATATTCACTTAATTTGTAGCATTTTTGTTTTGCCATATTATAATATATAGTAGCAAAACATTTTCATTATTATTTTGTCTACTGTAGCTAAATAACTTTGCAATAACTTATTTTCTAGTAAATCTATTTTTTTTTTGCTATAAATCAATGATCATACGAAATTGGTTTGAGATATTTTGTTTTACATTTGCAAGAAACCTGTTTTTGCATAAAATTCAATATATATATATATATATAAACTCCATTCAAGCCTCATCCTCAACATACACTACAAGTCTCGATTCAAGTCTTAAACTGACATTACACCAACAAATTCCACAAGTAAAATAAGCTCACATCTTCCTTCTAACATCGATCCGCTTTCCCCTTCTTCTCATACTCTTGTCTTATCTTCTTCTTCTTCTCTTCAAACTCGGACATTGGAAAATGAGTACCTTAGATCAAACGTAGAATTTCTATCA